CTAAGGTTTTTTACTTTTTTTAAGAATCCAGGTTAAAAAGTGCATTTTGGATCATTATTGCACACTTTGACCCCCATTTTCTTGGAATTTCTACAGTAAAAGTGAATGTGACTTTGCACAATAATAGAGGGCATCACAGTGAACAAGTGTGCAGTGAAAGCTTTTTCTAAGGTTTTTTATTTAAAAAAAATATAAACATGTTAAAAAATGCATTGTGGCGGCTGATCCTCGCGGCTTCTCTTTTCTGTGTTACCGTAAGTAACAGCATAAAGCGGCAACCCGCTAGAAATGTGCGGGCCTCTTTACTGTTGACTCCGAAAAGCCGGACCTCTTTACCGCGGTTGGAGCACGATGGGGTAGTCTTTGCACATTTTTTCCAACGTGGTTTTACTGCAAGTGGCAGAACATGAATCTGAATTAATGCACATTGCTCCTCTTATATCCCTCAGACATTGGAGATTGATGCCATTTAAGATGCATTGTCCCTCAGTTAGCTCAAACACGTGTAAAACGGAGCCTGCAGACCAAGCACGGGGCGAAAACTGACGCCTGCAGTCAAGTGCGTAGGGCAAAAACCAGCCGCCTGCAGCCTAGACTCCGGGATTAAACTGTCCGCGGTCGGCACACTCACTGTACTCACATGCCAGGAGACTTGGGAAAGCAACGGGACAACGCGGCACCGCCAGACCGTCTGCGCGCGGCAGCAGACCACGAGGAACGAGCAGCACAGAACCTGCAGAGGGACCCGCGGAGGGGCCCCGCGGAGGGGCCCCGCGGATCAGCCCACAGAGGAGGAAAGCAGTGGAGACACGCGAACCATAGCAGGTGCAGGGACGCGGAGGAAGAGCAGACCACCAGCAGCCAGACTGAGGACAGCCGGGCCACGCGCACGAGCAACACGTGAGCAGAAGCGACCCCTCCAGAACAACGCATGCATTTGCGAACAGGTGCGTTAGCGACATGCACCTTGCAGGCTTCAGAAGTTTGCAGACTTCAGAAGGCTGGGAAGTGGGAGTCTCCGGCTTTTAACTTGCTGTCCTGGTGGTTATTGGTGGATTAGATGTGGGCGTTGCTGGTATTGATGAGTCGAGGAAGAGCAGCCTGTGGCCTGGGCAGCAGCAGCCGGGTCTACCACAGTGAACTTTCGCGAAAGCTCCATTTGTCCCGTGGTTATTATAGATCCATGGTTTATCCACAATGCTGCTGTCAGTATGTTGTGGAACAGAGTTATTATAATAGATCCATGTGTGGGACAGGGCTCGTAGCGCACAGTCTTCTTCGGCTTTCTCTTCACGCATTCACCGATGCTGTTTCAATATTTAAAAGTACGTGTTTCGCCTGTGTCATATGAGCTGCTGCTGTTGATGTTGAAGGTGGTTTTGCTCTAAAAAGAGCAGACATAGGCAGAGCAGACATGCTGCACATACGATCTCAATGTTTTCCTCCGGTTCCGCGTCTATCCTCCGTGAGCTCTCGCTGTCCAATAGGAACGCCGATCGTCACACGCGTCCATATGTTTATATATAAAAGTTCACTTGCAAAAAGTACAAACTGAATACGAACAGGAGCAAACAAAAAAAAGTTTGGTCCGCTTTTGATTCGGATCAAGCAAGCGGAGCAAAGGACTTTTCAGGTCTGAATACACCCTAAAGCCCTCCTGAACCTCAAGAAAAGGGCTTTCATCTCAGGGGACAAAGAGGAGCAGAAGAGGATCCAGCACAAGCTCCAGTGGAGGATCAAGAGGGCCAAGAAGGACTATGGGAAAAAGCTGGAGCAGAACCTGGCCCAGGGAAATGCCCGCGACATGTGGAGAGGCCTAAAGAACATCTCCGGTTTTGGACAGAGTGCCAGAGGAACAGCAGATGGAGACCAGCACCGGGCGGATGAATTTAACCAATATTTCAACCGGTTTGATTTTCCCCCCTCTCCATCTGCCCCCCCTCTCGCCCCCACCTCTTCACACGTCCCCACCTCGTCACACGTCCCCAGCCCAGTGGACACCGCCCAGTGAACACTGCCTTCGGCTGCCTCGGGCCCTCCTGCCCCCACATCACACCAGACCAGGTGAGGAGTCAGCTCCAGCATCTGAAGCTGAGGAAATCCGCAGGACCGGACGGGATCAGTCCCAGGCTGCTGAGGACCTGTGCAGACCAGCTCTCTGGGGTCCTCAGCTACATGTACAAACTGAGCCTCACCCTGTCCTGTGGAAGACCTCCTGTGTGATCCCGGTTCCTGAAATAGCGCACGCCAAGGAACCGGCTCACTACAGACCAGTCGCACTGACCTGATGAAGACCATGGAGCGGCTCATCCTCACCCATCTCCGCTCCGTGGTCAGCCCCACCCTGGACCCGCTGCAGTTCGCCTACAGGCCCAACATCGGAGTAGAGGACGCCGTCATCTAACTTCCTGCAGCGGATGCTCTTCCACCTGGAGCCCGCCGGGAGCGCTGTGAGAGTCATGTTTTTTGAGTTCTCCAGCGCTTTCAATACCATCAGACCAGCACTGCTACAAGGGAAGATGGAGGACGCGGAAGTGGACAGTGACCTCACTACATGGACCATCAACTACCTCTCAGACCGACCACAGTACGTGCGGCTGCGCAGCTGTGAGTCTGAGGTGGTAATCTGCAGCACTGGGGCCCCTCAGGGCACTGTCCTCTCACCGTTTCTCTTCACCATCTACAGTACACCTCAGACTTCACACACGACACACACAGCTGTCACCTGCAGAAGTTCTCCGACGACTCCGCCATCGTGGGCTGTGTGTCTGAGGGGAACGAACTGGAATATCGATCGGTTATCACGGTTTTTGTCGACTGGTGTGAGCGCAACCACTTGTGCTTGAACACCAGTAAGACCAAGGAGATGATCATCGACTTCAGGAGAAAACCACTTTCCCACACGCTGCTGAACATCCAGGGGGAGGACATTGAGCTGGTGGACAGCTTCAAGTACCTGGGTGTTCACATTAACAATAAACTGGACTGGTCCCATAATACAAACGCCCTGCACAAGAAGGGCCAAAGTCGCCTCTTCCTTCTGAGGAGGCTGAGGTCCTTCGGAGTGAGCAGGCCTCTGCTCAGGACCTTTTATGACTCTGTGGTAGCCTCTGCCATATACTACGCTGCCGTGTGCTGGGCAGCACAGAGCGGGACAGGAGCAGACTGAACAAGCTGGTCAGGAGGGCCAGCTCCACTCTGGGCTGCTCCCTGGACTCTGTGGAGGAGGTGAGGGACAGGAGGCCCCTGGACTCTGTGGAGGAGGTGAGGGGCAGGAGGGTGCTAGTCAAAGCCACCTCCATCATGAACAACGCCACCCACTGCACAGGACTGTAGAGGAGCTGAGAAGCTCCTTCAGTGGAGGACTGAGACACCCTCAGTGTAAGAAGGAGCGCTACTGCAGGGCCTTTATCCCCACCACTGTCAGACTGTACATCAAGTCAGTTTAAGTCACTGCATTAATACTGAAAAACCTGCACTACTATTGACACTTCTTTCTAATTGCCACTTTTTGTACATAATATATCCTGCATTAACATGTTGCACATTTCTTACTTTGCACAATTCTTGAGTGTTCCTATCCTTGCCAATGTGACATGTACATTTCTCCTGTGTGAAATTAATAAAGTACTTCTTATCTTATCTCTTATAATACTGTCCTTCGTTGCTGTAAATATGGAGTATGTGATGTTCCTGCAATTAAAACACACACAAAGCCTAAACAGATAAACAGGAATATGTGTCAATAATCATTTGTAACAAGTGCTTTTTGAAGAAAATTTGCTTTACCACAACACCTAAAATGAAAACAAGTTTTTCAAAGTGGTTGAAAGTTTCATAATGTTTGTGTGTTTAATTGGTCGTCCCTGAGCTAAGTTGTAAAAATATTAGGGTTAGCTTAAACTAGCAAAACCACAGGTCTGTTGTCCTACTGCTGCCACTGAAGTTCTACACCTAGGCCTACTTTTGTTTTATACTTTGAAGCTATGGGAAATATAAACAGCTCACACATGTTTTTCTTAGTTAGGTTTTGGGGTAGCTATAGGCTCTCTCTCACTCTCATTTATCAATAGCCTCATTATTCTATTGAATAATAGAATAGAGAAAAGAACAGAAAGAACATGCATCGTTTTAGTGTTCCCTTAACACATAAACTTTAAACAATGTAAAAACCTGTAACACATTTTGTTTTTCCTAAAAAATCATTTGTTCCTTGCATTGTTACCCTGAAAGCGTACTGGCTGTAAATTGAAGTTCTTAAAAAAAAAAGTCTTGTATTTGTAACCCATGGAGCAGTAAGACGTTTTTACATGGGGTGAGTTCAGTGGTAATAAGCAGATAGTAAAATACATAATACTATGATTTTTCCACACGGCCCCTTCCATGTTTATATAGCCGCCGTGGCTGAGTTGTGAGGAAGGCTGTAAACTGTGGATTAGGAAAACTTCTTGGTCCGTGTATCTGGACCGCTCCCTCTGACCGTGCGTAAAGGCGCACTCACCCAACTCCGCGGCGGTCTGCATGCAGCCGATGTCTCGCAGCAGCTTATCAGTCACTCTCACGGCCCCATTTATGCGGAGCTCCGACAGCTGCAAGGGGCTCTTGTTCTCCACATCAGCCTGTCTGATGCGTAAACCGTCACCCCTCCGATCCCGGAGAGCTGTGCGGAATCTGGCGAGTTGGTCCGTGCTCACTGCTCAGGTCATCCAGAGCCTCGTTGATGAGTTTCCTGGTGCTGGGAACCACCATTGTGATTTATTTGTACTTGTATTTTGAGGATCCGTTGTTTTTCTGTCTGTCTTCCTGGTCACTGTCGTCACCGCGGTATTATTCTGTTCATATACAGTCTATGGTTCATACATCGTGCCAAGGCAGCGACCGCCCCTTTTGCTTCGCACGCCCCGCGTCTTTTATCTTATAGAACCTATTCGGCAATTGTTGGATGCCAACTGCCATTTAACACAAAATAAGAAGAAGAGTTTCCTCCTCCGTGACGCAGGATGGAGGTTCCCAGCACCAGGAGACTCATCAACGATGCTCTGAATGACCTGAGCTCGGACCAGCTCGCCAGCTTCCGCACAGCTCTCCGGGAGCGGAGGGGTGACGGTCCGCGCGTCAGACGGACTGATGTGGAGGACAAGAGCCCCCTGCAGCTGTCGGAGCTGCTGGTGCAGACCTTCCTTGAGGATGGGGCCGTGAGAGTGACCGAGCAGCTCCTACGAGACATCGACTGCATGCAGACCGCCGCGGAGCTGGGTGAGTGCGCCTTTACGCACGGTCAGAGGGAGAGCAGTTTAGGTCATTCGGTGGTTTGTAGAATAGTCCAATTCAGTTTATTTGTGTATTTGTGAAGCGAACAGTTGAGCAGGGAACTCAGTCATTGTGTAGGTTCCCTGTAGGTGAGCTGGAGATGTGTTTATTGTGTTTATATTTCTGTTTGGTGAAACAGTGCGAGAAATGGAACTGTGTGAAAAGAGTTTTCTTTCACTTTCGACTTGAACAGGACGTTGTGCAACAGCGCAGGCAGCAGCAATCATGTTCTAGAATGTACGAGAATATTCTGGAAGATTAAAGCCGGTGCTCAGCCGGTGCTCAGCTTTATCAGACAAACACGTGAGAGAGAGGACCCCCCTCACTCAGCCAATCAGCTCACAGTGTGGAAAAGATGTCGTGGTCTGATTGGTCACAACATGTCCCTTAAACAAGAAGTTAGTTCCCCAGCTTCAATCAGTTCATCACAACTATTTGTCAGCATTCGATAATTAAGTCCTTGTAAACTCTATCATTGACTCTGTACTCATGTTTCGACATGTGAAGGGTTCTTTTGCAACTTCAATTCAATTTATTCTTGTATCGTCCGAAATTACAACAGCAGTCGTCTCAGAAGACTGAACAAAGCTGTCGATTCACCGACACAGATCAGAGAACACAGCCTCGTCTCGTAGCCCTCAGTCCTGCTCCGATCTATCTCTGGTCTCTCTCTCCAATCTCTTTCTAGAGCTCCCGTCATCACATTTCCCGGGAATCTCTGTTCTCCCTCTGGTCTCTCTCTCTGGTCTCTTCCAGTCTCTCTCTAGATTCTCTCTAGTCTCTTTCTGATCACTCTGGTCACTCTCTCTCTCTGGTCTCTCTCTCTCCCCGGTCTCTCTCTTTCTTCTCTGGTTTCTCTCTCTAGTCTCTCTCTGGTCTCTGCCTCTGGTTTCTCTCCCTGGTCTCTCTCTCTGGTCTCTCTCTATCCCCGGTCTCTCTTTCTTCTCTGGTTTCTCTCTCTAGTCTCTCTCTGGTCTCTCTCTCTCTGGTCTCTGCCTCTGGTTTCTCTCCCTGGTCTCTCTCTCTGGTCTCTCTCTCTGGTCTCTCTCACTTCACCAGTTTTACAAGGTTTTACAGCTTGAAAATATGCTTCAATTTACTCCATACGTCCATTTTCTTCCGCTTTATCCATTGCCTGGTCGGTTGGGCAGCAGTCTGAGCAGAGACTTCCCTCTCCACATACACTTCCTCCAGCTCCAACTTGTTTGAGAGATGTAGGAACTAGTGACATTTAATAACAGTGATTTATGGTTTCAAAATTGGGCGCTCCAGCTTCAACATCTTTAAAATGTTTAACTCTATTTCATGCATTGATTCCTGATCAAACTCTCCTGTTCTTTCTGTTCTTTCAAACTCTGTTCTTTCTGTTTCCAGCTGCAGCGGCTGCGCCCAGAGAAAGACCCATACCCGTACCAGGTGACTTTCAGAATAAACACAGTCGCCTCCTCTGGCAGATGCAGAGTATGATACAAGTGAATGAACGGCAATAAGATACGATATTCCTTTATGTCTCACAGTGGAGGAATTTCAGTGTCATCGTTGCGCTCATTACAGCAGGAAATAAGAGCACTCAGATTGTACACATCAAACAGTCTATTATTTAAGATAATAGACGATTTAATTAAAATGTGGTAACAAGATGGTAAAATAGAATAAAATACAATGAAATAAACTCTGGAGCTATAATTGCACATGGTTCAGGAGTATTTACAGATGTGTATATTGTACTTTAACAGGTAAAGTGACTAGTGAATGGCAGAAGTATCAGATGGACATGTAATAATGCAGTAATAATATCAAAAGGTAAAGTGACTAGTGACAAAGTTACTAGTGAATTATTACCAGTGACACTTGTACAGACTCAGCAGTTCTTGTTATACATTCTCGTTGTACAGCCTGACAGCAGCAGGGAGGAAGGACCTGTGAAACCTCTCCTTCACACATCGAGGGTGAAAAAGTCTGTCACTGAAGCTGCTCTCCAGAGCAGAGAGAGTGTCCTGCAGGGGGTGACGGTCATGGTCCAGCATAGATGTTAGTTTGTCCAGGACCCTCCTGTCCCCCACCTGCTGCACTGTGTCCAGGGAACAGCCCAGGACTGAGCTGGACTTCCTGATTATCTGTTCCAGCTTCCTCCTGCCCTTCTCTGTGATGCTGCTGTTCCAGCAGACCACACCGTACAAGATGGCTGATGCCATGCCTTCTATGACTCTTGACAGAGTCACAGAAGGTCTTCAGGAGTGGCCCCTGCACTCGAAAAGACCTGAGCCTCCTCAGCAGGTAGAGCCGGCTCTGGCCCTTCTTGAAGAGGGCGTCTGTGTTATGAGTCCACTCTCTCAATGTCCCTTCCCTGGATGTTCACTGGGACTGGGCGTTAGAGTGACGTCTGGAGTAGTCAAAGTGTTCTGATGCTGTAACAAGTGCCTATAACAGGTCTGGGCTATTACTTTCTTCATGGGCCATATATCGCACTATTGTGGAGGGCCGGACCCAATTTGACTCCTGATTCATTATAAAAAGGGACAGAATGGTTTGGATCGGTCGGGAAGGATCCAAGGGCTGCATAGAAATGTGAATCATATATAGGTCGTGGATCTATAATAATAATTAACAGCTTAGAGCTGAAGAACCCATGTGCTCGGGGGATTCTCGCGGTACTCAGTGGCGTTCCAAGGGTACCCTGGGGCCCCAGGCAACAGAGTCTTTGGGGGCCCCGATAACGACCACATAACCACATAAAACGGTTTATATTACAGTAGGTATACATATATATTTAATAATAAGGTAAAATTCAATATCTATTGCTTGTTTACATAAATATAAATTAAATGTAGATCATTTCTTATTTTTGACAATAAATGGATGTGCCTGGGGCCTGCCTGGCAGACTGTACAGTCTGCCATAGAAAATAGTGAGTACTTCAGTACTTATCGTGGCACAAAGCAACGAGAAATAATTTAGCATCCATCCATCCATTTTCTACCCTTTAATCCATTTCTGGGTCAGGGGGGTGGCAATCAGAGATGCCATCCAAGTCTCATAGCACCAGCCCCTCACTGAGCCTCTGCAGGTGGTGAGTCCACAGGAGGACGGCTGCTCTCTGACTGTGAGCATAGCCTTGATCTTTCAGTGGGGGCTTTGGGGCAAAGTGGGGTTAAGTGTCTTGCCCAAGGACACAACGACAGCAGTCATCAGTGGGAGTCGGTGGAGAAGGTGCAGAGGTGGGAATTGAACCCACAACCTCCTGGCCTTAAGGCCAATGCTCTACCAACTGAGCTACTGTCACCCCTTAATAATTTAGCATGTCTTTTTAAAAGCTTGTTCACTACACTCATCATGATATAATTAATTACAAAAACTACCTATCAAAGTGTATTAATCCTACAAAATCTAAGCTCTTAGCTTTAATCTGCAAAAAACGGCTTGTTTTTATCTTTTACCGTTCTTGAGCAATCTGTCATTGAATATAATAGAAATATTTCAGACTGCCATCCCGCTCCCGCCTGGATTCGAATGCAGGCCTAGTTAACACAAGCCCCAAGCAGGCTTTTTATCCGTTAATAAAAAACGTGGCAAGTTTTGCATCAAAACGTTTTTATCTGCCAACTTATGACTGCAGGTAGCTGTTGTAGCCTGTACAAGTTGACCGCTTGTGTCTAGTCGGCCCTCGGGGGCCCCCTGCCGGTTTGGGGGCCCCAGGCTGCCTGCCTTGCCTGGGGCCCTGCAGACTAAACCAGACTAAATTCACGTGAGCTGCCCAGAAATGTTCCCCATAGAACTCAATGTAAACTAAAGCAGCTCGACTTCAGCTGACAGAGAACCTACAGCTTTCATAAAGGTCTGATTTTGTGGGGACTTTAGTGTCCCTTGTCATCCTGAACTTTTTTTCTTCTTAAATCTTTCGGTTTTCCTTAAATCCACACTTCAGTGCCACAAACTCTGCTCGTTTGGCTCCCGCTCTAACTCCCGCTCTGATGAGCTGCTCTGATTGGTCAGAGCGCAGCCGAGCCCCTCTGTGCACATGTATGAGAGTCACTGTACAGATGATGCCCAAATATGGGCGACTCGGGCGAGTTCTGATAATCTTTCGGTCATTCATTTGAATAGGACGTCATCTTGGATCTTGCATCTTGGGCTTGATATAGATATAGGGCAATGCTAACACAGACTGTATATAGATGGACAATGCTAACACAGACTGTATTAAAACATGAATACAAATAAATGCAAATATTAAATAAAACTATCTGAACTCTGTGTCTCTGCAGAGCAACACTTTGTGGACCGACACAGGGAGGAGCTCATAGCCAGAGTCTCGAACATCGACCCCATCCTGGACCATTTGCTCCAACAAGGGGTGCTGCAGGGAGAGCAGTATGACCGGATCCGCAGCCTCAGGCCCACCCAGGAGCAGACCAGGACTCTGTACCGCGAACCTCTGAGGGCTGGAGGGCTCCGATCCAAGGCCCGGCTGCTGGAGGCTCTGGAGGAACACGAGCGCTATCTGATCCAGGACCTGCGCCAGCAAGACCAAGTCTAGTCCTAGTCCGAGTCTAGTCCTAATTTCCAGACAGACCTACAAGTCCAAGTCTCGTCGTTGTCCAAGTTTCACCAGCAATTATCTCGGAGGACAGCTGTTGATGACACTACAGTGCAGGCTTACTGTACTTATGTCATCAAGGCAAAGTTAGAGATTTTATACTTGCTTCTTTACTAGATAGACAGATAGATAGATACTTTATTGATCCCCGTAGGAAAAATGCAGGTGTCCAGTAGCAGCAGAAACACATCCATCCAAACAAAAACAAATAAATAGATAATTCTAAAAATGCAACAGCACTTCAGGTCACAGCTAATGCTAAAGTTAGAGATTTCATACTTGCTTCTTTATTATGCTAAAGCTAGAGATGTTTTACTGAGATAATAAACCACACTTTGATTTGAATTACAGCTCTTGTTGTTTATTTATATTTAATATTATGTATTTCACTCCTTAGAAATTCCACAACAACACATTGAAACCAGTCTGGGAAGGAAAGCCTCAGTGTGTTAATATTTACTGTCTGTGGTTACGGGGGCTTTATATGTCCATCACTAAGTAACTGTAACAGAGTACAGTTACTCAAAAAGAGTATTCTGAAAACATTCTGTTACCCCCAAAACTGCCTGAACCCCACCCTTTTGGACTCGCCGGAACAACTCATCTGCTGCGTGAAAGTGACGGCTCTCAGTCTGTTCATTCTGAAGAATCCTAAACAGTATAAATATACATGTGATCACATGAATACAGTATAAATACACATGTGATCACATGAATACAGTATAAATACACATGTGATCACATGAATACAGTATAAATACTCATGTGATCACATGAATACAGTATAAATACACATGTGGTGTTTTTCAGCCCTCAACACGTGTCAGAGATCTCTGTCCCTCAAAACCCGTGAACTGGAGGAAAAGATCTCGTGTAAGTGACGTCTGGAAAAGAAGACAGAACAGACAAATATTCAATTCTCTGTATTTTTGTATCGCCCTAAACCACAACAGTAGTGATCTCCCCACACACCACCGCCATCCTCGTCCACAGCCTCGTCACCTCAAGGATAGACTACTGCAACTCTCTTCTTTTCGGCCTCCCCAGCAAATCCCTCCAGAAACTGCAGCTCCTTCAAAACTCTGCAGCTCGCATCATCACCCGGACCCCCACAACTGACCACATCACCCCCGTACTCCGACAACTCCACTGGCTTCCTATTAAACAGCGCATCAACTTCAAAATACTCCTCACCACTTTCAAAGCACTTCACAACCTGGCCCCTCCGTACTTATCTGCCACTCCTGTCCGCACACTCCGCTCCTCCTCCACTCTCAGACTCTCCGTTCCCCCAGCCAGACTCATCACCGTGGGACGCAGAGCCTTCAGCCACTCTGCCCCCCCATCTCTGGAACTCTCTCCCCCCCATCTCTGGAACTCTCTCCCCCCTGACCTCCGTACCATCGACTCTCTCCCACTCTTCAAATCCAGACTCCAAACCCATCTGTTCAGACTGTCCTACCCCACCTAACACACACACACCCACCATTCCATATTGTACTTTATTGTTTTATTCTGTTGATCCTGTTTTTTATGCTCTGTACAGTGTCCTTGGGTGTTTAGAAAGGCGCTTTTAAATAAAATGTATTATTATTATTATCTCAGACTTTACAAAGCTGTTGATTCTCCAACACAGATCAGAGAATCAAACAAAAGAACATGATAAAAACACGTAGAGCCATTGGTCCATGAGGGGCAGAGACCAGCATCTATAAATGTTGACAGTTGTGTTCAAGTAAATGACCACTTCACTGACTGGTTCCCAACACCATATGGCCTAAAACAGGGTGATGTTCTGTCTCCCACATTATTTGCCATATACATTAATGATTTAGTATATGAAGTAAAAGAGGCAGATGTGGGCATTAATGTGGGAGACTTGAAACTTTGTATTCTGTTGTATGCGGACGACATTGTGCTATTAGCCAAAAAGGAATCAGACCTTCAGAAAATGTTGAATATCGTTTATGCTTGGTGCAACAAAATGAGAATGATAAATTCTGATAAAACTCAAATTATGCATTTCAGAGGAAGTACCCAGGCATTCTATGTCATAGTGCTCCGCCCCTTAGGCCGCTATGGGTAACTCCGGAAGCTCCCAGCTTCCCAGGAGGAAGAACCTGAGGTTGAGTAAGTCCCGCTCGACCTGCCTCCCGCACCCAGGGAGTGGGGAGATTGTGGAGTTTGACGAGGACCAGGGTTCCTTTGTCACTCTCGAGGAGGCTGTCTCCTGCTTCGAGGGACGAGACCGCTTCCCACTGGACCACATGCCCCGCCTCTTCGCCTCTGCAGCGGGCATCATGGAGACCCCCCTCCCTCCGCAGCCCACCCAGGCGGAGAGTGACTTCACGTCGGTGGGTGCTTCTCTTCCCGGTGAGGAAGAGGCATGTACCAACGCTGTGCCCGCGAATGGACCCAGTGTTTCATTACGCGACACGTGATTGGGCCAAACCCTTGGCAGCCAAGAGGCCTGCCATGGGGTATGGCGCGTACTGCTCGGTCCGGGACTGGTCCTGGTCCAGCGGGGTCCCCGATGTGGAGGACGCTGTGAGACTGGCGCTACTCCCACAGCCCAGCGGTCGACCTATTTGCCAGTGCAGACAACGCTCAGTGCCCGCTCTGGTTCGCGCTGCGGCCCACGGACAATCCGCCCCTGGGGGTGGATGCCTTGGCTCATTATCCGTGGCCGGGGGGCCTCTTGTACGCATTCCCCCCGATTCGCCTCTTGCCGATTCTGCTGAGGAGGATGGAACAGGAGGGACCGGAACACAGGAGCGGACATAATGTCCTGAGGGGGACCCGCGGATGGCAGCGGAGGTCTGGCTGAAATTCGGTCGCCCAGCGTCGACCTATTTGCCAGTGCAGACATCGCTCAGTGCCCGCTCTGGTTCAAGCTGGGGCCCACGGACAATCCGCCCCTGGGGGTGGATGCCTTGGCTCATTATCCGTGGCCGGGGGGCCTCTTGTACGCATTCCCCCCGATTCGCCTCTTGCCGATTCTGTTGAGGAGGATGGAACAGGAGGGACGGGAGGTGATCTTGGTCACCCCGGACAGACCGCAGGCCCGTTGGTTCCCGTTTCTGACGAGCATGGCGGTGATGGACCTGTGGCCCCTCCCGGACGTGCCTTGGGTGTTGCGCCAGGGACAGGGGACGCTTCATTCCCGTCCAGTCCTGGGCCACAGACTCTGGGTCTGGAGGCTGAGAGGCAGAACCTCGAGTCGTAAGCCTGGGCCTCCCCCTGTCAGTGGTGGAGACCATTCAGGGCCTATGGCTGTAGGTGGAAGGTTTTCAGCGACTGGTGCGCGGTGCGTTCTTGGGACCCCAGGTCTTGTCCTCTAGAGGGGGTCCTGGGTTTCCTACAGGAGCTGTTGGATAAAGGCAGAGCTACTGGCACCTTAGCGGTGTTCGCATCGGCCATTGCCTCCGGTCACGGTGGGTTCGGGGGTTTTTCGGCTCGCTCCCACCCATTGGTCAAACGTTTCCTTCGGGGGGCCCACAGGAAGAGGCCTGTTCTCAGACGGACGCCTCCGATCTGGGACCTCAAGGTGGTACTGAAGGGGCTATCCGGGCCTCCTTTCGAGCCGGTGGCCTGGCCAGCCCGGAGTGTGTGGCCTTCAAGACTGCCCTCTTGTTGGCCTTGGTGTCAACCAAGAGGGCGGGTGACTTATGTGCTCTCGCCATCGGTCCGACCTGCCTGTCGTTTGGAGCGGAGGGCGGGCTGGTGGAGCTTTGGCCCAACCCAGCCTTTCTCCCCAAGGTCGTTTCTTCAACCTTCAGGTCCAGGGTCATAAGAATTAGACCTTTTTATCCGCCACCTCATTCTTCTTCGGAGGATGAGCAGCGGCATCTTTTGCGTCCTATTAGAATGCTTCGGCATTACTTGGACGTCACGGCCACGTTCAGGCGCACCGACCAGCTGTTCGTGTGTCTTGGTCCTAAGAATAAGGGCGCCCCCCTGTCCCCTCAGCGGCTGGCGCACTGGATTTCCCGGGCGATTCGCACGGCATATCGGGGATTGGTTCACCCGGTGGGGTTCCGAGCGCACTCCACAAGGGGGGTTGCGGCCTCCACGGCTCTACTGCGTGGGGCCTCGGTGGAGGACGTATGTCAGGCTGCGTCCTGGGCATCGTCCTCCTCCTTTGCCCAGTCATATCTGGTGGACGTGTCGGAACGGTCGGTAGCCCACTCCGTTCTGAACGCTGGGAACTGATCGAGACCGTATGGTGCTCTTGATAGAGGCAACCTGCGGTCTTAAGTTGTTTCGGGGCCGCCCCCTTCTGGAGCTCTTGATAGAGGCGTCCTGGGGTTGTGGCCCGCCTTCTTCCTTCGCGGGCCTTGCGGTCCTCAGGTGCTCAGGAGAGGACATGCTGTTAAACGATATTGAAAATGAATTGCATTTTGTGTTTTTTTGTCCTTTGTACGAAGGCAATTATTTTGTAAACTGTCTGATGTTGCTGAACTTTTGTTTGAACTGTCCGATGAGGAAAAGCTTAAGTTTCTGTTCAAATATAAGCCATTTCATTTGTCCAAGTTTTTGTTAAGTGCATGGCTCCAACGGAAGAGGACACTCTTTGTTTGATGTATTTCTGATGTCTGCCTACATCTTTGTGTCTTATAATCCCATACGGGCTGGGCATCTTTAGGTGCAAGACACCAAATAAGAAATAAACTAAACTAAACTAAACTAACTCCCCTGATACTATCATCAATGCTCCAGCATGCTGTCACTGAATTTTAGCGACTGCCTCCTGAATGACGTCACACGCAGTTTCCGGCTCAGCGCGAGGAGGAATGTAAACAATAAGGGCGACGATGTGAGAGAACTCCCGTGGAAGATAGTAGGGCCGAATGCTGACCACTAGTAGTTCAATATCCCGACAACAGCTCTTGAGTTTCACAGTTATGTGACAGGGATGGCACCATTTGTTGTTGACAAGCATGGCAAGTCCACCGCCCTTCGTTTTACCGCGGGCGGTGTCTGATAGAGACACGCTTTAGTGGTCTGATAGAGACACGCTTTAGTGTCTCTATCAGACCTGACGATAAAGAATCCGGTGATGCTGACAGCTGAATCGGGTATGTTGTCATGTAGCCACGACTCAGATAGGAGATAAAGGCTACAGTCCCGGTAAGATGCATCACACTTCACCAAAGCCTCAAGTTCCTCAGACTTATTTTGAAGTGAGTTGACGTTCCCCATTATTATTGATGGTACGAATGGGTTGTACCGGTACCTCCTTGCCTTCTTCTTAGCTCCAGCTCAACATCCTCTGAAGGGCTTCTTGATCTCCCGAGGGATCGGATGCTTCATCCCACATGGGCTTCGTCGTAGCCGAAAGAGGTCATCTCGTGAGTACTTTGCAAAATCCTGCCAGTGCATTTTTTGAAAATATTCGCTTCTCTCCAGTTGACTTACACTTGATCTGCTTGTTTCGGACCATGCGTCCTCTTTGCTCCGATCAGTGTAAAACCATAAACACTGTACTGGTGTCATGGTGTAGATTTTATTTTTGTACTTTGGTTTTATTTTGACATTGTTTCTCTGTGGTTTGGTTTTGAGTTTGACTTCCTGTGCTGTTTCCCCTGTCTTGATTGTCTGCCCCGCCCTCATGTGTTTCACCTGTGTCCCTGTCTATATTTACCCTGTGCCCCTCTCCACATGTTGCTGGTCCATTGTTATGTCAATGTCCTGTTTCGTCATGTCAAGTTCTGTCTTTGTTCCTGGTTCTGTATTCTTGGATTTTGAGTTTAGTTTTCACCTGGACTTTTATTTTAATTAAATCATTCTTTTTTTGCATTCCTGCATTTGAGTCCTCCATCATCCGTCCCCGTGACAACTGGATTAAAAATAATCTACAGCTAGAAAAATTAAGAAAAATGAAAAAAAATAACGGTTGTAGAGTACAGTATCTTCAGAGCTGCTAGGACTTGCTACTGTTTCCAGCGCATTCAAATCATAATCAGTAAAGTAAAGTAACATGTGGCCACAGAACTAAAAAAGGCCTTGTTATGGTTCTCAAATCATTAACGACAAAACAAGGAATAAAACCAGGATTTCTATCTTTGTGAAAAAGGTGTTTGTTATAGATTTGTTGTTGACAAAACTCTTTATTCAGATATTATGGTCCCAGCTGGATTCGTCTGCATATCTGGCAACCTGAGTCAGGGAGAGTGGGAGAAGGTGCAGTACCACTTTTGGCCAGATTTCTACATACTGCTCCTTTAACTCGTCCCACTGTGGGGAAATGTCAGTGTTGTAATCACCAGTTACAGAACTGTAGGAATGAAAAGAGAAATGAACAATAACTCTAAACTTAAATAACATAACATCTCTAACTTTAGCATAATACAGAAGCAAGTATAACATCTCTAACTTTAGCATGATACAGAAGCAAGTATAACATCTCTAAATGTTGGATAATAAAGAGGTCTAAAGTCTGTTTTTTATACTTTACTGTTGAGAACTAATGTTTTGATGTGAGCCATGAACCATTCACTCTCAGTCTAGTTTGAACAGTTGAGTTTATAAGTTTTGCTTATCGTCATGGAAACGAGGATCCTTCTCACTGGTGTCTGTTCTGGTCTGACTGGACAATCTGTTCATTTCTGTCATAAACCATGTTCTATCACTGACCTGAACAATCCTCAGTGTGAAACCCACAAAAACAAGATTAAAGTGCTTTCTTCAGACTGCTGTTAGCATGTTAGCCTATCCAGGTGTCCTGCAGCCAACGAGATTCTTCTGCCAGAGGGAAGAAGCTGGAACATGGCTTTTTCCAGGGGTCAAAAGTGTCATTGATTATTCTGATGTGGATTTATGTCTGGAATCATAAAGAACCACCAGAACTCTCTCTCTGGTCTCTCTCTCTAGTCTCTCTCTCTGGTCCATAGGCCTGAGAGAGTCCAGGCTGATCCACAGGTCAGAGAGAGTCCAGACTTGTCCGCGGGTCGGAGACAGTCCAGACTGGTTCACAGGTCTGAGAGAGTCCAGGCTGGTCCACAGGACTGAGAGAGTCCAGACTGGTTCACAGGTCGGAGAGAGTCCAGGCTGGTCCACAGGTCTGAGAGAGTCCAGTCTGGTCCACAGGTCTGAGAGAGTCCAGTCTGGTCCACAGGTCTGAGAGTCCAGTCTGGTCCACAGGTCTGAGAAAGTCCAGTCTGGTCCACAGGTCTGAGAGAGTCCAGGCTGGTCCACAGGTCTGAGAGTCCAGTCTGGTCCACAGGTCTGAGAGTCCAGTCTGGTCCACAGGTCTGAGAGTCCAGTCTGGTCCACAGGTCTGAGAGAGTCCAGTCTGGTCCACAGGTCTGAGAGAGTCCAGGCTGGTCCACAGGTCTGAGAGAGTCCAGTCTGGTCCACAGGTCTGAGAGTCCAGTCTGCTCCACAGGTCTGAGAGAGTCCAGTCTGGTCCACAGGTCTGAGAGAGTCCAGGCTGGTCCACAGGTCTGAGAGTCCAGTCTGGTCCACAGGTCGGAGAGAGTCCAGTCTGACAATCCAAAGAAACAACTCAATATTATTGTGATTCTTAACATATTGTGATACAGAAAATATTGTGATTTGATTTTGTGATATATTGTGATTCATGTCCTTCATATTATTCAGACTTTAAAACATGGAGGAAAATAAGACTCTTCTGTGACATTATTATGGTCTGTACATGAACTGAAGCAAACACTTAGAGGGTCATTTCACACAATCTGCTCAGATCAAGAGGAAGTCTTTTACTCAGAGCTGAACAACATTTAGAAAATACAAACTTCTCTTTTCAATGTTATTTTTGAAAAGACACAAACACAGAAGAACAAACCACAAATGAGAGAGGCACAACAAACTTGAAGATGAGGCCCCTCTCTTTCTCCTTGACTTAAAGTTGGCTGAATGATGCCACAGAGGAATGAGACGATGATTGAAGGTTCGAGCCCAACACGGGACCTTCTCCACCGACTCCCACTGTCTGCTGTCGTTGTGTCCTTGGCAAGACACTTAACCTCTGTCAACAACAAGTGCCACATACTGGTTGTCTCGCTTCTGTCAGTGTGCCCCAGGGCAGCTGTGGCTACAGTAGTAGTTTATCACCACCGTGTTTGGAGTGAATGAATAATGACATGTTTAGTGTCTTTGAGTGTCCAAAAAAGCGCTACATAAAACCAATGCATTATTATAATTATTATTATTGTTTGGCACATTCCTCAAAGTTGTGTCGTGTGATGTGTTTTTGGTAAAAAGCTGTTGCTTGGTTAAAAAACTTCACAAGTCAAGACTTCCTCTCAAACTGTGCCTCAGTTTAAGAGGAAGTCTTGACTTGTGAAGTTTTTTTCTCAGAGCTAAATACAATTTAGAAACCAGAGAATTTCTTTGCGCTTCCTGAGAAACTTCTCTTATATTATATTTGAAAAAACACAAACACCGCACAAGAACAAGTCAAACCACAAATGTTAAAATCTCACTTTACAGCCTCGGTCCTGGATCTACAGCCTCAGACCTGGATCTACAGCCTCAGTCCTGGATCTTCAACCTCAGTCCTGGATCTACAGCCTCAGTCCTGGCCTCAGTCCTGGATCTGCAGCCTCAGTCCTGGATCTACAGCCTCAGTCCTGGATCTACAGCCTCTGTCCTGGATCTAGCTTACTAGCTTACAGCTGTCCCACCCACAGGGGGTGCCCGTGGTACTGCAGACTAAAATCACGCGGGCTACCCAGAAAAAAGTCCTCAATGTAAATTAAAACAGCTCGACCTCGGCTGACAGAGAACCTACAGCTTTCATAAAGTCGGATTTTAGTGTCCCTTGTCGTCCTGAACTTTATTTTCTATGAATCTACACTTTAGTGCCACAAACTCTGCTCGTTTGTTTCCCGCTTTATCTCCGCTCTGATCAGCAGCTCTAATTTGTCAGACCGTGGCCGAGCCCCTCTGTGCACGTGCGTGAGAGCCACTCACTCATATTTGGTGCAAAGCATCATGGGAGCTCGTCCAGTAGTAGTTTATCGGGAGGACCAGACGATGCCCAAATATGAGCGAGTTCTGCTAATCTCCCGGTCCCTGTGAAGTCCCATGCGCGGCTTGTGCTCAGAAGCGAGGCGTCCCATGTGTGCGACAGGAGGAAGGCTCCCTTGTCTCGGTTGATGCTGTTGTTGCAGCTTTCTGATTTCAATCTCCTCCTTGGTCCAGCGTTTGTATCTGTTGTTTTTGGTTCTGATGACCCACAGATTAACAAACTAACCAAGAAAACCTCAAATAAACTATTGCTGATCACTGCAAGGGAAATAACCACATTATGGACCGGGACGGGGCGCGGCAACAACAGCATCAACCGAGACAAGGGAGCCTTCCTCCTGTCGCACACATGGGACACCCTCCCCCAGAGACCACTGGGCAAAAGAGGGCGTGGTCAGTCTGGGGGACCTGTCAATCAGGCTGTGTGTGTGTGTTTGTGTGTGTCTCTGTGTGTACGTGTGTGTGTGTTTGTGTGTATGATTCAGGGTGGCGATGTCAATCATGTTGTACCACAGCACTATGGGCCACCTCTGTGTTTGGTTCTTGCTTAGGTGTAGGTACCAAACGACAGTAGCTCAGTTGGTAGGGCATTGGCCTTAGAGCCAGAGGGTCATGGGTTTGAGCCCGACTTTCACCATCGACTCCCACTGTCTACTGTCGTTGTGTCCTTGGCAAGACATTTCAGCCCCATTGCCTAGATTGAGTCTGGTGTGCAGTGCCGGCGTGGCTAATCGGGAGAGCCGGGAGGTTTCCCGGTGGGCCGGTTGGGCTAAGGGCCGGTGGGCTGGATGTTGTTGCTGGTTGGACTTGGCCGGCGGCCGTGCTTTCCTGACACCGCTGTTCACCGCAGCCTTCTCGGACCTGTCGCTCGCCCGTGCCCCACTGCCTCTCTCTCTCTCTCTCTCTCTCTCTCTCTCTCTCTCTCTCTCACCCACGCACACATGAGTAAACAGCACACACACTTCTGGCTAGTCTCATTTGGCCGCTTTCATTGGTTACGATGTGTTCTGCAACGGCCTGATTGGTTGTCTGTAGATTGTAGGCGGGATTAAGCGAGAGCGCGGGCCATAGATCAGGTTGAATGACAGATACAGTGTTGCCAACTTAGCGACTTTGTCGCTAGATTTAGCGACTTTTCAGACCCTATAGCGACTTTTTTTCAAAAAAGCGACTAGCGACAGATCTAGACAAAGCATTAAAATCATTAAATGTTGTTAATGTTGAAATTATTTTTGTACATTTGTAGTTCTAAACATATTTAGGGTGTTTTTTACTCACTTTTGTCTCTCCCACGACGTTATTCCTCTCTCCTACAGCGTCCGTTACAGTTATTTGCAAATTGCAAATTATGCAAATTAGGCGATGACGTCATTTAGCGACTTCTAGCGACTTTTGGGACAGCCAATGGCTACTTTCCTTACTGAGGAGTTGGCAACACTGGACAGATAGAACTGAAGCAAGCGCCGTTTCTCACAGACATGACATCTGTCCAACACGAGTGTTTTTAAAATGGAAAGGAACAAAATCAAGGGCTGAGGAGAAAAGATTAGAATAAAAAAAAGGAAAGCTCTTGAAGCTGAAGCAGCCAAATGTGCAAAGTTGGTAGTTTTTTTCTATAAAAAGTGCTCCGCCGATGAAGAGGCATCAGACCGCGGTAAGCTAGCAAAAAAAACATGCAAAACACTGTGGCAAAACATGACGACGTGATTCTCTAAATGATTAGCACTCCGTCATTACATTTATTGCTTCTTGGGTCCTCAGATACAACAATCGTTCATTCATATTAATGGATTGTATTTTTAATCAAATTTGACTAAGCCACTAAGGCCATGAATTTATTTATTTCATAATGTATAATGTATATTGCATAAATTACATTTTTAACTTTTGTGTGTTTGTCAAAAGATGTGAAGCATTTATGCTCATATCTACAGAAAAGACATCCTTTGTCATTGGTAATGACAATTATCATAAACAAAGTTGCATAAACAAGTGCACTTCTACAGAGTTTACTCTGTTTTAATGTGCTTCATTTAGCTATTGTTAATTTGGGTTTGATTGATTTAAATAGTGTGCAGTTTGTGTTTTCTCGTCTTGATAGAGGTTAACATTTAGTTTGCTTTTAGTTCTCCCCTGGGACAACATAGAAGTACGTTAAGATTAATTTTGTTTTTGTATAAAGTTGTACCAAGCACTGTTTTGTCTTAGTGTTGTATTTGCATTAGTCTTTGTTTTTGTTTAGTCTTGAAAGGAGGATGATAGTTTAATGGTTTCGAGTCAATTCAATGTATTTTTAAAAAAATATAGCCAAATCTTTGTGAATAACAATTATTTGAATGAAAATTGACATTGTTCTAAAATTTGTGAAATTCATGCTTTTTATATCCACATAAGTCTAGGGTCAGTCTAAAATTTGCCACAATTCATATTGTGATACCAGAATATTCAAATATCATGATTTATTCAAATGCATTATTGAGTTATTTTGTGACTAGCACTGAGAAGTCTAAAGGAGTGAACGAAGAATAATTTTAATACCATTAGTCTTGTAATTTACAAAACTTGATTTTAGGCCACCTGCTGGTTGTTATGGATATTACAACAGCAGGCAGTTCAGTTTTTTTTTTTATAGACTACTTTATCAGAAGGGCCGGTCTGACCCAGAATTCCCGGGCCAAAAAATTGTCCCACTCCGGCCCTGCTGGTGTGTGTGAATGGTTTGTGGTGGTGGTCGGAGGGGCCGATGGCACAGACAGCTGTGTATGAATTCAGGCCGTAAAAAGTGCTGAGTAGAGACTTAGCGTGATGCTCGCTCTCCTCCAATCACAGAACGAGGAGTGGCGCTGTTGCGAAAAGGCTGCCTCCTCTAGCTAGATGGCTCCAAGGCAGAAATGAGAAGCCTGTGAGTGAGTTTGGGGCGGTGCTAAACATTCAAACTGATAAAAACTTTGCAGAAACGGGTATAGCTCCTTTAACAAGAAAAAACAATACTTGTTTTTCAAAAGAACCACCAAAAGTATTTATAAGAGCATGTCATGATTTCGAGGAAACCCCAGACAGAATAACCTCTGAACCTCATTGACTAATGGGGATCTTAATAAAACTAAACTAAAGCGGAAGAAGCACCATCTGAGGAGCTGTCTGCACCAGGAGCAGAGAGCTCCAGGTGGATCACAGCCGTGGATCATAGTTGTTTTCTACAAATGTATTCACACCAAGCCCCGGTGATCCAAGATGTCGCCGTATTCAGATGAATGGTTTATGTTCAGTGGTGCATTGTGCCGGCATGGGGGCTGAAAGATTAGCAGAACTCGCCTGTAAAGTGTGGATTTAAAGAAAACCGAAAAATTTAAGAAGAAAAAAAGTTCAGGATGACAAGGGACACTGAAATCCCACAAAATTCGACCTTTATGAAAGCTCTAGGTTCTCTGTAGTAGTAGTAGTAGTAGTAGTGTGTTTATTTCAATTAATTGCGCAATACAAAACAAAAAAGAAGAAACATATAAACATATAAAGTATATACACAATTCTAAAAGGAGTAGGTAGAAGTGAAACTTATGCTTCCTACCCCTTGTTACAAACTTTTCTCTTTACAGGAGTTCAAATGATATACAGGCATATTTCTCTCAGATATAAAATTTACACTCGTCTCCATGAATAGTAATTTTAAATGCTGATTCAGCACCAATGATGTTCTTAGGTCTTGTTGTCACTGCCATTTTTACCCAAAGCTGTTGTTTATTTAATGTTAACATAGTTATGTATGTAGACCCTACATAGTGCAGTGCATTAAAAACAGTGGGTAGAATGAGCCAGTCGAGAGACCCGCCCCACTCCCAACATCCCTGACCAATGGAAATGTAGGAAAATTTGCGTTGTATATGCTTGCTGTGTGGTGCGTTAAAAACGAGGTGTTGAGGCCGCTTGGCAAGAGGGAGCCCGCCAATCCAACCATATCTCGTCTGCTCTGATTTACTTGTATCTGTTTAAGCAGTAATGGCAATCACAACATGACAACTTGTTTTCTTACACTATAGATCTTGGTCATGTGCTATTCATGGTTAAGAGTTGTCCATTGCATCTGAAAGATTTAACTGCTCCAAATGATTTTTACACATCCCTTTTACATTTACACATATATTACATAATACATACCTTACACACAATACTTTACCTTACACTTTATGTATCACACCTTACTTTCCATTTCTTCAAAAACAAACCATCAATTTAAATCCAGATTTTATTCTCATGTAACACTCTCATATTTCCTGAATATAGTAGTTTTGATTTGTTTCTTAAAAACTATTATGTTTTTTGACTCTTTAATGTCTTTGTTAACTGCGTTCCACAAGTTGATTCCTTTCACTGAGACTGTTCTTTCCATGACTTTTGTTCTGAATCTAGGTTTTTTTAAAGATATCAGTTCCTTTCAGATTGTACTGACTTTGTCTTTTTTCAAAGTTCTCTTGAATGTTTGTGGGTAATGATTTGCAATTTGCTTTATACAATATCTGAAAAATATTATAATCCACTATATCATAACATTTTAACACCTTACACTCTAAAAAAACAGGATTTGATGAGTCTCGATATCTTCTGTTCACTATTTTTAGGGCTCTTTTTTGTAAAATAAATATTGGCTGTGTATATGTTTTAAAGGTTGTCCCCCAAATTTTGACACAATAGGTTAGATATGGTATAATCATTGTATTATATAAGGCAATTAATTCTGTGTGGGTAAGAAAGTATTTCACTTTATGTAACACACCAATTGATTTGGCTAATTTTCCTTTTGTATAGTGTATGTGAGATTTCCAGTTTAGGTCCTCGTCAATGATGACTCCCAAAAATGTTGTTTCCTTTACCCTTTGGATTTCCAGGCCGTCTATTGTTATGGATATACTATTTTCAAGATTTTTCTTTTTATCATTGAATATCATGTAATTGGTTTTTTTAATGTTTAGCACCAATTTATTTTGATCTAACCAGCTTTTTATTTTTGCAAGTTCTTTGTTTATTACTATTTCTAACTCTCCTATATTATTTCCAGAGTAAAATAATGTAGTGTCATCAGCGAATAAGATGCTTTGTAATACAGTTGAGGCTTTTGGAAAATCATTCATGTATAATATAAACAAAATTGGTCCTAGTATTGAGCCTTGCGGCATCCCCCAACTGATATCGCATGGTTCTGAATTCGTACTATTTATTTGGACAAACTGTTTGCGATTTTCAAGATAGGTTTTGGTTCGTAGTGATAAATTACAGATGTGTTTAAACGGCTTTAAAACACTTTCAAAAACACTCTAGGTCCTCATGTCCAAGTCGCAGAAGTTTCTCCTGACTCTGCGTATATGGTGGTTTTAGATCAATATTGAGACTTTGTAACATTTATATTATTATTATATAAAGGCATTCAAATTTATTTTTGTTGTCCTTTCTGCAGCTAGAGCTGGACTGGTCTCCTGCTGGGCCCAGAGTCAGGACTAAACATGGGAAGGCAGAGTGTCAGATTTCCATCCATACATCCATCCATTTTCTACCCTTTAATCCATTTCTTGGTCAGGGGGGTGGCAATCAGAGATGCCACCTCACTGACCCTCTGCAGGTGGTGAGTCCACAGGAGGACGGCTGCTCTCTGATCTTTCAGTGGGAGCTTTGGGCAAAGTGGGGTTAAGTGTCTTGCCCAAGGACACAACGACAGCAGTCATCAGTGGGAGTCGGTGGAGAAGGTGCAGAGGTGGGAATTGAACCCACGACCTTCTGGGCTTAAGGCCAATGCTCTACCAACTGAGCCACTGTCGCCCCCTAAAGTGTCAGATACGTGATTGTAACGACATAATTGCACCGCAGAAATTCCCCAAGATAATTTATGGACAATACTTTTGTTTTAAAGGCTCAATTCGTCGAGAAATCTGACCAGGCTCTTGATTGGTCGGTGGTTTGGTGTGTGTTAAGCTAAATAAAAGATCATTTAGTGCTAATGAGTTAACCCTAACCCACAAACTGTCAGTGAGTAGTTAATGTTGAATAATCCATGTAGAATCAGGACTAATGAGTGATTAATAAATACCAACTTTGAGCCAAGTCCACACATTATGCATTAATGAGTGAGGGCTAAACTAAAGTCTGACTGATCTGATTTGAAGTTTTTTACTTCTGTTGTTGTTGTTTTTTGGTTTAGACAACCTCTGACAGTTTGTCTCAATAAAATAAAATTGAATTTATAGATCACAACCACTATATATAGATTTATAACAAAGAGGAACAAGTCAGACACGAAAGAGGAAGGAGGATCTCACTTGCCTCCTCTTAAGGACGAGATCTGTCCTCACGTCTGCAGAGGAGCCCAGAGGTCCCAGCAGGAGGAGCAGAGGAGCCCAGAGGTCCCAGCAGGAGGAGCAGAGGAGCCCAGAGGTCCCAGCAGGAGGAGCAAAGGAGCCCAGAGGTCACGATGGAAGAGCCCAGAGCTTCCAACAGGAGGCGCACCAGCTCAGACTCAGGTGAGCTTTAAAGCTTTAAGCTGCTTTCACACCGGACTTAAGTTCGACTTCGAAAGGGTCAGGTTTGCATTGAAAGTGAATGGTGAAGCGCGTCAGGTGACGCTGAGGGGCCCGGCGTCACTTGGCGTGCGTCAGGCTGAAGCAAGAAGGTCTCCAGACGGGGCCTCTCCGTGTGGAGTTTGCATGTTCTCTCTGGGTCTGGGTGAGTTTCCTCCAGGTGCTCCAACTAAAACCATGTTCAATCGTTTCAGGTGCTTGTAATCAGGTGGAGTTTTGATTTATGGCAAAAAGTGGGAATGATGGAGTAGTGCACCAAATTAGGACAGCTAAGGCAGATCAGTGGTGTGACCAAAAAAAGGCAGAGCAAACTGTTAAGAAATAATTTATTACAATAATTTAATAAAAACAAAGTTAAAAAGTCTTTAAGAGGGGTCGTCCTCCTGGGACCTGGTACACTTCATATAGTTCGGGGAGTGCATCGCTTTAACCCGCCTGTTTCTGTGTGCGAACGTGTGTGTGCGTGATGTGGAGCAGTCCTGTACTAAGTATAGCAAATCTACTTCATATGAAAAACAATTTATAACGTTTCACTTTAGTAAAACCTCAATTTCATATATCCAGGTTTGCCTTAATATCACAATGTTATACTTTGTGATATTAAGGCAAAGTAAAACATTGCCTTAATACTACGTTGGATCACAGATTATGTAACAGTTGTGTGGCGCAGTCGCTAGTTGCTGGATTCTGAAGTCAAAAATATGTGGTGCTGCTTGACTCAAATTCATTTTTGTATTTGCAAAGTAAATATATTTAATTATTGGGAATAAATGGTTTGTTGTGTTTAATTAATCCACCTCATGGAAGATTTTCCTCAATTAAACACTTTTTGTAAAACTTTAATGCTTTGGATGAAATATGTTTGTTGTATCAACAAAATTGACTGAAAGCCTCAAATAGTTCATAGTTCATGAAGCATCATTTCAAACACAACATGTTTAGACCATAGACTGTAAATATAAATATTAATATTAGACCCCACCATTTATTGTTAGCACTTAAGAGTGTTATATATATTTTGTCCACATGATGGCGTAGTAGAGCTTGAATCGCCTCAAGCCTTCGAACAATGGGCCGAGTAATAGGCTGAAAACCCTCAATGCTTCATGGGGCTTCATCTTGCCATCACTAACTTAAAGGCACGCCGCTGCGTAGTCAGCGTCACGGTACTCAACCCCGGGTCAGGTGCCTCTTTGGACCGCCCCCATTTCCCTCTCCTCACGCCCGTTCTGCCCCCGTCTTGCCCGTTGCATGGCCTGTTTTGTACTGTTCCCAGACACAGGTGTACTGATTGTGCTGGGTAACCATGGCGACTGGGAGGCATGAAAGAAAAACAAAACACACGGCAAACCAAAACCACACATGCCCTCCCAGTCCACCGGATTACATGCATGAGTGTGTGTTTGTGTGACTACAATCTGGATTGGTGTGCATGTTTGAGTTAGCTTGTGCTACCTGTGTATTGTGTGGTGTCCCGCTCCTCCATCAGTTCTTAGTTGGGTTAGTTTATGCTACCGGTGTATTCTGTGGTGTGAAGGCTGCTGTTCGCGCGCCCACTCCTCCATCAGTTCTTATTTGGGTTAGTTTTTGCTACCGGTGTATTCTGTGGTGTGAAGGCTGCGGTTCGTTGTCCCGCTCCTCCATCAGTTCTTGTTTGGGTTAGCATTTGCTGCCTGTGTTTATTCTGTGGCCGGTGTATTGTGTGGTGTGAAGGCTGCTGTTCGCGCGTCCGCTCCTCCACCGTGCTATATTTGTCTTTTCTGTGTGCGTCGTAATCGTTCTAGTTGATACGTTGGGATTTCATTAAGCTGTTGTTTGGAGGGCACTGCGTGTGTCTGGGATTTACATTAAATTAAAAAAGACAAAAAAAAAAAAAAAACCTTGTGTTATGGACGGGTCACATGCGTGTGTGGGCTGCGGGTCAGCACTCGATGTTGTTGACGACCATGACCTGTGTCCGGCGTGCCTCGGCCCCACTCACTTGAGGGAGGCAGTGTCCGATATCCCGTGCATGAACTGCAGCTGCTTGCCCTGGGCTGTTAGGGTGGCGAGGCTGGTTCAGCTGCCTTTGTCTGGCGACGGTGGTAGTTTGCCAGTGGGACCTGCTGTGGCTCCGCCCCCTCGGCGTTCTAAGCGCCGTGCTGAGGCCTGTGCTTCAGGGGAGCGGTCTGATGGCCATGGTCCTTCCAAGCAGGCCAAGCCGGATGCTGTCCTGGTGTCGAGGGTGGAGCAGTTATCTGCAGAGTTGGAGGCGATGAAATCCGCCTTCCAGGCACATTGTGCTGCTGATGCCGTCTCTGGGGCTGGTTGCTCCATGCCATCCCTCCATCCGGAAGAGGATGTGCTTTCTCTGGCGGCATCTGCTTCGTGCTTCCGGGACGGGGATGACGCGCGGTCCCTTTCGGGGGACGATTCTTATTCTTCCGCGCATAGTGGGTCCAGCCGGTCTGGTGACGGCTCAATGCAGGAGGTTCTTCGCAGGGCCGTCTGCAGGTGGAACTTCCCCAGTCGGGACAGGCTGACCCTGGCAGTGCTTTTTTCAGGCGTGGTGGTTCGTCTCCTGCTTTTGTTGTGCCCCCATCCGCGGAGTATCTAAAGGAGCTACACGCGTGCTGGAGGGACCCCAGCCGTCTCTCTAAGCTTTCGGCTGAGGGTCGGGCTTTGGCCGCGATGCACGATGCCTCTTCGGCTGGCCTGGATTGCATGCCTGCTGTTGAGCCGGCGGTTGCCTCCCTCATTGTTTCCCCGGAGGAGTCCTTGCGGGAGAATGTGAGGTGCCCTCGGAGCCAGTGTCGTGCGACGGATCACTTGCTAACAAAGGCCTACAATTCTGGTGCTCGAGCTGGCCGTATTGGTAACTCCTTAGCGCATCTGCTGCTTGCCCTGTCTGCCTCCCTCCAAGAGGGTAGTGCTGTGGGCACTGATGTTACTGAGTTTAGCGACGCAGCTCTGCATGCATTTGCCTTGATGACCAGGGAACTCGGACGGGTCATGTCGGTCCTTGTACAGGCTCGTCGGCAGGTATGGCTGGCTCAGTCTCCCCTGACTGAGGCCTGTCGTAGGACCCTCCGTGACGTGCCTGTCGAGCCGGGTCAGTTGTTTGGGACGGCGGCCCAGGAAGCATTGGACCGGACTGTCCATGCTGGTCAGACTAGACAGCAACTCTCTAGCCTTAGCAGGGTGGTGCGCCCTCCCCGGCAGTTTTTGCGCCCGATGGTGGCTCCCGGTGTTCGGCAGCCTCCTCGGGATTGGTCTGGTGCTCAGCGTTATCCACAGGTCAGGCCTGCCGGGAATTTTCGTGCCCCACCCGTACATAGGCGCCCGACCCGCCAGCCAAGTGGCGCCGCGGCTGGTCCTGGGCGAGGTCCCCCCAGAGCCCCTAGGGGGCGGGGGGCGCGGAATTGACGCCTCAGGGCCGGGCGTCGGACATTTTTCCCATCAGCAGCTCGAGTGTTGGGCTGCTCGAGCTCGGGATCCGTGGGTGGTTGCCACATTGACCCACGGATACCGTCTGCAATTCCGACGCCGGCCGCACTTGTCGGGCCGGGTCAAGGTTACTTTGATCTCGGACCCGGCAAAAGCCTTTATCTTGGATCAGGAGCTCTCCGCCCTCCTGACCAAGGGTGCCATCGAGGCGGTAGATCCGCTGCTGCAACCCAGGGGTTATTACTCCCGTTATTTTCTCGTGCCCAAGAAGACGGGGGGTTTTCGACCAATTTTGGATCTGAGGGGCTTGAATCATTTCCTGAAGGTCATTCCGTTTCGCATGCTGACGACTGCGGAAGTCCTTCAGACTGTTGGGGCCGGGGAATGGTTCACGTCCATAGATTTGAGGGACGCGTATTTTCACGTGCCCATTGCGCAGCCCCACCGGCGGTTCCTCCGGTTCGCCTATCGGGGCGTTCACTGGCAGTTCAGGGTTCTTCCCTTTGGCCTCTCTCTCTCTCCGAGAGTTTTCACTCGATGCGTGAAGGCGGCTCTTGCTCCGCTGCAGGCCAGTGGCATGAAGGTGTTGCCTTATCTGGACGATTGGCTGATCTGCGCTCCGTCCAGGGCACGCCCCTTGGACGATACGGAGCGCCTTCTGACTCATGTCGCCCGCTTGGGTTTCAGGGTCAATTTCGAGAAGAGCAGCCTGTTGCCTTCGCAGGCCGCTGTTTTTCTTGGCCTGAGTCTGAACACGGTGACTATGACGGCGCGTCCTTCGGTGCGCCGCCTGGTCGACATCCACGGTGTGGTGTCCCGCTTCGGTCTTGGCACCCTGCGCAGTTACGTCAGCTTCCTACAGCTGGTTGGGAAGCTGGCCTCGATCTCTCGTGTGGTTCCACTCGGGCTGCTTTCGCTTCGCCCGTTGCAGAGGTGGCTGAACGGGTTTCGTTTGGATGCCGTTCGTCACCGCCACAGACGGTTACAGGTGACGTGGGCATGTTTTCGTGCTTTGGCTCCATGGAGGGACCGGGGTCTCCTGTCACGTGGGGTCCCCTTGGGGGTGGTAGTGTGCCGCAGGGAAATGGTCACCACCGACGCCAGCCGTACGGGATGGGGTGCTGTGTGGCAGCACAGGTTGGCCCGAGGGGTTTGGTCTCGGGCGGAGCGCTCAGACCACATAAATGTACTGGAGCTTCGGGCCGTCCACCTTGCTCTCCAGGAGTTTTTGCCTCACCTGCTGGGGAAACATGTCCTCATTCGTTCGGACAACACCTCGGTCGTGTATCACATCAACCATCAAGGGGGTGTCCGATCGGTTCGGCTCCTCGAGGTGTCTCAGGCTCTGCTGGTTTGGGCTGCGCCTCGCCTGTCTACACTGCGTGCAGCGTATCGGCCAGGGGACTGCAATCGCGTGGCGGACTCCCTGTCTCGCGGGAGGCCTGCCCCGGGGGATTGGTGTCTCCATCCCAGTGTGGTCCAGAGGGTATGGGGCCTTTTTGGTCGGGCACAGGTGGACCTATTCGCTTCGGTGGCCTCCACTCATTGCCCTCAGTTTTTTTCCCTGGACGGGGCTCCGGGCTCTCTCGGCCAGGATGCCCTGGCGCACAGTTGGCCTCAGGCCCTCCTGTACGCCTTCCCCCCTTTTCCTCTGATCTGGCCCACCCTCCAGAGGGTCCTTCGGGCGGGGCACAGTTTATTACTGGTGGCTCCGTTTTGGCCTGCACGGCCCTGGTTTCCACTGCTACTCAGACTTTGTTGGCCTCTCCTTCCCAGGCGGGATCTGCTCTCACAGCTGGACGGTCAGGTGTGGCATCCCTGTCCTCACCGCCTCAAGTTATGGGTATGGCCGTTGGCTGGCCCGAGCTGCGGGCGCTCGATGTCACTGGCCCTGTCAGGCGTACACTCCTGAATGCGAGGGCGGCCTCTACTCGGCGGCTGTATGAGAACAGGTGGAAGTTGTTCTCCCGCTGGTGTGCTTCCCGCGGTCGGGATCCCGTGTCGTGTCCGGTGGCGGTTGTCCTGGAATTCCTTCAGTCTCTCCTGGATGAAGGTCGGGCCCCATCTACTCTGAAGGTATATGTTGCTGCTATTTCATGTTATCATGGCCAGGTTGATAACTGTACTGTGGGGGGCCATAACCTGGTGTCTCTCTTTTTACGCGGAGCTCGTAGGCTGCACCCTCGCGTGCCCGCACGGTCTCCGGTTTGGGACCTGGCCTTGGTGTTGGAGTCTCTCTGCCGCCCTCCGTATGAGCCATTGGCCCGAACGGACCTCAAGTGGCTCTCCTATAAAACTGCTTTCCTGTTGGCTGTGGTCTCTGCAAAAAGGGTCGGTGAGTTGCATGCACTTTCTGTCAGTCCCTCATGCCTACACTGGGATCCCGAGAGGGCTGGCGTGGTCTTGTGGCCTAATCCCACTTTCCTCCCTAAGGTGCTTTCCCGTGACTATTGTAACCGGCCTTTGAGGTTGGCGCGGTTTGTGTCCCCCCTGGATGGGGGTGAGGACAGACTGCACCTGCTGTGTCCTGTGAGGGCATTGGAGGCCTACGTTGCTGCGACGGCGGGTGTGAGGCGCTCAGACCAGCTCTTTGTTGCTTATGGTGGTGCTAGACTGGGAAGTCCACTTTCGAAGCAACGCCTTTCCCACTGGGTGGTTGACGTTATCAGTCAGGCGTATGTTTCGGCCGGCCGCGACCCGCCAGCCGAGGTAAGGGCCCATTCTACCAGGGGTGTCTCTACCTCCTGGGCCGCTATGCGCGGGGTGCCGTTGGGAACTATTTGTGCTGCTGCGTCTTGGGCTACACCAAGCACGTTCACCAGATTCTACAACATCAATGTGGCCACTCCGGCTCCTCTTGGCGTGGTCCTTCAGGAATCCTCTGGCTCTCCTCCGTGAGGTGTGTGGTCAAGATCCTTCGTGACATAGCTGGTATAAGGTCATTCAGTGCTATGCACCGCCCTCTGGCGGTCTGAAGGGATGAAATAGAACGAGGGTTACGTATGTAACCACGGTTATATGAATCCCGGATGACCGCCAGAGGCGCTCTGTCACTCAGGGTCCTTGCATCCGCGAGAAGATTCTGCAGGAACAGCGTGCTGGATGACGCTGGACTTTATTACCTCCGGTGTGTCACCCAGGGGGTCACAGGTGTGACTCATTTGGTATTATTACTCGAACTGCGCATGCGCGAAGGGAACATTCAGTGCTATGCACCGCCCTCTGGCGGTCATCCGGGATTCATAGAACCGTGGTTACATACGTAACCCTCGTTTCATATCGGGACATGGTGCCAGTGAGTCTTAATGAACACAAATACTCTGTGTTGAGTTTGATTTGAGTATTTTTTCGTTTATGTTATTCATATCATTTTTTTTTTTTTCCACCAGTGTTCATTTACAAACTCTGTCCCAAACAAAGAAAGTAAAATATCTGTGTCATTTAATGCAGATCTTTGTCGCTAACACAAAGTCTTTGAGATCATAAAGTTCACAGTATCATCCAGCCAACTCCAGACGTTGCACCTTGTCGTGTTTGTGAGTGGTTCCTCAGACGCAGGAGGCTCTGAGGACAGTGAGGGAGGTGCTCGTCCCGCTCCCTATGGACCAATGTCTCTATGTGTTTGTTATTATTGCATTTCCTGTGCTCTGTTGAATTCTCTGATCTGTCGTTGCTCAATTGACAACTTTGTAAAGTCCTCTGAGACGACTGCTGTTGTGATTTAGCTATAAACAAATACTTTGACTTGAGTTGTATTAGAAAAAAGCACATGAGGGATTGGGTCAAATGCTTTTTGACACAACTGTTCGATGTGGTTTTACAGCCTTAAAACAAACGGCTTCAACTTTCCCTGGCTAGTCCCTGTGCTCCTCAGAGTCCCAGTAGGAGGCCAGTCCCTGTGCTCCTCAGAGTCCCAACAGGAGGCCAGTCCCTGTGCTCCTCAGAGTCCCAGCAGGAGGCCAGTCCCTGTGCGCCTCCAAAACTGTAAAACGGTCGTGATCAGAACCAGAAGTCCTCTCCTTCTGATCCTGGTCTCAGGTCTCTCCATGGTCTCGTACCAAAGTACCATGATAGCCCCGTATGAACCAACCTCCGGCTGGGACTCTTGACAAGCCTTGGGCAGTGTGTGTGAGGATGGATACAGCTAAAATCTGGAACAGATCGTTGACACAGCCTTGTGTTTGAAGGGGGATGGACTGCGGTGGTCGGCATCAGTCTGGGACTTCTGTTCATCACACAAGCGTCTCTCAACGTCTTCCTGCGTCTCTGTGAGTGGATTCATATCAAGTCCAGAACAAGTTTAACAGCAGTAACTTGTGTCATTATTTTCATTCCCTAGACTTCCCTTCAAACAAGATCAACACGAGCGATTGCACCGATGTGACCGCAGAGAAGGGAGACCTTGGCAAACGTAAATATTATTCTATACACAAACATTTGGTAAAACACACTGGTACAACAGATGTGAAAAAAATACATTGGAACAAACTCATTTCTTCCAAAGCTTTCTTTTCTTTGCTGACATCTTCATATGTTGCTTTCTCACTGGCCCTGTCAAGTACATGCTCCAAGAAACGCAACCAACACCTTATTTCACCATTTTTATTCCTAGTTCTTGAAACCAGCCGCCAAGACGGTAAGATGGTAAGTCAATGGTGACATGCGTTCGAGCGTCAAAACGCACGAACCGCTCAGTAGAGACGCACGGACTGTGCAGGAAAGTCAAAGGGGAGGAGCAGGAGCGGAAAATAGACGCCCACAGGAGATAAACTTGTCTCAACCTTTCCTCAGGACGTTTGTGCAGCGATCAATCAGAGAGCAGCAAAGTGGTCACGGGGACATTGGTGGTCTGAGCGAGCAGACTGAAAATACTGTGAACACCCAAAACAGCAGCTACACCAGGACTAAACCAGGGTTGACAATGGGGGACTGTGTGCTTGTGAACATATGTGAGTTTTCATGCTCCCGTGACTTTATGCAACTCCGTGTTCACATACTACTGTTATATAAAGTCCAATGAATGTCTCTGAACACAGACTCGCTGCAAAGCTGCATTATTGGAGAAAATCTTTACACAAAAAGCCGCTAGCTTAACTCTGTTTGCATCAGAGCCGGCCGGCTACTTCCGCCACTTCCGGCGCTGGTCAGGACGTTCTGGTTTGAAGACCCGTGCGTCTGAAAACTAGAGGAAGCGCTTCTGGTGAGCTGGGCTTCAACGTTTGAGCGTTTGCGGTCTGAACGTGGCACGAGAGTTGCGAGCGTCACTGTCACCGCCTCAGTGACCTGTCATTATTCACCTGATGTCACTCCCTGGGTGGGCGTGGTCAGTCTGATTGACAGGTTGCTGCCCCGCCCCCTCTCACAGACCACTCCCTCTTGACGAAGATCGCTCTCTTGTCATAGTGATGTGAGAAGATGAAATGTTATGATTTTGAAACTGTGACAGTGGGGGCGGGTCCCGGCTCAAAAGTGGCCAAAATGACGTGCACTGACATGATGCAATACCACCCCGGGCCGATGGGGTTGGACCCGGAATAATAATTAGCCAATGCTTACATATAGCATCTTCTTACCTCTCGAAAACGTCTTTACAGGATGGTCCAAAAGTCGGCTCTTGGGCCAAAGCTCCGTTCCACATGTGTCAATGCTGAGGGGAGTGCTACTGCTGTTCTGAAGCTGCAGTGATGACATTTGTCCACTAGATGTCAGTGTCAAGTTAGTTTGAGCTCAGGGTCTTTGACACATTGAAACCAGTCTGGGAAGGAAAGCCTCAGTGTGTTAATATTTACTGTCTGTGGTTACGGGGGCTTTATATGTCCATCACTAAGTAACTGTAACGGAGTACAGTTACTCAAAAAGAGTATTCTGAATACATTCTGTTACCCGCATGAAAGTGACGGCTCTCAGTCTGTTCATTCTGAAGAATCCTAAACAGTATAAATATACATGTGATCACATGAATACAGAATAAATACACATGTGATCACATGAATACAGCATAAATTCACATGTGATCACATGAATACAGCATAAATTCACATGTGATCACATGAATACAGCATAAATTCACATGTGATCACATGAATACAGCATAAATTCACATGTGATAACATGAATACAGTATAAATACACATGTGATCACATGAATACAGCATAAATTCACATGTGATCACATGAATACAGAATAAATACACATGTGATCACATGAATACAGTATAAATACACATGTGGTGTTTTTCAGCCCTCAACACGTGTCAGAGATCTCTGTTCCTCAAAACCCGTGAACTGGAGGAAAAGATCTCGTGTAAGTGACATCTGGAAGAGAAGACAGTACAGACAAATATTCAATTCACTGTATTTTTGTATCGCCCTAAACCACAACAGTAGTTATCTCAGACTTTACAAAGCTGTCGATTCTCCAACACAGATCAGAGAATCAAACATAAGAACATGATAAAAACACATAGAGCCATTGGTCCATGAGGGGCAGAGACCAACATTTATAAATGTTGACAGTTGTTCATAAACCGTTGTTAGACCTCATTCACCTCATTGTTCCATAATCTTCCATGTCTCATAGAACACGATCCTGTCAGAAACCTTTGATAGAAAAGAGAACATTCCAACATGTGACAGTGAACAATGGACTTTCTTCAATACAGTGTGAAAATGATTATTCATGAGACTAAACATTTCTTTGCAGCCTTTGAAACCACAAGACGTGAACTGACTGAGGAAAGGGACCGACAGAAGCAAAGACTCCAGAGCATAGGTAATCCTGCTGCTGTAGTAACTGTAACTGAGCAGAGCAGGGCCTGGTTAGCACAGTGATGGGAGACCTCTGGGAACACCAGGTGCGCTTGTGTGTGTAAAAAACGTTTTTCAACAAAGTTTAGAATTCAGTGATTTTGAATAGATAGTAATTGTATTGATTTTTTTTTCTGACTTCCCTGATTTTTTTTCTAAGCTGTAGAACCAGTGGACCCTGTGACCACATAAAAACACTTTTCGTCCAGCAAGTACATAAATGCATGAGTGTGTGTGAGTGTGTGTGTTGATGACATTCATTATTCTTTTAGAAGAGTCTGGTCCAAAACTCCAGGAAAAGACAAAAACAAGAGCGGTCTGAGCAGGAGTGGTCCAGGACCACTGTTACTTCCAAGGTGGAAGTAACAGTGTATCTAAAGAATGTTTCTATAATTTTCTCTATCTTTCAGATCGTTACTTGTCCGGAGGTTGGATGAGTTTCAGTGGGAGTTTGTACCTGGGCTCCACCACAAAGAGAAACTGGTTTGAGAGCAGACAGTTCTGTCAGGATCAAGGAGCCGACCTGGCCATCATCACTAATGTCCAGGAGAAGGTCTGGAGCTATGGCCCGAATGCATACAGGGATAGATAATGTCTGACGGCTTCTTCTGTTTAACAGGACTTCATAAGCTCTATATATAAAGATCGCAGGTGGATTGGTCTGAGTGACATGCAGGAGGAAGGAGTCTGGAGATGGGTGGACGGCACAAAGCTCACTACAAGGTTCACTCAGACTTTTATGAATGAAACCAAAGTATTTCAGTATAAAAAACAATTTAATTCTCTTTATTTAAGCTTCTGGATGAGCAGCGAGCCAAGCAATGACTGGCGAAACAAGGGAGAAGACTGCGTTGAAATTAACTATAACGGTCAGCTGGGAAAGTGGAACGACGCAAATTGTGGTGTTGCAAAACAGTTCATCTGTGAGAGAAGACTCGATGATTTGTGAAATGAGAATAACCCTTGTATCAATCACACCAATCCCAAAGTAAAACGCAAAAACCCTCAAACCCTCTTCATATTTAACACATTTGCTTGATTTATGCTCAGTTCAGACCAGACTGAGCGTTCTGTGGAGTTTAGACGCAGAGTCAGGGCAGAGAAGTCCTTTAGACCCGAGGTTGTGTCAATCCTGGTTCTTACAGTTTACCTGGGACAAGAACACAACATTTGTACTTGTTTACAGCAAAGGAGGAGCCTGCAGAATTAGAGGGCAGAAGCTTTTAGCCCTAGAACAGTGCAGCCTCTGGAGCTCCTCCTTTGCCACAGCCTTTTCAATGACCCACAAAAACACAGGCATTATTCACTCAAAGATTCCATAGTGTCCAAACCCCTCTCCCGTTGACACTGGTTAAACAGGAACTTTCCCAACTTGCAGCAAAAAATGATACAATATGAGGTTATAATTGCTTGAATCATTATCAATCATTATGTTCTGATTCCAAGGGAGACATTTCTTGTATCTTTTTTAAACAAGATATTTTTTCTTTGTCCCATTGGCAAATCTTGTTTTTAGGAAGTCACAATGGCAGTTAGCACTCTCGCTTCTCAGCAAGAAGGTCCTGGGTTTGAATCCCCGTCGGAACAGGGCCTTTTACGAGTGGAGTTTGCATGTTCTCCCTGTGTCTGCGTAGGTTTCCTCCAGGTACTCCGGTTTCCCCTACCACTAAAAACATGTACAATAGATATAGCATGCCCCTCCTGTACTGGCCCCGCTCCCATCTCTGTGTGGAGAGAGAGACAAATGCCCAAAAATAACAATTGTAAACCGCTTTGTGACTCTGGTCTATTACTAAAAATTACTTACTTACAATTTGCTCAAATTAAGAAACATTTCACCAAATTTTCACCATTTCCTCCAGCACTTTTTGCATTGATTTTTACTTGTGTTGGTGGGTGAAAAAAAGAGGGATGGGTTTTTATTGTTTTTGTTCTTTTAACGCATGTTGTGTGTTTTTAATGTTTTAATGACTAAGACACCTGTACCTTGAGTTTCAAAAGCGGAGATGTGGAGTACGGGACACGGGGCTCAGCACGCCGTGACCACGAGAACGGCCGGAGAACGACAGCAGCAGATTTTAGTCTTCTTTTAGCCTCTGTTTTAGCGTTAAGCGTGTTTTTATCTTTTAGCATGCTTTTTATCCTTTTATTTGTATTTTGAATTAAATCATTGTTAACTGTTTTTCCACATGCGACACTTGCTTCTTTATAATGCTAAAGTTAGAGTTTTTTATGAAGTTATTGGCCAATATATATATATATATATATATATATATATATATATATATATATTAGTGGCCAACCATAGACTGTAAAAATTAACGGACGTAGTCACGCCTATCTCCGCTGTTCGAACTAATGGGCCAAAAATGCTCTACTGGAGCTACCCAAAATGGCTGCGAGTGGTCCAGCCCATAAGAAAATTGTGAAAAAACGCATCTGGGCATGCGTCAGCCGGCGAGAGCTCCATTAATTTGAACGAGAGACTTCAAAAATTCACAGCAAGTAAACTAGAGTGGGCCAAAAAAATTCACCCCCCTCAGCATTGACACACATGTGGAACGTAGCTTTGGGCCAAGAGCCAACTTTGGGACCATCCTGTAAAGACGTTTTTGAGAGGCTATATGTTAGCATTGGCTAATTCTTCTTCTGGGTCCACCCCCATCGGCCCGGGGTGGTATTGCAAGCATGTCAGCGCACGTCATTTTGGCCACTTTTGAGCTGGGACCCGCCCCCACGCACGCTTTTACTGTGAAAATGAAAAGAGTTCCTACAAGTCCCACCCATCAAAAGAAAGCTCTTTTTATTCGCTACTCAGACACGTCAATCATTCAGTGCTATAGCACATAGCGCTAGCCTGTAATCAACAACAAGGCAAAAACGGACCCTGTGCAAATGGATGCGGTTTGTCTTTTTCACAAGGGTCCTGCGGATTGAAACCTGCTCCTATCTTTTCATGGAACCTCTCTTTTTGAAGCTAAGGACTCAAGGAACACGTCGATATGATGTTTGTGGGGGTAAACAAAGCTCAAACTTGGTGAAATGTGAACGCAACAGAATAAATGCACATTTTTGGATTATTTCTGAAGAACGGATTATACTTTGCGAAATACAAGTGGATATTCTTTTTCAATGAAGACTTACGGAGAGAGAGAGACTAAGCAAGGATGGGCAAAGTCTAATTTGTTGGAGCAGCAGAAGACGAAAGGTAAAAAACTTATACAAACACGATTTATTTTGTGCCCATATTATGCGTTATATCTTTTTAATGCAAAGTCTGATATTGTTTAAACTTACATATAAATATAGCTGAGAAAATAAGCTTTAAAATGATATATAGATTGTGGCTTATGAAGTTCATCTGCTATTGCCAGCAGATGGGGGAGTTTGAGTACTCGGATGATCCTGGGAGCTATGCTGTCTGGGGCTTCATGCCCCTGGTAGGGTCTCCCATGGCAGACAGGTCTCGGGTGACGAGTCAGACGAAGTGCAGTCCGAAGACACCATGGACAGCACTAATTCAAGAGCAGTGACGTCGCCCGGCATGGCGCAGCCGGGGCCCCACCCTGGAGCCAGGCCTGGGGTCAGGGCTCGTATGCGAGCGCCTGGTGGCCGGGCCTTAGCCCACGTGGCCCGGTAGGGCTCAGTCCGAAGGGGTGACGTGGGCAGTCCCTCCTGTGGGCCCACCACCTGCAGAGGGGTCCGTGGTGGCGCGGTGCTGAGAGGACTGGGCAGCAGCCGAAGGCAGAGACCTCGGCGATCCAGTCCGCACACACAACATCTGGCTCTTGGGATGTGGAACGTCACCTCACTGGGGGGGAAGGAGCCCGAGCTCGTGGGGGAGGTCGAGCGATACCGACTAGAGATAGTCGACCTCACCTCCACACACAGCTTGGGCTCTGGAACCCAACTCCTTGAGAGGGGTTGGACGCTCCACTTTTCTGGTGTTTCTCACGGCAGAGAGAAGAGGCGGCAAGCGGGAGTGGCCATACTCATTGCCCCCCATCTCAGCCGCCACATGTTGGAGTTCTCCCCAGTGAATGAGAGGGTGGGGGACAAGTCTCTCACTGTTGTGACGGCCTACGGGCCTAACAGCAGTGTAGAGTACCCGGCCTTCTTGGCGTCCTTGGGAAGGGTACTGGACAGTGCACCGACCGGGGACTCCGTTATTCCCCTGGGGGACTTCAACGCCCATGTGGGAAATGCCAGTGACACTTGGAGAAGGGTGATCTGGAAAAACGGCCCCGCTGATCTGAACCCGAGCGGTGTTCAGTTGTTGGACTTCTATGCTAGTCACAGTATGTCCATCACGAACACCATGTTCCAGCACAAGGGTGTCCACCAGTGCACGTGGCACCAGGACACCCTAGGCCGGAGGTCGATGATCGACTTTGTTGTCGTATCATCTGACCTTTGGCCGCGTGTCTCGGACACTCGGGTGAAGAGAGGGGCGGAGCTGTCAACCGATCACCACCTGGTCGTGAGTTGGATCCACTGGCAGGGAAGGAAGCCGGGCAGGCCCAAGCGTGTATTAAGGGTCTGCTGGGAACGTCTCGCTGAGCCCCCTGTCAGACGGACTTTCAACTCACACCTCCGGGAGAGCTTCTCCCAGGTCCCGGCGGAGGAGGGGGATATCGAGTCCGAGTGGACCATGTTCTCTTCCTCTATCGCCGATGCGGCGGCTCGTAGCTGTGGTCGCAAGGTCTCTGGTGCTGGTCCCGGCGGCAACCCCCAAACCCGGGGCCGGACACCGGCAGTAAGGGATGCCGTCAGGCTGAAGAAGGAGTCCTAATGAGCCATGATGGTTCGGGGGACTCCTGAGGCAGCTGTCCAGTACAGGCTGGCCAAGCGTGCCGCGGCCCGGGCTGTTGCAAAGGCAAAAACCCGGGTCTGGGAGGAGTTCGGAGAGTCCATGGAGCATGACTATCGGTTGGCCTCGAAGAGATTCTGGCAAACCGTCCGGCGCCTCAGGAGGGGGAAGCAGTGATTTGCCAACATCGTGTATGGTGCGGGTGGAGGGCTGCTGACCTCGACTGGGGATATTGTCGGCCGGTGGAAGGAATACTTTGAGGTCCTCCGACCCGGAGGCAGAGGCTGAGGATGTTGGGGCAGATATTTCCATCTCCCTGGCAGAGGTCACCAAGGTGGTTGGCAGCCTCCTTGGTGGCAAGGCGCCGGAAGTGGATGAGATCCGTCCTGACTATCTAAAGTCTCTGGATGTTGTGGGACTGTCTTGGCTGACACGTCTCTGCAACATCGCGTGGCGATCGGGGGCGGTGCCAATGGAGTGGCAGACCGGGGTGGTGGTCCCTCTCTATAAGAAGGGGGACCGGAGGGTGTGTTCCAATTATCGTGGGATCACACTCCTCAGCCTCCCTGGTAAGGTTTACTCCAAGGTACTGGAGAGGAGGCTACGGCCGATGGTCGAATTCAGGAGGAGCAGTGGGGTTTTCGTCCCGGCCGTGGAACACTGGACCAGCTCTATACTCTCCATCTGATACTCAAGGGTTCATGGGAGTTCGCCCAACCTGTCCACATGTGCTTTGTGGATTTGGAGAAGTCGTTTGACCGTGTTACCCGGGGTGTTCTTTGGGGGGTTCTCCGAGAGTACGGGGTCCGGGGTCCTCTGCTGAGGGCCGTTCGGTCCCTGTATGACCGGAGCCAGAGCTATGTTCACATTGCCGGCAGTAAGTCAGACCTGTTCCCGGTGCATGTTGGCCTCCGCCAGGGCTGCCCTTTGTCACCGGTTCTGTTCACTGTATTCATGGACAGAATTTCTAGGTGCAGGCAGGGGCCGGAGGGGGTCTGGTTTGGGGACCACAGGATCTCATCTCTGCTTTTTGCGGACGATGTTTTCCTGTTGGCTCCAACAAACCAGGACCTGCAGCATGCACTGGGGCGGTTTGCAGCCGAGTGTGAAGCGGCTGGGATGAGAATCAGCACCTCCAAATCTGAAGCCATGGTGCTCGACCGGAAAAAGGTGCCTTGCCCTCTCCGGGTGGGTGGGGAGGTCCTTCCTCAAGTGGAGGAGTTCAAGTATCTCGGGTTCTTGTTCACGAGTGAGGGGAGGATGGAGCGTGAGATTGACAGGCGGATCGGTGCAGCGTGCGCAGTGATGCGGTCGCTGTATCGGACCGTCGTGGTAAAGAGGGAGCTGAGCCAAAAGCTCTCGATTTACCGGTCAATCTTCGTTCCCTCCCTCACCTATGGTCATGAGCTTTGGGTAATGACCGAAAGAACGAGATCCCGGATACAAGCGGTCGAAATGAGCTTCCTCCGCAGAGTGGCAGAGATAGGGTGAGGAGCTCAATCACATGGAAGGAGCTCGGAGTAGAGCCGCTGCTTCTCCACATCGAGAGGAACCAGTTGAGGTGGCTCGGGCATCTGTTCCGGATGCCTCCTGGACGCCTCCCTGGGGAGGTGTTCCGGGCACGTCCCACCGGGACGAGGCCCCGGGGAAGATCCAGGACCCGCTGGAGGGACTATGTCTCTCAGCTGGCCTGGGAATGCCTTGGGGTCCCCCCGGACGAGCTGGAGGAAGTGTGTGTGGATAGGGAAGTCTGGGCGTCCCTGCTTAGACTGCTGCCCCCGCGACCCGGCAATGGATGAAGCGGAAGAAAACGGACGGACAGGAATGCAGCCCGCGGAAATTCAATTTGGAAGACGTCAGCCAAAGCTACCCCCTCCAGGCCGGCCTCGCATCCCCAGCCTATCGCACAGCAAACGCCCCCTTCCAATCATCCGTGCCGGCCAGGCCAGCCGCTTAAAAGCGGAGAAACTCCCACTTCACGGCCTCTCGAAGCCTTGCAACCACCGCCTCCCCTCCTCCTCCTCTTCACCCTGCCTCCAACCTGTCCTGCTGCCAAATGCCGCCACCAGTGCCTAGGTCCCGGGTGATGGTGCGCGCACTCTCGCAGAGCCTCGCTGACTGAACGCCGCACCGGGGCCTAGGGCGCCAAACCACCTCTCAATAAAAATACTCAAAAGCATTCTTGTTTCCTCGTCTCTCCAAATTGAATTACAAGTTGTTCCGTATATATTAAAAGTGATTGTGCAAATACACTACAGAATTTAAATTTTGCGCTTCATTTTTTCTTTTTGGGCTTAAATATGTTGAGTACTTATTTCGAGTTCAATGTGCATCAAACTTTATTATAAAATTTTACTACATAGAATTTTCTGACAGATATTAATAACAAAATTGTACAAGATAAACTCGAAAAGGAGTGGGAGGGAGAAAGAACCCTGTGAGTACTCCTTCCAAAACTAAAAACCATCAAATGGACTGCTCTGGGAGTTCAAGCGTTACCAGCCGTAGTTATCATCATTCACACGATTTCTTACGTATTAATTATTATTCATAATTGTGGTGTAATCGTGTTGTTATACTGTTATAAGGAGTAGCCACCAGGGGGAGACCTGGAGTGTTGAATGAACACGAGCACGTGAATAAATGGGCTCCGTGAGAACTACCCAAAGCAGTGTTGTTAATGTGTGAACCCAACACAACATCGTGTCAGAAGTGAGCCTGCTTTGAGGTAGGACAAGTCAGCTTTGCAATCGGCTAGCGACGATGGATGGGCAAGCACAAGTAAGTAAGTAAGTACGTTTTTATTTATATACCGCCTTTTCACTGCAGATCTGAGTCTCAAAGCGGTTTACAATTGTTGGGCATTTGTCTCTCACTCCACACAGAGATGGGAGCGGGGTCGCCAGTACAGGAAGAACATGCCAGAACTATTGGACATATTTTTAGTGGTAGGGGAAACCGGAGTACCCGGAGGAAACCTACGCAGACACGGGGAGAACATGCAAACTCCACTCAGAAAGGCCCTGGTCCGACCGGGATTCGAACCCAGGACCTTCTTGCTGAGAGGCGAGAGTGCTATCCACTCAGCCACCGTGCCGCCAAGCAGCCGCTCCAGCAGCAGCGGAAGCCCCAGGTCCAGAAATGGCGGCTCCACCCACGGCAACTTTTACCATCAAGCCACCAGAACCTTTCGACTTCACAAAACCCCACGAGTGGGAGAAGTGGATAAGACGTTTTGAGCATTTCAGAATGGCAAGTAATCTGAACGGTTCCAGTGATGCCAATCAAGTGAACACTTTAGTTTACTGTATGGGAGATGAGGCTGACGACGGGCTAAGAGGGCTCGAGCTAACAAATGACGAGCGCCAGCGATATGATGCCGTCAAAAGTGCATTCGATAAGCACTTTGTTCCCAGGTAGAATGTGATTTATGAAAGGGCAAAGTTTAATAAGAGAGTACAACAGCATGCTGAACCAGTTGACTCGTTTATAACAGCCCTATCTGCACTGGAGGAAAACTGCGGATATGGGGAACGTCGATGAACTTTTGAGAGACAGGCTCGTAGTGGGTCTTAAAGATTCATCGCTGTCAGAGAGAATGCAGCTCGACAAAGATCTTACCCTAACCAAACCTTTCATAATGGCGAGACAATCTGAAGAAATTAAACAACAACAAACGGATTTGAGAGGTGAATGTAGTGCCAACAAAATAGCTATGGATGCAGTGCACATGAGGAAGCCGAAGCCAAACCAGTTCAAAGGTAAAGAGCAAAAACTGTTAAAGTCACAAAAAACACAGCCAACAAAACTGTCATAACTGCGGCAAACGTGGACACTACGGAAGGGTCTGTAGGTCTACTACAACAGTCAACAAAGTAGCCGGAAGTGCGGATGGACTTTTTCTTGGTGAAGTGGATACAGGAGAGGATCCATGGCTAGCAGACATTGACGTGAAAGGAAATAAAGTGACATTCAAGATTGATTCGGGAGCAGATGTCACAGCTGTTTCCGAAAAGACATTTAACAACTTTAAACAACCAAAGCAGTTGCAAAAAGCAGAGAAACCACTCTTTGGACCGGTTGGCACTGCACTGACAGTTTTTGGGTCTGCTACAGAAACCATCGCATTCAACGACAGGAGCACCATAGAGATAATCTATGTGGTCAAAAACCTGCGTGTGGCACTATTAAGCAGGACAGTATCTGTGAGGCTGAAGCTAATAGCCAGAATGGACAATATAAATGAAGATACTGTAAAGAAGGTCTATCCAAATATATGCGAGGGTCTTGGGCTCGTTTAGAAGGAATACACAATAAAACTGAAGCCTGATGCTATTCACTTCTCACTGAAAGTGCCAAGGCGCGTGCCACTACCGTTAATGGGCAAAGTCAAGGAGGAGCTGGGAAGGATGGAGAAGATGGGAGTGATCAGTTGTGTGGAAAAGCCCACTGACTGGTGCTGTGGCATGTAGTAGTTCCCAAAAACAAAGATAAGGTGCGTATATTGGACATGACACCTTTAAATGAGTCTGTGTGTCGTGAGAGATACATACTCCCTTCTGTGGATCAGATTGGAAAATACCATTGTCCAGGGAATCAGCTCTCCTCACCACATTCATTACTCCATTTGGTAGATACCATTTCAACCGTCTACCATTTGGTATTTCCAGTGCACCTGAACATTTCCAAAACATGATGGTGACCGAGATGACAGCAGGTCTGGACGGTGTTGTGTGCCACATGGATGACGTCTTGGTCTGGGGATCCACCATAGAGCAGCATGACACAAGGCTGCATGCCATTCTACAGCGTATAGCAAAGGCTGGTGTTACCCTAAACATGTCAAAGTGTGAATTTGGCAAAAAAGGTAAAATTCCTGGGATTTATTGTCTCATCAGAGGGGATGAGACCAGATCGAGAGAAAACACAAGCTGTACAAGACATGAAAGAGCCGGAAAACGTGAGTGAGCTCAGAAGCTTCCTGGGAATGGTGAATCAACTTGGGAAGTTTATTCCAAATCTATCTGAAAAGGACAAACCTCTGAGAGACTTGCTTTCTACCAAAAATATGTGGTACTGGGGGCGTGAACAGCAAAAAGCGTTTTGTATTTTAAAAGTTGAACTTTCATCAGCTCCGGTGTTACAGCTTGTGATGGCAAGCGGCTAGTCTTCATAGCGGCTAGTATTCATGCAACCCTGCCTGCTTCTATTCATATGTCCCTGTTCCAGGAAGGAGCCGGGTTCCCCCGACACCTACAGACAATGACGCAAATCACTGTATTCTGATAACCGGCAGGAAGGTCCCGCACCGCCAGACAATGACGCAAATCCCCCCCTCAGCGTCTTTCATCTGTATGCCTTCCGCGTCTTGCATCTGTATGCCTGCATTTCGACCACTGTCTGTCTGTTCGCACCTCCATGCTACTGTCACCACAGGGGATGGCGCCTCTCCCTATGCGCCTCCTGCACCGGTGGCCCCCTCCCATCTGTTGTGGGCGTGACTGTCTTTCATGTGATGCCTATGTAAACAAGAAGCCTGAGCTCTGCGAGCAGAGCTGGGATATGCTGCCTTTCTTTGTATATGCTGGCTCTCCGCACGTGTGTTACAATAAACTTACGCTCCTGAATTAAGACAAAGACCTTTGAGTTTTCTCCTTCATTGGATAGAAACTTCCTTAACAAGCTCTACGATCCGAATAAGCACCAAAAGATCCCTGAAGGAGGGAGAGGAGTGGTCACCAGTTGCTTATGCATCACGGTCACTGACTCCCACAGAGCAGCGTTACGCACAGCTGGCTCTCACTTGGGCCTGTGAATGGTTCAATGACTTTATTTTGGGTTTACATTTTGAGCTTGAAACTGACCATAAGCCACTAGTGAGTCTACTGGTAGGACAAGCTTTAGATGCACTTCCACCGCGCATCCAGAGGTTTCGAATGCGCCTGATCAGGTATTCTTACACAATAAAGCACATTCCAGGTAAAAGCATCACTACAGCCAACACACTCTCAAGGTTACCGCTCACACAGGGTGTTACTCAAGGAGACTCAGATCTTATGGAGGACACTAACATTTATGTTGACTCTGTGCTGGAAGCTTGCTTCCCACAAGCAGCAAATATCTTGCAGATCTTCAAGAGCAGCTTCAGTCCGACAGCGTCTGCTTACAAGTCATGAGGTACTGTACAGAGGGCTGGCCGGACAGGAACCAGCTGCAGGGAGGGGTGAAACACTACTGGCTAGAGAGAGCAGTTCTGAGTGTACACAATGGTTTACTACTGAGAGGCACGAGGTTAGTGATACCTGCAAACATGAGAAATGCAGTTTTGGATAAGATCCATGAAGGTCATCAGGGTGTGGTCAAATGTAGGGAACGTGCACGTCAGGCAGTGTGGTGGCCGGGTTTAAGTAATCAAATCAGTGAGCTCATCTTTAAATGTAAGAAATGCATACAGAAAAGAGTTAATGTAAGAGAGCCGTTGATGCCCACGGATTTACCAGAGAGGCCGTGGCAGAAGTTAGGTGCTGATATGTTTACTTTGAATGACAAAAACTACTTGTTACTAGTGGATTATTTCTCTAGGTATGTAGAAATTGCTCTTCTTAGCCCAACTCGCTCTGCTAATGTTATTGTGCATTTAAAATCAATGTTTGGACATCACGGTATACCAGAGACTCTGATCACGGACAACGGCCCACAGTTTGCATGTCAGGAAATGAAGGACTTTGCAAATGAGTACTGTTTTGAGCATGTGACCAGTAGTCCCAGGTACCCTCAGAGTAACGGAGAGGCAGAAAGAGCGGTCCAAACGGTCAAAAACCTTCTCAAAAAGGCAAGTGATCCATACAGTGCACTTTTGGCTTACAGAACCACAGCTCTGGCGAATGGTTACAGCCCAGCTCAGCTTCTTTTGGAACGTAGACTACACACTACTTTGCCTATGCTTCCTGAGGCATTACAGCCGTGTTTGCCGGATCTGCAGCAGATGCGTCAAATAGAGAGGGACAGAAGGTTGAGACAAAGTGAATGCTTTAACGCAGGGGTGTCCAAACATTTTAGCAAGAGGGCCACTTTAGTTCCCCAGACTAGTTCAGGGGCCGACATCACAAACTTTAAAACTGTCTTGACTGGTATAGAGCCGTTCTGAGCTTCAAAATAATTCATAACAGAGCTGAAGTTGGCTGAATGACACATCCTGACCATCTCACCAGCTACAGTAGCACCATTAACAGAAGTTTGTACCACAATCAAAAACCATATCGGTACAGTTTGTACAAATAAAGTCAACGACTGAAATCCAGACGTACTGGGCTTTAGAACAAGTTACGACATGTTTTAATTGCCTGAGCTGAAGTTGGATGGATGACACAGTGAACTAGTGTTTATGATCTCAAAGACTACTTTAGCTTAGCAAGGCAGAGGGCCACATGAAATGACAGTGAGGGCCGCAATTGGCCCCCGGGCCTGAGTTTGGACATGCCTGCTTTAAAACACAGAACCAGAGATATGGACAAACTGTTACCCGGACAACCCGTTTGGGTCACAAATACGAAAGCACAAGGGACTGTGACATCTGTACACCCAACTCCAAGATCTTACATCATCGATGGACCACACGGGACAATCAGAAGGAACCGCAGTCATCTTGTTCCTATGCCGAATACAGAGACAGATACAGAACTGCAGCAGATCCAAGTCTAGTGAGAATACTCCTACAGAGACTGCTACTGAGACAAAACCACAGGAGGATGTTTTGAAAACAAGGTCTGGTAGAGAAGTGAGAAAACCAAAAAGACTTGATCTGTAATGAAAATGTTTTATTTGATGTGCCAGTTTCGAATTTGTAAATGGCGTGGTTATATAAATGGGATATATTTGTATTGAAGGTTTATCTGATAAAAGGTTAAAAGCTTTATTTAAAAGAGTTAATTAATATAGTTAGTTGACATAACAATTGAACAAGGTTTAATTTTGTCATGTGATTTGTTTACTGTCGCTTCAGTAAGGGGGATGTGGTGTAGTTGTTATACTGTATAATATATATGTATTCAGGAGTAGCCACCAGGGGGCGACCTGGAGTGTTGAATGAACACGAGCACGTGAATAAATGGGCTCGATGAGAACTACCCAAAGCAGTGTTGTTAATGTGTGAACCCAACACAACATTAATGATTTTATTATTTACAGCAAGGAATAATGAATGAAGCAGGACCATGGATCTATTATAATGTCATGCAGGACGTTATTATTAGGACCGTTTTGTTCACACATATTCTGTTTTGTTTATGCCATACTTCCGGGTTCGAGTGCGCATGCGCGGTTTCCGGCTGTTTATGCTTACATATCTGACCCACGCGACTGCTCTGTGTGCGTGTCTATGGTGTGGATCCACAGTGTGCGCCCGGTCCTGTACGTGTGTTAGCGGTCGTGTCCGGTTCGTGTGGAGATCCGATACGTGAGAGTCCTGCCCCTGTGGACCCCCGTGGACCCCGTTGCCCCAGGACTCACTTGGACCCCCGGGACCCTCTGGACTCACGTGAGTGCACTGGCGGATGGCGGTCGAACACTGGACATCGTGTGGCGTGAATGACAGTGATCGTAATCCAAAGTGTCTTCCCCATTCATAATATGTCTGGTTAGGCAACGTTTATTTGTATAGCACAGTTCACAAGACAACTTAAAGTATTTAAAATCATAAATATTTACAGTACATTAAAAAGAGTCAAGAAAAAAACGAAACATAACTGTTTTTAACCTGGATTTGAAAATTGTCAGAGAAGAGGTCTGTCTCACATTCTCAGGAAGACTGCTCCGGATTATTGCTGCATAAATCTGAAATGCAGCCTCTCCATGTATAGTCCTGACTTTGGGACCAGCAGGAGGCCAGTCCCTGTGCTCCTCAGAGTCCAAGAAGGTTCATATGGTACTAACATGTCACATGTAGTGTGGTGCGAGGCCATGGAAAGACCACAAGCAGGGCAAGGCCTGGTTAGTACTGTGATGGGAGACCTCTGTGAACGCCAGGTGCCAATAGGGCGGCTGCGGCTGTGAAAGCACAAACTGTGGTTGTGTCATTAAGCAAGACACTTCCTCCACATTAGAATGAGTCTGCTGTGTGTGTGTGAATGGTTGTTGGTGGTGGGAGGGGGCGATGACACAGACTGGTGGCCTCGCTTCTGTCAGTGTGCCCCAGGGCAGCTGTGGCTCCACTGTGTATGGAGCGAGTATGACATGTGAAGAATCTAAACAAATTGATAAATACATTTAAATTATTGTTATTTATATTGATCTTAATTCTTTGCTAAGTCTCTCAAAGCTTCACTGGAGTCACAGATCATTCTCTTGGTGGTGACTAAAGACCCCTCCCACTCCGTCATTCATTCTGCTGCAGGTTTTGTATCTGTTTTGTAAAGTCCTCCGAGCTCCTGGTACTCTCTAGGGCTGTGCATATATACATTGAATTGATTTGTTGTTTTGGGTGATGAGAGAAACTACAAATTAGCCCCCTGCTCGTGCATGGGGCTCGAACCACAGACCTTGTGATTTTGATTCATTGATTGTTGTATGTGTAGAGAGAGTGCGGTAAACTTGCCTTAAAATAAACTTGAGACCAGCATTGCACTCAGGGCTGGTGCCTGGTTACATACAATGAACTAAAAGGTACACAGGGAAGTTTACAGAGGAGTCCAATTCAATATTACAAAAAACTTTTTAATTTAACAGTGAAAAGGGGAATAATAAAATGTATACATTCACCACCAAGCACACAACATATATTTATTAATCAAAAGGATCAAAACTAAAATCATAAAGGAGCAGTATGTAAAAAGCTGGCCAAAAGTGGTACTGCAACCTCTCCCGCTCCCTGACTCAGGTTGCCAGATATGCAGACGAAATCCAGCTGGGACCATAATAACTGAATAGGCAAGAGTTTTTTCAACAACTAATCTATAAACAACACCTTTTACACAAAGATAGAAATCCTGGTTTTATTCCTTGTTTTGTCGTTAATGATTTGAGAATCACGACGAGACCTATTTTAGTTCTGCGGCCACATGGTACTTTACCAGTGAGATTAGCTTGATGCTGTGAGTTCTGGCAACCCGGATCACAGACTTTCTGATTGGTGAAACAGTGGAGGGCCGGACATCGAAATGAAAGCAATAACTAGATTTAGGGGCTGTAAAACAAATTTTGAAATCCAAATAGCTCTGTACTAACTTTATCAGTAAGAGAAGTATTGGAAAAGAGCCTGACTTATTAATGCCATTTGACAGATTAGGGCCCTTTAATGATGACTCGACATGAAAATCTTACATATTGATGTGTGAACATTGAGCAAAATATCAAACACTCCTCTCTACTTCTGAGCTTTTCTAACCTTCTTTCCCCTGGTTCCCAACAGCATTCCTGTGCGTGCTCCCATATAGACCCCTGAGGGACCAGGACCCAGGACCTCCCAGGTACTGACCCTGACCCAAACTACAGTATGGACCTTATTCTCTGATCTGTGCAGGCGAATCAACAACTTAAATAATAACTACTGTTGTGATTTAGGGACATACAAAAATGAATTGAATTGAATTGAATTGAATTGGCATATACAGAAGCAGAGATGGACACTGTCAGGATGGGAAGGGAACAGAGGTGTGAGTGCAGGCTTTAGAGTAGGCGTCTTCAACCTTTTTCACCCAGAGAGCGACTTTGCGAACACAAGAAAGACAGGGAGCTACTCCTTTTATATGGTCCGGGGAAAATTGAGATGATATATTGGTGAGAGCGAGCCTGATAGTGAGATTATTAATCATCACAAATTCAATACCTGTGCACAAAGTATAATAAATAATGATAAGGAATAATACATTATGAAATATTCAGTATATTATTTGAATTGATCATTTCTAAATCCTTTGGCGAGCTACTGGTGGCTCTCGAGATACAGGTTGGAGACCCCTGCTTTAGAGGGAGGCTGATGCCCAGGTGCATTCTGAGATAAATGCAACCTTTCCCTTTGCGATCCTGACTCTGAGACGGGTGCTGGGTGCAGATGTGGTGGGTGTTGAGTGGGTGTTGAGTGGGTGGGTGTGTGCAGAGCTATAATCTGAAGCTGCAGACTCTGGTTCAGGGAGTCTCCAGTCTCCACCCACTGCTCCTTCATCTGCTCTCAAACTGACACCACATAAAACAACATTCAAAGTACGCAGACTGAAACTATAGGGGCTAGGGTTACTAATGGTTTACTTTGCGGCGCTGACTTCTTTGGGACACATCAGAGAAAAATGATATTAAAATCAAAAACACAAGTGAATGAAAGGAACTGAACTGGGCTCCACTTGTTCATGACCAGAAAAAGTTCAGACTCTTACTGTTGACTCATGACCAGGGCAAACTTTTTATTTAGAGCTCCACTTTCATACAATTCAATGTATTTGCATATCGTATTTGTGTATGAGGAGCAGAGACCAATGTTCATAAATGTTGTTCAATGTGGAGTGTCCTGGATCATCTCTGTCCTCAGACCCTAACATAGTGGGAGAAAATGAGAAAGCTCTGGGGCTGAGGCTGTAGATCCAGGTCTGAGGCTGTAGACCCAGGACTGAGGCTGTAGACCCAGGACTGAGGCTGTAGATCCAGGACTGAGGCTGTAGACCCAGGACTGAGGCTGTAGACCCAGGACTGAGGCTGTAGATCCAGGACTGAGGCTGTAGACCCAGGACTGAGGCTGTAGACCCAGGACTGAGGCTGTAGATCCAGGACTGAGGCTGTAGACCCAGGACTGAGGCTGTAGACCCAGGACTGAGGCTGTAGACCCAGGACTGAGGCTGTAGATCCAGGACTGAGGCTGACCCAGGACTGAGGCTGTAGACCCAGGACTGAGGCTGTAGACCCAGGACTGAGGCTGTAGACCCAGGACTGAGGCTGTAGACCCAGGACTGAGGCTGTAGACCCAGGACTGAGGCTGTAGATCCAGGACTGAGGCTGTTGTGTGTTGTGTCAGCAGCTCCAGCTCATGTGTGTTCCTCTGGACCCATGACCCGTGTGGCTGTCCTAGGAGGGGGCATCGGGGGTCTGTCTGCAGCCTTCTACCTCAGCCGCAGTGCACAGGTCTCCAAGGTAAGGTCCTGTGTGTGTGTGTGTGTGTCAGTGTGTATGATGAACACAACAGTATGGCGGTGAACAGTGTATGTCTGTGTCCAGGTGGTGGTGCTAGAGGGCAGTGCGCGGGTCGGGGGCTGGCTGTGGTCCAACAGGAGACCTGATGGGGCCGTGTTCGAGCTCGGGCCCCGAGGAGTGAGACCAGTGGGGCCCACAGGACGCAACACCCTCAACATGGTGAGGGAGGGGCCAGTGGAAAGAGAGGGGGAGGAGCCAATGTGAGGCAGGGGCCAGAGTGAGGGAGGAGCCAGGGGGGGAGAGAGGGAGGAGCGGTGTGAGGGAGGAGCCAGTGTGAGGGAGGAGCCAGTGTGAGGGAGGAGCCAGTGTGAGGGAGGAGCCAGTGTGACGGAGGAGCCAGAGTGATGGAGGAGCCGGGGGGAGAGGGGGAGGATCCAGTTTGTATGAATGACACGTCTCTGGATCTGCTGCTGTACCTCCTCTGTCCTGCAGGTGGAGGAGCTGGGCCTGGAGAGCGAGGTTCTCCCGGTGAGCCAGGACCATGTGGCGTCTCAAAAGCGCTTCCTGTTTGTGAGGGGTCAGCTGTGGGAGATGCCCCGCGGCCTCAGGTGAGGACCTACTCAAATACCAACAACTTCCTCATGAGAAAGTTAGTTAGATACTTTATTGATCCACCGTAGGAGAAATTCATGCATTCATACAAACAAAACAAATCAATAGATCCTTCTAAAAATAGCTAATAATATTATTCCAATTAAGATAAGTAGGGCTGTCAAAATGATTGCTATAACGCACGTAATTTTTTTTTTTTAATTAATTGCGTGAAAAAAATTAGCACATTAATGCATGTGCCGAATGACCTGCCCATGCATCCCATAATAACACTCAGAAGTGACGCGGACATATGCGTGTGAGATGGCGACAGAGCAGGTAGACATTAGTTAGCATTAGCACAACTTCTTACACGCTGTACAACAATCACTGATGAAATGGTACCAAAGCAACACACTGCTAACAGAATGTGCAGTACAATAACTGAAAGATGACCTCCAGTTTCTCTTGCAAAGTTAGTCTGAGGCGGTCCGCACCTGCAGGTCTCTCCAGAGGATACAATGTAAGCTAGCTATGTTCACCCAGGCTTGGTTTCTTCTTTGATCATTTTTTCGCTTTAGTTCCCTCTTCTCTTCCTCACTGTTGTGTCTTTTGGGCTGTTTTACTGCTGTGTGTGCAGCAAAAAAGTTCTACTTTTTTACTCAGCGCAATTTATGGCCTGAATTCATACACGGCTGAATCAATGAGCTCAACTTTTCAATTAAATTAACTTGATTTTTAATTTTAATTGTTTGACAGCCCTAAAGATAAGAAAAACTTTGTTGATCTCACTCTGGAGAAAGTTACATGTCACATTTGGCACAGACAGAATCACTCAGGTTGTGCAAAAGAAGGTTTTCTTCTAAAGGTTAGACATACAGTCTGTGCAGGGTATAATTATGTACAATAAAAAAGATGATTGTAAAGTGTGTAATGTGTTGTGTGGCAGTGGGCTCCTGAGGCCCACCCCGCCCTTCTCCCGAGCGCTGCTGCCGCTGCTGCTGTCGGAGGTGTTCGTGTCCAGAGCAGAGGACCAGGACGAGACCCTTCACTCCTTCGTCAGCCGCAGGTTCAGCTCTGAGGTATCTGCACCACACTGGACACTGCCAGGACCCTCGTCACAGGTTTTCACTCCAACAGCAGCAGCAGCTCAGGCTCCTCCCATTTCCTCAGATCTTCAGCTTCAAACTGAGGAGTCTGTGCTGCTGCTGCTGGAGTGAAAACCTGCAGCCACATTGGCTCTTTGAGGACTGCTTTGACACGCCTGATTTAAACTTCTGTGTGTGTGTGTGTGTCTCTCTCTCTGTGTGTGTGTGTCTCTCTCACTGTGTGTGTCTCTCTCTGTGTGTGTGTGTCTGTGTGTCTCTGTGTGTCTCTGTGTGTGTGTGTGTGTCTGTGTGTCTCTGTGTGTCTCTGTGTGTCTCTGTGTGTGTGTGTGTGTCTCTCTCTCTCTCTCTGTGTGTGTGTGTCTCTCTCTCACTGTGTGTGTCTCTCTCTGTGTGTGTGTGTGTCTGTGTGTTTATGTGTGTCTCTGTGTGTGTGTGTGTCTCTGTGTGTCTCTGTGTGTGTGTGTGTGTGTGTGTGTGTGTCTGTGTGTCTCTGTGTGTGTGTGTGTCTCTGTGTGTCTCTGTGTGTGTGTGTGTGTGTGTGTGTGTGTGTGTGTCACTCTCTCTCTCTCTCTGTGTGTGTAGTTGGCAGACATAGCGGTGAGCAGTCTGTGTCGTGGTGTGTTTGCTGGAGACAGTCGGAAGCTCAGTGTTCGAGCCTGTTTCCCAGATCTGCACCGAGCCGAGAGCCAGCGGGGGTCTGTGGTTCTGGGGATGCTGCTGGGGACAGGTCTGTACCCGAGGGCCCTGACTGTACCCGAGGGCCCTGCCTGTACCCGAGGGCCCTGTCTGTACTCGAGGGCCCTGTCTGTACTCGAGGGCCCTGACTGTAACCGAAGGCCCTGACTCTACCTGAGGGCCCTGTCCTTTTCTGAGGACCCTGTCTGTACACTAGTGGTGGGAATTGACAAAAATGTGATATTTGGGCCACAATTAAATATTGTTGTGACATATCGCGGGACAGACAGTATTAAGATGAAGAGATCCTTTATTTGTCCCACAGCGGGGAAATTTCAGAGTTGCATCACAAGTTATAGAACAGTAGGAAAGACAAGCACACAGCACAAGTTAAGTGAACGATAGCTATACTAATAATAAACAAAAAAAATCTAACTCTAGCATCAAAGAACAAGTATGTGATTCTGTGATATATTGTGATTCGTGTCCCTTATATTATTCACAGACTTTTATAACATAGAGGAAAATAAGACTCTGTGACATTTATTATGGTCTGAACATGAACTGAAGCAAACTCTGAGGGTAGAGCAAAAACATTATCCTTAAACATTCAGGGCACAGGACCTTATTACAGACAAGACGTCATAGAGTCACAACAAGCAGACGTCATAGAGTCACAACAAGCAGACGTCATAGAGTCACAACAAGCAGACATCATAGAGTCACAACATTGTTGAGAGACATAAACCACAGACGGTACTGACCAGAGGAAACTCAGAGGAAACAGATAATTCTTTATTTAAATATCACAATATTTTGATCTACTGTAACGATTTAACTGTGTGCCCAAAATATTGCGATACTGAACAGAATTGATTCTTTCCCACCACTGATGTAATGTTTTTAATATTGTTAGTGACTGTAATGTGTGAAATAATGTAACTGTGTGTGCAATAACTGTGTGTTCCTTGTGCATAGTCCTGTGTGTGTAATAACTGTGTGTTCCTGGTTCAGTGGGCCGGCCGGACGTGGCCCCGGGGCCCCTGGCTCTCAGGGCCCAGAGGGAGCGCTGGGCTCAGTGGTCTCTGCGCTCAGGGCTGGAGTCTCTGCCTGAGGCCCTTAAGCTGCAGCTGCAGAGCAGAGGTGTGGAGCTGCACACAGGGGCCCAGGTCAGAGGGCTGCAGAGGACGGACAGCGGCTGGACCGTGAGTGAGCCCCCTCCCCATTGGTCACAGAGTACAGAGTGAGAGAGAGACCAATCGTCACTGTGTCCTGCAGGTCCAGACTGAGTCCGGGCCGATCTCCGCGGACCACATCGTCTCTGCTCTTCCGGCTCAAGGTGAGACTTTAGTCAGACACAGATCAGAGACATTTACCCTGAGCTCACATTTAGCCCCTCTGCTCCTGCACCTGTGACGTGTGTGAACTGCTTTTACACAGACTGCAAACCATAATGTGGTGCTTTGTAACAGTCGTATCCATGGAAACATCTGTTCAGGATCAAAGCCATATTTTTGCAATTGTGAGATTTTCACCTCTGTCCTTCCCTCTCTCTCCCCTCCCTGTCACGCCCTGTCCCTCCCTCTCTCTCACCTCCCTGTCTCCCTGTCTCTCCTCTGTGTCTCAGCTCTGGGTTCTGTCCTCCCCTCCTCCTGCTCTGCTCTGGCGTCTCTTCTGGAGCAGGTTTCTTGTGTGACGGTGGCAGTGGTCAGTCTGGAGTACAGCAGTGCAGTGTTACCAGTGCAGGTGAGACACACACACACACAGACACACACAAACACACATATATGAAATATGATCCCTCAGTTGCTGAAGATTTGAACATTGTCAGAGAATAAGCCTTTTTCACATTTTCAGGAAGACTGATCCAGATTTTAGCTGCATAGATTTGATTAGGGTTTCCCATTAATTATCTTCAAATCATAATACATCTTCAAATTGAAATTAAAGAGAACATTAGGAACTCTGATTTCCACGACCAGAAATGGACTAATAAGTGACATGACATCACTCAAAGAGAAACACCAGAATAGAACACACTGTACTGTCTCATCCCGTGTCCCCTGGTCCTCTCTCCCTGCCGTGCTGAAGGTTGTGTGTTGTGTGTGGTCTTGAGTCCAGGGCTTCGGTCACCTGCTGCCCGCCTCAGAGGACCCCGCGGTGCTGGGAGTGGTCTACGACTCTGTGTTCTTCCCTCAACACAACAGCCCTGAGGGAGACAGCACCCGGCTCACTGTGAGTGTGACCTGCTACACACACAGACACTGAAACACACTCACACACCACAGACACAGAAACACACACACACACGGACCATAGACACAGACACAAAAACACACACACACGCACCAGACACAGAAACACACACACTCACAGACCACAGACACAGAAACACACACACACACACGCACCAGACACAGAAACACACACACACACGGACCACAGACACAGACACAAAAACACACACACACGCACCACAGATACAGAAACACACTGACACACACGGACCACAGACACAGACACAAACACACACACACGCACCACAGATACAGAAACACACAGACACACACTCTGACCCTCTGTCTGGTGTCTGCAGGTGATGATGGGCGGGGCCTGGTTCCAGCAGGTCTTTGGTGACCCGGACCATGTGAGCACAGATCTGCTGCTGTCCAGAGCTGTGTCTGCTGTGACCACACACCTGGGAGTCAAACAGCTCCCCGTGTGGAGCAACGTGGCACTGCACCGGGTATGTTTCTTCTGCCACATGTGCCACATGTGCCAAGGAAGAAGAAAGACAAACTCTGGAATTCAGAGCCTGTTACTTCAGCAGGGTTCTCACATGCTTTATTTTTAATACACACACACAAATATACACTCTCAAACAGACAGTTCCAGGCCAGTGTGTATAACGTGTGTGTCTCTTCTCAGGACTGTATTCCTCAGTACTACTTGGGACACGCTCAGAGAGTGGGTAAGTCTCCACTCATTTTGTAATTCTTTACAATACAATACAATGTATTCTTGTATAGCCCTAAATCACAACAGAAGTCATCTCAGAGGACAGAAAGAAAATAGAACATGTTGATAAATGTCATACATGTTGTAGAATGTTGAAGTGTCCTGGATCATCACCACATCCTTCTAGTTAGACACTAACTGCCCAACAGACCCTCCTGCATCGGCAAGGAAAACCTCATAAGAAAAACCCAGTGGGAAAAAGTGAGAAACCTCGGGGAGACCCACAATTTGAGAGGGATCCGCTCCCACGGACGGACGGGCTGTAGATCCAGGACCTAAGCTACAGAACGTGGACAGGTCCGGTGCAGGACTGAAGCACTCCCAGGCGGGTCTTTAGACAGTCAGTTAAGAATATGAATAATGTTGGATCTTTAATAATCGTTTTGCACTAATATTATGTTCAGTCATTCCTTAGTTGAAGATGGGTTCATGCAAACTAGGGCAAATATTCGAAGAATCTCCACATCTATAATTTCTGTCTCTGAGTGCATTTCCCTTGATGCACCTGGCTGTCTCTGGTTGGAGCCTCAGTCCTGGTCTCAGAGTCTCCTCTCGTTGCAGAGCTGATGCGCAGCTGGATCCGAGACGCAGACCTGCCGCTGTCATTGGTCGGATCCTCCTACGACGGCGTCTCTGTCAATGATGTCATCTTTAGTGGACGCACAGCCGCAGAGTCACTGCTGCAAACGTGAACACGGACTGAGAACTGTGGCTTTAGTTTACAACAGGACTGCTGAACTTTCGACATTTATTATGGATTGAATTGAATGTATGTCGAGTCTTTTCTCATGTCAAAGACGTCTGGGTGAAATAAAGAGCAGCAGACTCAGATTGACTTTTATTTATTTACTAAAACATTTACAGCGACAGAAAACAGAGACAGACGAGGCTTGTCACCGCAGCCCCAGCTTCTTCTTCTCTTTCTGCTTCTTACGCACCACCTCCATGTTCCGGTCCTTCCACATGCTTTTCCTCAGTTTGATGGGTCTGGATCCCACGTACTTCCCTGAAGAACAGAGCACATTACTTTGTTACATTGTATGAAGCACCAGTGAAGGTCATTGGTTCTTAGTTGTATGTTTTTCCCCAAACCCACTTTTGCCAGAACCCAAAAATAAATGAACGCAGCCTTCACCCAATAGTGCTGTGAACAGTGTATTTCATCCCCTGCTGGTTGTGAGGCGCTATTACACCCTTTTGTTTTAAACCAAATCCATGATGAAAGACCTGTTTGTTCAGATCCTGCAGCCGCACACTCCTGAATATTCAGGATGTCCAGTAAGAAATAAGCCATGGGTCTCATTGGCATTTAGATCAAAATTCAGAATCTGAATGTTGTAAAAAAAAAAATAAGGTTTTGCCTCAATTTCCTTTTTTTCTGTAGGACAAAATTTGTTTTTTCTGCATAAAGAGTGTTTAGGCCCAGGAGTTTAACAACTGATTAAAATGCTAATCTGAGTGTGTTTATGAGAGCACTTTGGACATTTCAACTGATTTGAGCCAAATTTGTGATTGCGCCACTTAAACAGTTTAACTTTTAATGTTGTTCATTTGATTTACATATTCTTCCGATATAAGTCAGTGAAAGTCTGAAGGTGGAGGTGGATTTTAGACATGAATCGCACTAAAGTTGGTGGACTTCCCGTTTGTGGGAGAGGACATAGTATTATAAACTTGTCTGTTCAATGCAGGTGTCAAATGTTTCACTTGGTGCAGACTCCTTTGATTTTAATCTTAAAGAACCATGTGAGGTCGACAAACATTTTCAATTTGACCCAAGGATAAGGACAGTGATGTTTTCCACAGTTAAAAGAGAATGAACTGAAACACAGAAGTCGGACAATTTGAGGAAACCGCACTTTGTCTGGATTCACATCGAAGCAAAACGACAAATAAAACCTTATTTTTGAGACTTTCAAAAGTCCTGTGGTGTCTGTTTTAGTGTCTGTTGGTGATGGATCCAGATGCTTCTCGTGCAGACTCACCGTTCATCTCCCTCATGGCTCTCACGTAGTCGTTGGGGTCTTTGAAGCTCACAAACCCATAGCCCTTTGTCTTTCCTGTGCGTTTGTCCCGAACCACCTGCAACAGCATTATACTTCACATTGGTTTTTGTAACTTCTGTTCTAAAGTCATATCTCAGTCCTGTGCGTCAGACCTGATTCTGCCGCTGGTCGTGTTGTTGCTGAACTACGTCACAGTCCACAATTTCATTTAAATGTAATAGTTTACAAATCGGCAAAAAACTAGAACGCTCCCTACAAAAGAAAGGACATGGACTTCTGTCTCTTCATGAGCCTTTATCTGTGTCAAGTTATTTATTTATGGGCGAGGAATACAGAGAAGACGCAAATCAGTGAGTTAAACGTTTTTGGGGAGGAGTGAAGGGAGTATTCTAATCTATAATATTATTGTAAAGATCCCAGTGGAGATTAGGAACATGGTTGGAGTGATGTGTCAGATGGAGCGCTCAGACCTTTGCTTTGAGGAAGGAGGGGTATCTGCTGAAGGCTCTGGCCAGGATGTCGTCGTTCACCTCGTTGCCCAGGTCTCCACAGAAGATCCGGAAGTCGTCTGAAACACGGGGGAAGGGTCAGAGATGATCCAGGACACTCCACATTATGAACATTTATGGACATTGGTCTATGTGTTTGTTATTATTGCATTTCCTGTTTGATCTGTGTTGGTGAATTGACAGCTTTGTGAAGTCCTCTGAGATAATTTCTGCTGTGATTTAGTGCTACACACCAATACATGAGGAGGTCCATGGAGGGGATGTGATGAAGCAAACAACATTTCAGATACACTTGTTTCTGTACTAGACGTTAAACTAAAGTGTGGAGCAGCTTCACTGAGCAGAAACCAATGCCCAAATATAAAACTATTCAGGAAAATGTTCAACAAAATAATATTAGAGGTTTGAAAATGACTAACATTTGTAAATATGTAGGAAAGTAATAATAATGCATCGGTTTCATACAATGCTTTTTTGGACAATCAAAGTCTCTTCACATGTCATTCTTTCATTCCAAACACGGTGGTGATAAACTACTGTAGCCACAGCTGCCCTGGGGCACACTGACAGAAGCAAAGCAACGAGTCTGTGCCATCGGCCCCTCCCACCACCACCAACACTTCTTCATTGTGTGTTTGAAATGAAGTAAAGTCAAACTGAACATGGCCTCTGTCCTGAGTACCTGACTCCCACTCCAGCAGCGAGGCGTCCTCCCAGGACGTCCCTGCGGCCGTGCGGATGCACTTCTTCATCTTGTCTCCTTTGGATTTCTTCTTGTCCTCAGTGACGCTCTCCACCTGCACAGAACGGTTCACTCTCACATTATAGTTGCCCTCGTTCAGCTCCATTCTGTTCAGAACGCAGAACTTCTCACTGGTTTGAACAGAGGGAGCACATCACCCCTGTGTTAGCGTCCCTCCACTGGCTCCCTGTGAGTTTAAGATTTTACCGATCACTTTTAAAGCTCGTTTAGGCTCCAAGCCCCATGAACCCAGGACCCTGTTGGCCGCTCCGAGGCCCAGGCTCCGGACACAAGGTAATTGAGCCTTCTGGATCCGGAATCCTCTGGAACCACTTGGCCCTAGTAGTACCTCACACACACAGTACATACAGTAGTCCCTCACACACAGTAATAGTACCTCACACACACACAGTGGTAGTACCTCACACACAGTACATACAGTAGTCCCTCACACACAGTACATACAGTAGTCCCTCACACACAGTAATAGTACCTCACACACAGTACACAGTGGTAGTACCTCACACACAGTACATACAGTAGTCCCTCACACATAGTAATTGTACCTCACACACACACACACACACACACAGAACACAGTAGTAGTACCACACACACAGTACACAGTACATACAGTAGTCCCTCACACACAGAACACAGAAGTAGTACCACACACACAGTACCCAGTAATAGTACCTCACACACAGTACACAGCAGTAGTACCTCACACACAGTACACAGCAGTAGTACCTCACACACAGTATACAGCAGTAGTACCTCACACACAGTACACAGCAGTAGTACCTCACACACAGTACACAGTAGTTGTACCTCACACACAGTACACAGCAGTAGTACCTCACACACAGTACACAGCAGTAGTACCTCACACACAGTATACAGCAGTAGTACCTCACACACAGTACACAGCAGTAGTACCTCACACACAGTACACAGTAGTTGTACCTCGTACGATGGTGTGGGCTCTGGTTTCTTCGCTCTCATGGTCTCCTCTGCTTCCTTCTTGTGCAATAGTCCTGCTGCAATCACAGCAGCCTGCTGCTCCGCCACACGAGCTGCCAGCTCCTCCTGAGAGAGTCGGTTTTTAGTTTCTAGACGAGTGTTGAGCTGACCCCCCCCTCGCCTGGGACCTCCTCAGTCCTGTTACGCATGGCCCCGGTCTTTGTTGCACCGCCTCAGGCCTGGATCTACAGCCTCAGGCCTGGATCTACAGCCTCAGTCCTGGATCTACAGCCTCAGTCCTGGATCTACAGCCTCAGGCCTGGATCTACAGCCTCAGGCCTGGATCTACAGCCTCAGTCCTGGATCTACAGCCTCAGGCCTGGATCTACAGCCTCAGGCCTGGATCTACAGCCTCAGTCCTGGATCTACAGCCTCAGGCCTGGATCTACAGCCTCAGGCCTGGATCTACAGCCTCAGGCCTGGATCTACAGCCTCAGTCCTGGATCTACAGCCTCAGTCCTGGATCTACAGCCTCAGGCCTGGATCTACAGCCTCAGGCCTGGATCTTACAGCCTCAGTCCTGGATCTACAGCCTCAGGCCTGGATCTACAGCCTCAGGCCTGGATCTACAGCCTCAGTCCTGGGTCTACAGCCTCAGTCCTGGGTCTACAGCCTCAGTCCTGGGTCTACTCTACAGCCTCAGTCCTGGGTCTACAGCCTCAGTCCTGGGTCTACAGCCTCAGTCCTGGGTCTACTCTACAGCCTCAGTCCTGGATCTACAGCCTCAGTCTTGGATCTACAGCCTCAGTCTTGGATCTACAGCCTCAGTCTTGGGTCTACAGCCTCAGTCTTGGGTCTACAGCCTCAGTCCTGGATCTACAGCCTCAGTCCTGGATCTACAGCCTCAGTCCTGGATCTACAGCCTCAGTCCTGGATCTACAGCCTTATGGACTAATGGCTTTATGTGTTTGTTAATATTGCATTCCCTGTGTTTGAACAGTTTGATCCGTTATGAATATCTACTGTAGAGATTTAGGGCTATTCAACGATACATTGAAATGACCATAGCTTCATGCTCTGTAGCAGTCCCTCTGAATGAAGGAGGTGAACGATGGTGTGTGGAGCACGTACCATGCGCGCCTGCCTCTGGTTGCGCTCTGGTTGTGTGATGGTGGCAGGAGGAGCAGAGTAGACTGTGGGAGCTGCCTGGATCACAGGGGTGCTGCTGGGGGTCACCGGAGGCCCACTGGGCTCCGTCACAGGGGCCATCATTTCCCCCACCTGAGGACACACACAGAACAAGTCAGTACACACACACAGACTAGGGATGTAAATCGGTGACCGTTTAACCGGTGGTTGACCCTCACAGCGTTAACCGGTCAAAGCTGTCGGTTAAAAAAAAAGAAAAGGGGAGAGGGGACGTCTCTTCATAACGCTTTTTTAAGCACAATGTGACGAGCGGGTCCGTCTCTAACTGTGTGCGCCAATGTATCAGTAAACTCTGGGACGACTCTCATGCTGCACGCGCCACATATGCACACGCGCGCGCACACACACACACATACTTTCCCCCTCTCCATACGTAACATCCACAAGCATCGTCTCTCCCCTCTGTTACCGTCAAAGTTGCACAATGGCGCGGGTCAGAACTACATTGGAGCTTACATTTACACACACGCATACATGTATTGTACACACACACACACACACGTACACACATACCGGTCTGTCGCGTTCGTCTGTGTCACGCAGCCCAAAGGATTCGCGCAAATACGCGGCTTCAGTCAAACCACATGAAACACGTTTGTGTTTATGGTCCTTGTCATTAGATCAGCTCCACACACGAAGACCTGCGAGATGCGGCTCGTCACTCGCTGCTCTGACCATGTGGACGAGCCGTTGTTTGCTGTTAAAAAGTTTTGGTTTTAACTAGGGCTGTCAAATGATTAAACATTTTAATCGAGTTAATTACATCTTTAAAATTAATTAATCGTAATTAATTGCATTTCAAACTATCGACAAAATTATGCCATATTTTTTATGTAAATGGTTGTTTGAATGGAAAGATAAATGTCAGTGTACATATGTTCTGTATTTGTTTATTATAACAAATAATAAATAAAGCACTCGCTAAATTAATTTAGCAAGTGCGCGTCAGGAGAAGACACGGAGGAGACTCCGTATAGTCCAGCTTCTGCGCTGTATCTTGTGTGTGCACCTGTTACGCAAAGACACGCACACTACAATCAGAGAATAGTTCTGAGCGTGGTCTTGGATATGATCACGTTACGCGGCGCCGTTCGCCGTGATCACAGCCGCTGGAGGAACCGTTGTCCAGAGCGCCGCCGCTCAGCTCACAGTGTTCATACAGGAGGAAACGAGTGTATTTTGTTTAAACTTGAATTCCCAGAGACCTGCTCTGTTGCCATCTCACACACACGTGTCCGCGGCATTCTGAGTGTTATTATGGGATACATGGGCATGCGTTAATTGCGTTAATTATTTTAACGCGATTAATGGAACAAATTAATTAACGTGCGTTAACACAATAATTTTGACAGCCCTAGTTTTAACCCGCAGCACAGAATAATGGGAAGATTAAAAAAGCAGTTCTCTGTGCGCAAAGGTGCACTGATCCAGTAGAACGCAGAGCTGCACTTATGAGAAGTATGCAGCTCGAAATGGCTGTTATTTCAAAGAACGTGGAATATTTTAAACTACGCGGTTAACCGGTTTCAACCGGTTAATGAGGCTCGGTGGTCGGTCATGAAAATTCATAGTTTTTTACATCCCTAACACAGAACAAGTCAGTACAAACACAAAGACACACAGACACACACAGAACAGGTCAGTACACACACACAAACACAAACACACACACAGAACGAGTCAGTACACACACACAAACACACACACAGAACGAGTCAGTACACACACACACACACACAAGTCCAATCAGTCCAGTTCAAATGTAGAGTATATTGGTGAATGAGGTCTCTCTGGTCTCTCTGGTCTCTCTGGTCTCTCTGGTCTCTCTGGTCTCTCTGGTCTCTCTGGTCTCTCTGGTCTCTCTGGTCTCTCTGGTCTCTCTGGTCTCTCTGGTCTCTCTGGTCTCTCTGGTCTCTCTGGTCTCTCAGGTCTCTCAGGTCTCTCAGGTCTCTCAGGTCTCTCAGGTCTCTCAGGTCTCTCAGGTCTCATTACGTTTAATAGATGAGACAGTTTTCAGCGGAGAAAAATAGAAGGCCCAATCAGCTCTCAGCCCCAAGGATCAAATAGTGACTCACTGGGCTCTTTCTTACAAGAATGCAAAGGATGGAGACAGTGTGTAACTTCTACGATAGTCCTGAAGTGATGAGCTGATGATGAAGACCTTACCCCCACGCTGACGGCCATGTGCTGCAGGGGCTGGGACACCTGAGGCTGGCCCTGCAGAGGAGGAGGTGCCATCATGGGGGGAGGAGGAGGAGGACGAGGCATGGGAGGAGCCATGGGCAGCCGCGTACCTGCCACACACTCAGGTCACAAACACACCCACAACTCCACACAGGAAAATAGGACTGCACCAAGGGACAAAATGAAAAATTTACAATTTCTCAAAGTGACACATTTTGAGAGAGCACAGGGTCCAGGGATCAGAACAAAGAACAGTATTACGAGGAGATGGCTCAGTGATATTGTATCTACGCGAGAAGATTGGTTCAATCTCATTCATGCGATAATGGTGAAGCTCATATATTCAATGAGATTCAACTGGACAAATTTGATAAAAATTGGGAAGCTTGGATCTTGTTGCGCCACTCAACTAAATTTCTGATGTAGCCACTGCATTTTATTTTGTTATGTTTTTGGCTTTTGTTATTGTTTTTCATTTTAATATTGTGTTTAAATGAAAATAATATTAGTTAGTTAGTTAGTTAGTTAGTTTTATTTCAGTCTCTTCATTTCAGACTACAATAGTCAACAAAACATTAAAAGAAAAACATAAATAAATGACTGAAGGGGTTTTGGCTGAAGTGAGACACTTATTGGAGCCAAACGAATATAAGACTATTTCCTTGAGCAAAAAGGGACTTTGTACTAAAATTTGTAGAATTGTACCATTTACTGTTGTCCTTATAAAAACTTGAATGGGAAAAAAAACAGCTTGCACAAAAATCTCCTTTCTATTGTGCAAGTTACAGAACGAACATTCTGATATTATCAATGTATGAATTATATCAACATTTGTTATTTAAGTATGTAGCCTCAATTTTTAAACTGTTTTGTTTTATAATTGTTGGCATTATACACCTTGCCCAGGGACAGCAGCTGAAAACTAGCTTTGCAGCTAATGCTGACACATTTACAGAAATATTCATTAATGTGTAATGTCCCTGTCAAATAAACTAATAATAATAATAAACTAATAATAATAATAATAATAATAGTGTGTTTACTTCTACCATTGCAAGTCCGTTCAGAGGTCTGATTTTTAAGATTTTCAGTGACAGAAATGTGAGTTACTTTTAAAAAGGCGGTCAGGGAGTTAACCTCTGGACAGTTTTCAGAAGAGCAGATCTGTGTTCCCAAAAAGTACACTCATCTATTAAATATATTTTTAATCGTAAACGGTCCATTTCTCATTACCTTAGCAAGAGTCTAAAAAGATGAATAGACCTGAACCCGGGAGTTACACTAGTTTAAGTATAAATACTTCATTATAGAGTCCTAAAACCTCAGCCTGTTATACATCTATGAAAGATTTTTAAAAACGACTCAATGACTAAACTAAAGCTGAGCTGTGTCTTCATGTTGTATTTGTTGTGATCCATGCAAAACAAATACAAGGTCGTTGTTGTTTGGTTCTTGAGATGAAAGCTGTCATTTCCATCTGCTGTGGGTCTCAGTCCACAGTCTTCGTCTCCGCTCTCCTCCACGTCCTTCACTTTTCACTCTGTAAACACTTTTCCAAGAACTGAAGTGGTGTGAGTGCAGCTCTGTTCTGTCGCGGTGGATTGACGGGAGACGAAGAAACCAGGAGAATAACACACTCCCCACACAGAACCACAGGATCAGTAGTAGTAGCAGTATGTTCTTACCAGGCCTCTGCAGTATGTGTGGAACGAAGGCTGGTCGCATCAAAGGAGGAGGGGCCCGCACTGAGCAGAGGTGGAAGAATGGTTTATTAAAAAGTGTGATGAGAAAGTGTTGCTTTGTAACGCCACATTTATACCACCAAAATAAACAATCAGTGTCAGTATAGTTAAGTAGTCATATCAGGTAGCTAAGTGGCACAGTAGCTGAGCCTGGAGGTCATGAGTTTGACCCCTCTCAGTGTGGAGTGTATGTTTGTCTGGGTGGGATTCCTCTGTGCCTCCAGGACCCCCAGCAAACATGCAGCAGTATGAATGAAGGAGGGAGGGGCGCGTCCATCACCACAGAGCACGAGTGAACTTCAATGTTGCTTTGAGAGACTTCCACCTGCCTGAGGCATCATTGATGATAATAGTAATGCCACACAGGGTTTTAACTTTTACAAACATGTATAACACCTCTTCGTAATAAGTTTATGGAGGATTAAACTGGGAAGCAGTCTGGTTGTGTGCACATGGGGAAAGGGTTACCTGGAGCCACAAAGGCAGGTCCTGGGGGTCCCACATACCCTGCAGCGCGGGCGTCCAGAGTCTGCTGCACCTGCACACATCACACACACTTATGTCTCGTGCTTAAGTTGGTTTTATTGTCTTATCTAGAAGGCAGAAAGTACTTTGTTGAGAAAGGAAACTGTCTCAGATCAAACAGCCCTGTGGTACTCAGGTAGGGACAGGCGGCCAGCCTACCTGTGGTACTCCTCAGGTCAGGGGTCGATCCTGGGACCTCTTATGTTTAGTCTCTACATGCTGCTCTTAGGTCAGTTACTACACAGTAACAACGTGTCCTATCACAACTATGCAGACTCAGATCTATGTCTCATTGACTGCAGGAAAACATGGACCAGTGGACTCACTCCATCACTGTATCCAACAGATCAGTGAGTGGATACAAAATAACTTTCTCCAGCTAAACACAGATAAAAGTGAAATGATTGTCTTTGGAGAGCGTCATCTGTCATCTACAGTCTCTCTCCCTAAAACCTTCAAATCAGGTCAGAAATATAAGGGTAATACTGGAATAACAGCCAGATCAAAGCAGTAGCATCAGCAGCTTTTTAACCACCTAAAAACATTGCCAAGATTTTTCCTGATCACAGGGGTTTGCACTGGCTTCCTGTGGCTCAGAATAGACTTGTGTAAAAGTCTCCTCATGGTCCTGCACCAAAGTTCATCTGTGACATACGTGCACTGAGGAGCACAGGGACACGTGGCGGGCTTGAGGTGTTCTAATCAAGCTTAATGAGTTTTCTGTAGGTAACAATCATCCCAAACCAAATGTGACTCACATGGCTCTGATGCAGCAGTTCAAATGAAATAGATTGACATAATGACAGTGTGTGTAAAGGAACAGGTTTTCTGCCATAATAGAAACCTTTTAAATGGACTAGAATATAGAGCACTGACCCGTTGGTAGGTGTTTGTGCCGATGATGGGCCGCACCATGGGCACACCCAGGGCCATGGGCACCGCGGGGCCTCCAGGGACCGGGCCCCCAAGAACCTCCTGCTCAAAGCTACAGAGACGAGAGCGAGTCAGAAAAGTGCAAAATATCGAGCACTAACATAATTCTAAACAACACATTGCTTTAGCGTGCAGGAAGTCAGGCTGTGCAACAGAACAGCACTTTAATGTTCAAATACTGACGTCTATTGTTCAATGCACAATAAGTCTACCAATAACTTTTGGTGGCGTCCCAGAACTGTATCTTTGTCAAATCATCAATATGACAAATAATGGGAATGGGAAGTAGATTACAATAAGCACTATTGTCAAAGTCTCAATTAAATCTTATACGTTGGTCACAAAGACGGATTAACTGTGTGGTGGACACCTGGCTTTAAGCATTTATTTGCTGAAGTAGCGGTTTGTGAATTACACAGTAAGCACTTTGAAGCTTTAACAATGACGCCTGTACTTTGGCTGTAAATGTGTGTCACTCACAGGGCCATCTCAGCCTCCATCTCCTTCAGCCGCTCCTCGCCCAGCTTCCCTGCCATCCTGAGCAAGCAACAGAGAAAAACACATTTTACAAACACATCCTGTGACAAAGTGCAGCACATAAGCAAATATGCCTGTTTTATCCTGGAAACAGCGTACAACTTTGCAAATCTCAATGCAAACAGGCACTAGAATGTCATACATGAACGATAGATGCGATTAACATTCATGACAAGACAACCCAGTCTTCAAGAGGCAATCAGCTGATGGGCACTTGGGGCTCAACAAACGCCAGCTACTTTGGAATCTTTGTTTATGACACACAATGAGACACGGGGGATTAAAAGCAGCTCTACTAGTTTCTCTCCATGGCCTCGCACCAAAGTACATCTGAGACATGTTAGTGCCTTATGAACCAACTGGGATTCTGAGTAGCACAGGGACTGGACTCCTGCTGGGACTCTTGAGGAGCACAGGGACTGGCCTCCTGCTGGGACTCTTGAGGAGCACAGGGACTGGCCTCCTGCTGGGACTCTTGAGGAGCACAGGGACTGGCCTCCTGCTGGGACTCTTGAGGAGCACAGGGACTGGCCTCCTGCTGGGACTCTTGAGGAGCACAGGGACTGGCCTCCTGCTGGGACTCTTGAGTAGCACAGGGACTGGCCTCCTGCTGGGACTCTTGAGGAGCACAGGGACTGGCCTCCTGCTGGGACTCTTGAGGAGCACAGGGACTGGCCTCCTGCTGGGACTCTTGAGGAGCACAGGGACTGGCCTCCTGCTGGGACTCTTGAAGAGCACAGGGACTGGCCTCCTGCTGGGACTCTTGAGGAGCACAGGGACTGGCCTCCTGCTGGGACTCTTGAGTAGCACAGGGACTGGCCCAGGTTAAAACAGTTATGTTCAGCTGCTAACACTGGAGGATTGTATCTTCACTCTTTTACTGCACTGTGATTATTTATGATTTGAATGCCTTGTGTGATTGTTTCTATAATGTCTTGCTCAGCACTTGGAGTTGCCTTGTGTATGAACTGTGCTATACAATTAAACCAGCTTTGCCTTGCTTATTAACTTGAACTGGCTGAACATTTGGTGGTGGGCTGTTAAATGAGAAGGAGAGGTTGCAGACGCACTGTTTTTGCACCACCACACGCACATTACCTGGCAGAAGTTCAAACGTGGACAAGCCGTGGGACTGTTAGCAGTTAGCTTATGTTAGCTTTAGCTAGCGTTACAGAATGACGTTTCCTCCTGTCGCGTGCGCAGGAGACGCACACCTGCACGTCCGCAAACAAATATAAACAAACGTAGAGTGGAGTAGTTTCAGAGGCGTCACAGACTTTGTAGAGGCGTGAACGAGGAGGAATTATTAGCCTGTTAGCATCGCAGTGTTGTTTGTGCCTGTTCTTCTTCTGTGTTGACAAAACAACGGAAGTGCTGTTGTAGATACCGCCACCAACTGGTAGGAGTGTGAACTAGAATGCGTTACTCAAGGGGGGAAAAACATAAAAACAAATAAACTAAACAATAGATAATTATATGTTATTGAATGGATTAAATGTGTTAATCTCCAAAATCTAGATTAAATGTGTCAATCCCTTTATTCGTCCCACAGTGGGGAGAGTCAGTGTTGCATCACAAGTTACAGAACAGTAGGAATGAGGAGCACACAGAATAATTTAAACCTTAACATGCTGTTGTTACCTCATTAGAACATGTTTTGCTTGAAGGAAAAATCCCTGTGAGTCACTGTTTGATGCTTTGGGCAGAGAACTGAAAACTCTTATTTACTTTTAAGTGTGAAAACGCTGATCTAGGGATGTGCCAGAGGGCAAAACATGCACTCATGTGAAAACTAGTGAAATAAAACTATTTTGAGACTCTCCATGAACATTTTTCTACATTTTTCTCTCTGTTTTTATCGTTGCATTTCCTGTGATTGAACTTTTTGATTTTCTGACCTTGTCAGGGATGAAGCAGACAGAGACGGATCGTGGTGCGCCAAACTCTGGAAGTTTATTTAAGTTTCTCTCAAGTTCCAGTGGTTTCAATTGTTTCTTTCTCTCAGACAGAATAAAGTCAGTACACAGTTTATATAGTCATTGTCACGTCACACATCGAAAGACATACGTGTCACACAGAGACAGTCACATCATAGTCAAAATAATCAGAGTCCTTGTAGAGTCCTGCACGTAGGCCATATTGCTATCTAATACTAACAACCTGTGTTGGTGAATTCAATGGTCTTGTAAAAAAAAAACACGTCTTTTTATCGTTATTTATAAACAATTTCTTCATGTAGTCATTAAAGGTCCTATATCACGCTTTTCTTCATGTTTCACACTCAATCCTATGCACATGTGTGATATTAATGTGTATGATACTGAAGAAGATGATAAAGTCTGGGATCGTGTCTTAAATTCAGACAGAAGACATGTTTTATTGTCGATGGTAGACAATGGAGACCTCCAATCAGCAGCTGCCACAGTGCCATGTAGCTTGGCCTTCAGATAGACAAAACAAGGGAAAGGTACAGGCTTCTGAACATTGATAGAACGATGAGTTTAACTTTAACAAAAGTTGCTTCAAAGTGTTATGAAATCTCACAATACACCACACAACAATCAAAGCTTGTGAGATTAGAGCCATCTCTTGTATAGAGGTGACGTCACCTCGACTCAAACGAGCTGATCCAGAGAAGAGTCTGCTCCTCTGCCTGTGAGCCCGCCTCCCCCCGCCCGCACGGTGACGTAGCATCACGCTTTTGTCGTTTATCACCTGTACTTAGTAATTTCATACATAAGAATAAACTTTTTCCAACAATGACAATCCGTCACATCGAGCCCTATGTCCTCGATGCACAATCAGACCCTAGTTATTTAGTTTACAGAAGTATACAGCGAGTTAGCGTCACTACTTACAGATCGAGGGGTCCGAGTTACGTCTTTTACCGTGGGAATAACGTGTTTCCAGATCAGCTTTTGAGTAAGTCCAGTTCCATTGTCCCTGTAGTTCTGGGACAGTCTCAGTGAAGTGTCGCAGATGAACCGGTATTATAATAGATCCATGAGATGAACAGATGAAAAAAGTCAAGCCGCTTTCTTCCTCTTCGCCAAATAGTGTGTCACATATTTACACCCATAACACACTTCATTCAAGTTGACGTGATCCTAACACTTTTAGTTGCTGACAAAAGCATAAAAACAGCAGCTCTATGTGGTGTCCGCGAGACCAGACCACAGACGCTGGACTCGGAGCCGGAGCCTGTGCGCTCTGATTCGCTGTTTTGATCCGTCAATCACCTCCCGCCGGCTTTTAATTTATTTTTATTTTTATTATTTTTGACAAAAAACAGCATACTAATTGTGTATTGTTTACCCCGTTTTGACAAAAGTATTTAACAACTATTTTAAATACAAAGCAAACGGGGTCATGCGCGTCATCAGTGTGGTTTTCGTCACTGAAGTGGACCCGAGCGTTTCTGTGCCTCACGCTGGGGAAGGAGACAGATTGCTCTCTTACAAAAGATTGACAGAATCAATGAATAAACTACTGTGGGCTTGTGTATGAAGGTCAAATAGCATTGTAATCATGTTTAAAGCAGAGAAAAGTCAAAAACCGTGATATGGGCCCTTTAAACTGCGCCTGGTGGTATTATAGACAGTGATTCCAGCTGTTACTCAAACATGTCCACTGCAATACTCATTTTGTCCACCAGATGTGATTTCATTTCTTTGTGTACATAAAGAGCAACCACCAGGTTTATAAGTTCTATGTTTATTATAAAGCTGTACATTTGTTTTCACTGATGTACAGATTTCTACAGGCTTGTTCACACTAAAGGGTACAAAAGTGTGACAAAAGGCCAATCATTTTATTTTAATAATCAGAAGCTATATTCTGTTAACGCAAAAGTTTGTTGCATATATTCATATGTCCACATTTGATTTTAATTGAAACAAAATGTCAAGATTTGAATGTATGAATGAGTGATGAGTAAAGCAGTACAGCTGTAGTGCCAGGGCCTCAGTTCACAGGTGCAGATAAGAGAACTGTTCCCTTCTGCTCTTTAAGCTTTATTACAGTTGACAGTTACAACTTAAAGTTATTATTGGCCATTTAAGTTAAAGGTGAATAATATATGTGTCTAAATGTGTCTCAGTCTGGACTTCTGAGACAATCCATCTGTTCATATCAGCAGCTGATGTTCAACACATTTATCTTCAGGTTTATGACTGTGGCCTGTGGAAGATTCTGGATATTGGCAGGACCTGGAGCACGCTGTCGTATACAGCGATCCAGAGCGTGTCTGGGGGCTTTTATCAAGCCCCAGTGATCCAAGATGGCTCCAAGATGGCTCCTATTCCATAGTCAGCGTTATTTGTATAGCACATTTAAACCAGCTGCCCAAAGTGCTTCACAGGCACAAAAGAAAACAGCATAAAATACATACACAAACATCCATCCATCCATTTTCTTCCCCTTAATCCATTTCTGGGTTGGGAGGTGTCAGAGCTGCACCCACATAGCACCAGCCCTTCACTGATCCTCTTGCAGGTGGTGAGTCCACAGGAGCTATACACAAACATGTAAAAGTAAAAATGTAAAACTCAGTTGGTGTTAAAAATTAAGGCGTAAAAATGTGACTTCAGACTAGATTTGAAAACTTCTAATGAAGGAGGTGCTGTAATGTACAGAGGTCACTATTCCACAGTTTGTGGGGAGCAAACTTGTAAAACTACAACACTATTTAATTATGTGTATTCACCTCTGAACGTGTTTTAAAAGGTTTTATTCTGGTTACAGACTATGGGGACTAGACCAAGCCCCGGCGATCCAAGATGGCGCCCTATTCAAATGAATGGTTGTGCTCAGTGGCGCTTTGTGACGGCATGGGGGCTGAAAGATTAGCGGAAGTTGCCTGAAACTCGCAAAGATCTATGGGAAACTCGCCTGTATTTGGGCATAGTCTGGTCCTCCCGGTTCTGCGCAGTGGATGATCTCCCATAATGCGTTGCGCCAAACACGCGTGTGTGGGTCTCACACCGGGTCTCACGCACGTGCACAGAGGGGCTCGGCCGCGCTCTGACCAATCAGAGCAGTTCATCAGAGCGGGAGTTAGAGCGAGAGCCAGACGAGGAGAGTTTGTGGCACTAAAGTGTGGATTTAAACAAAACCGAAGGATTTAAGAAGAAAAAAAGTTCAGGATGACAAGGGACACTAAAATCCCCACAAATTCCGATCTTTATGAAAGCTGTAGGTTCTCTGTCAGCTGAGGTTGAGCTGTTTTAATATGCAGTGAGTTCTACGGGGAAAATTTCTGGGTAGCCCACGTGAATTTAGTCTGGTCTAGGCTGCAGTACCGCGAGAATCCCCTGAGCACATTAGTTATTCAGCTACAAGCTAGTAATACCATATCCAGTTAATATAATAGATCCATGGACTAGACATAATCTGCTCTAGCCCCACCCCTGGGGGTTTTGAATGGGGAATTCTATTTCCGGAACCTGGAAACCTCAGCTCCAATATTTACAGTCTATGCTCAGCTCCAGGCTCTCTGAATCTGGCAACCCCGCTCACCACGTGCACCATGGATCTATTATAATAACTGGATAGGGTATTACTAGCTTGTAGCTGAATAACTCATGTGCTCAGGGGATTCTCGCGGTACTGCAGACTGAACCAGACTAAATTCACGTGGGCTACCCAGAAATTTTCCCCATAGGACTCAATGCATATTAAAACAGCTCGACCTCAGCTGACAGAGAACCTACAGCTTTAATAAAGATAGGATTTTGTGGGGATTTTAGTGTCCCTTGTCATCCTGAACTTTTTTTCTTCTTAAATCCTTCGGTTTTGTTTAAATCCACACTTTAGTGCCACAAACTCTACTCCTCTGGCTCTCGCTCTAACTCCCGCTCTGATGAACTGCTCTGATTGGTCAGAGCGCGGCCGAGCCCCTCTGTGCACGTGCGTGAGACCCGGTGTGAGACCCACACACGCGTGTTTGACGCAACGCATTATGGGAGATCATCCACTGCGCAGAACCGGGAGGACCAGACGATGCCCAAATACAGGCGAGTTTCCCAAAGTTCTTTGCGAGTTTCAGGCAACTTCCGCTAATCTTTTCAGCCCCATGGATCTATTATATTAACTGGATAGGGTATTACTAGCTTGTAGCTGAATAACTCATGTGCTCAGGGGATTCTCGCGGTACTGCAGACTGAACCAGACTAAATTCACGTGGGCTACCCAGAAATTTTCCCCATAGAACTCAATGCAAATTAAAACAGCTCGACCTCAGCTGACAGAGAACCTACAGCTTTCATAAAGGTCGGATTTTGTGGGGATTTTAGTGTCCCTTGTCATCCTGAACTTTTTTTCTTCTTAAATCCTTCGGTTTTGTTTAAATCCACACTTTAGTGCCACAAACTCTGCTCCTCTGGCTCTCGCTCTAACTCCCGCTCTGATGAACTGCTCTGATTGGTCAGAGCGCGGCCGAGCCCCTCTGTGCACGTGCGTGAGACCCTCTGTGCACGTGCGTGAGACCCTCTGTGCACGTGCGTGAGACCCGGTGTGAGACCCACACACGCGTGTTTGGCGCAACGCATTATGGGAGATCATCCACTGCGCAGAACCGGGAGGACCAGACGATGCCCAAATACAGGCGAGTTTCCCATAGATCTTTGCGAGTTTCAGGCAACTTCCGCTAATCTTTCAGCCCCCATGCTGTCACAAAGCGCCACTGAGCACAACCATTCATTTGAATAGGGCGCCATCTTGGATCACCAGGGCTTGTTCAGCCCCCATGCCGTCACAAAGCGCCACTGAGCACAACCATTCATTTGAATAGGGCGCCATCTTGAATCGCCGGGGCTTGACGTGCACACGCAGCGCGCTCCCGCATCAGTCCTCCTCTCTCCCCTCTCCCCCCTCTCGCTCAGTCCTCTCTCCTGGTTCCACAGGCTCCAGGATCCTCCGCTCCCATGCATTCACTGCTCCTCTCCCGTGCGCGCCCTGGGCTCCAGCGGCTGTGCGCGCACCGCTTCTCTGCCGCTGCAGCCGCCGCCATCCCGGCCCCCAGCGGACACCCAGAGGTCCACTACAACAAGGTACAGTCCTGAAGCAGCCTGCCTCTGCCTGTCGGAGTGCCTATCGTCCGTGGTTGTTTAGTTTGCTCATGTTACGTATTTGGCAAAAATTGTGTCAGGATCCTGCTGCAGTCTGCAGAGCCGCTCACATGACACTCGGACACATTTGAGAAAAACAGACGTCGTTTCCATTGAGTGCACGCGCGGTCATGTGAACTTTGCCTTTTTTTATGTTTCTCTATCAGTGTTTTTCAACCTGTGGGCCGTGGCATGTGAAGGAGCCTTGACATGTTGATATTGGGTCATTCCCTAAGCCACAAAAGTGGTCAAAGAATGTTTAGAGAAACTTTTGTGCTTTTTGATTTTCTATTTGATCCACTTTGAGAAAGACTTTGCTCTGAAAAGCTGCAGAGTTTGATTTGTTAGCATCAGTTTCAGGTGGTGCCGCCTGATTGTTTTCATGAACAAGGTGCCACTGCTCAGACTGGAGCTCTGCTCAGGCCGTGGAATGACGCCGTCTGTGCAGCTCAGTGGAGAGTCATGCACAAGGCTCTCAAACTCAAAAGTGGTTTGAGGAACTTTTAAACCACACTTTGGATCTTATTTCTGTTGTCAAAAATGATTTGACTGACGTGTTCAGAATTTGGCCAAGATTTCAAGAGTTAAAATAGAACATTTATTTCTCTTTACAATTAAATGTTGATACAGAACTCTCGGAGCTATTAAATCCCTAAATCTATCCCTGTGCTCAGAATCTCCACAATGTGTCCTCCCAACAGTTTTATCAGAATGTCCGATGACGTCATATGGTCTGAGGCTGGTCCCGGTCTGGCTTAGTCCAGTTTTGTGTCTCAGGCCTTGTCCCGATAAGAGAGACACGCTGTTCCTGAAAATGATACTTTTATCACAGAAGCCTTGTCCTTGGTGCTTGTCTGAATTCCACTAAATCCAGGCTTAATATTGCACAAAGACATGTTTGCAAACACCTACTGGAATCATTAGTATACAACATTATAATTCTACAACATTTCCCAGATTTTTCAAAACAGCAAGAGTTCAGTTAGTGCTTGTTTGGATTGAACCTAAACTGGATCAAAGATGAAGACGGCTGATTGTAGATTGATACAGTTTTAACTTATTACATGTTGCGTTCAATGTTAGAATATATTACACGACATGATTGTTGACAGTAGCTCAGTTGGTAGAGCATTGGCCTTTGAGCCTGAAGGTCGTGGGTTCAAGCCCACCGTAAGACCTACTTCACGACTCCCACTGATGACTGCTGTCGTTGTGTCCTTGGGCAAGACACTTAACCCCACTTTGCCTGAAGCCCCCACTGAAAGATCTCGGCTCCTGTGGACTCACCACCTGCAGGAGGATCAGTGAGGGGCTGGTGCTCTGTGGACTGGGTGGCATCTCTGGCCACCCCCCCGACCCAGAAATGGATTAAGGGGAAGAAAATGGATGGATGATTGTTTTCTTTAGAGAATTGGTGTTAAATTGAGGTATAACATATGGTCCATTTTCACATGTTGCCATCAATGCTGCAATTGAACCATTATAGAACATGAGTTTAGGGGCCACTAATAACTGTACCACGGCCGGATGTGGCCCCCGGGCCTGGTGTTTGACACAAGTTTGCTCATTTGGTTTTTCCTAATCCCCTGCTCTCAGGTCAGTCTTAATTCAAGATTATTCCAGATAAATGTATTGTTCCTCAGAAGCTTTTGAAGATGGTTATTAACTGAACTGAGAGAAGTGAAATTAAGAATCACTGAACCAGAATCTATGAAATGATGAAAACTTGGCTGAGATTAATTCAAAAAGTACGGCTTAATGTTGGAATAAGGAATAATTAAATATTTGAATATAAAACATGGTTTATGAAAGAAATTGAACCAATTGACAGTAAGTAGCAAAGCGCTATACAGTTGTGGGCAGAGAGCGGGGTCCCCAGTACAGGAGACACATGCCAGACGTATTGTGCATGTTTTTAGCAATGGGGAAACCGGAGCATCTGAAGGAAACCTACGTAGACGCAGGGAGATCATGCAAACTCCACTCAGAAAGACCCTGTTCCGACCGGCATTCGAACCACCCTTGCTGTGGTTTTGTGTGTGTGTTGTCAAACAGGATCCGCTTCTTTTTACTGCTGCAGTTTGTGTGACGTGATATTGTGCGTGACTTTACGTCTTCCTGTGACGTGCACTAATGTGCAAACTCTCACTCCCTTGTGTATGTTACTCCTTTCATGTGCAGTAAGCCTTCGGACCGTGGTCGAGGGCAAAGGGGAGATGTGTCGCTCCAGAGTCAAAGGGATGAGTTTCTCTTTCTCTAACACTTCAGACTGTTATTAAAGAGCCAGACTTTATTTTGTGGCCAAAACACACCAACATTGAGTTGTATCCTGCTCCGCTTGATCTGCTTGTACACCACACTTTTCATTCAATCATTTTCTCAGCTCTGACGCCGTTTACTCTCGTGTCCACTGAGCTGTTGCCCATGAGAGAGAAAGACACATCTCACACTTGTTCACATTGACTCTGATGCAAAGAACGCAATCCATGCTCGAGCTGGTTGGCGCTACAGTAGTGTAAACTAGGGCTGGGCGACATGGCTGAAAACTATATCACAATATAAGTAATTCATATCGGTCGATAACGATATATATTGATTGTTTTTTATCCATTTTTAAAAACGTAAATAAATACATTTGTCGTGTGGGCTAACACACGTTAGCAGCCTTGTTTACAGTCACGGGGGAATGAGGCTGGAGCCAAATCTTCACAAGCAGTCTCCCCCACTTTAGTACTGGTTTAACCCTGGTTTAGCTCCTGTTTTGGCTGTTTTCGAGTGTCTTGTGTCCCCGTGGTGGCTCCGAAAAAAGTTAATCTCTTGCTTTTGCCGAATGCATGGAGTCTCTGTGCCCACTGCCTCTCCCGCCGCACATGCTGTTCCTCGCACGGACGTGTTTAACCATCGACACGGCTCTGAAACACGATCTTTAGATCCATGGCTTTATAACAGATCCATGATCCATGGACGCTACGCACGGTGCGCTTGTTGTTTTTGCATTTCTTGGTCTTGTTCGTTTGTGAACCCCTCCTCAGTTTATATAGATGTAAAAAAGATCATACAATCGTATATTTATATAATATAAAATGGCGTCTGCAGAGTTCTGAAGCCACAGTTCTGCTCCTCGTTCCACCGAGTTTATAGACATAAACCTGAGAAAAAAACATTGAGAATCAGGTCTGGCCCCTGGTCAGGTATTGGTCCCTGGTATTGGCCCCTGGTATTGGCCCCAGGGCAATGCCAAAGGATCTGATATAGACATAAAATCACAGAAATAATTGGTGATTATCAAATATTATTGATTCAACATTAGGCTCAGTGAAGTGCTGCAGTTTCCGGGATCATTTTCTGTGTTCACCTTTGGTTGGAGCGAGTGCAGAAACACAAAGGGAGCTGTGGCTGGTTTAAGTATTTTCTCAGTTTCTTATGTTACTTATTGATAATAATAATGATCAATAAAAGGGTTAAAGGGGTTTTAAAGGTTCTAATGTGTTGAAAGTGAACTGCCAGAGTAAATTGGACTTTAGATGCAAAACTGGACAGAACTGGACCAAACCATGAATCATGGTGAACTTCACAAATAAAGTTTCATATCTTTGTACTAAATCTGTCTTATTTGCTGCTGTTCAGAGGAAATGAATGACAGCATATAAACCTCCAGCTGCCTCTGATTGGCTCACACCCCGCGCTGAAACTGCAAAGTCATTCTCATCCAAGTGTACAGAAAATCAAACAAACGCAAAAAGTCTTCTCACTTTTTCTTCTTTGACCATTGAGCTGATGTTGCATCTTTTCCAAAGTCACTCTGATGATCGCGGCACAAACACTGTTCTGTGCAGACACTTCGTTACTCGGGCTCAGAAGAACTAGTCCGCTGTGTTCATTGTTCATTCTGACAGCAGCACAAGGAAAGAGCTGGAACCTGTTCGCATCATGTCAATGTACAATCTCCCAGCTTCAATAATATTAGGGATGCACTGATGCAGCTTTTTTCGACACCGATACAAGTACCTTCATTTGAGTACTTGTCGATACCGAACACTGATGCATTGTGTTATCCCTGGGAATTAAAACACCTGAAATGTAAAATGTTTAATTTCTCATTTCAACAACAAGATTTTTTTTTAAGACAATTTAACTTTTTAGTAGGGCTGGAACTCGATAAAAAAATAATCAAATTAATTGGAAGCTTTGTAATTAATCGCGGGTCTGAGCGGGACGGGGACTGGGACTATTTCAATAAATACATGAAATGAAGTGTATTGATGATTGACCAGTTTCCTGTTTAGTCCAAAGCAAACTTTAATGTAGTTTTTGTGTGAATGTGTCTCTCCAGCTCTTCATCAACAATGAGTGGCAGGACGCCCTGAGCGGGAGGACGTTCCCCACCATCAACCCGTCCACAGGAGAGGTCATCTGCCAGGTGGCCGAGGCCGACGCGGTGAGAACAACACACCGCAGGACACATTATGTGACTCTACATGTCAACATTATTTAATAAAAGATTTTTGGTGACACTTTAGATTAGCCCTCACTATTTAACTGCTAATTAAGTAATAATTAGTGTACCCTAAACCTAACCCACATGGGAAAGTGTCAGTTAGTAGTCGCAATATTGCGACGAGCAACATTGCTCACTTAAACAGGCTGTATCTAAAAATGTGGTGCAGAATCTTGTTAATACTTTTCACCAGGGGTTAGTGGACATGTGTGCCTGTAATATGAGCAACATTTTTGGGTGTGGTTATATTGAAAGTTTTAGAGTAAATTGAGTTTGTAAAACACCTGCGGCGCTGCAGCGCGGAGGCGAAGCAGCAGCGGTAGAGCTGAGAGGAGCGAGAGCAGAACAGAGGGAGAGAGGGTTTTTATTTTACTCACGAGGTCTTCAGTACCAGAGAAGTTCTTGGTCTGGTACTGGCTCACTCAGATTCAGAGGAGGAAGACACGCAGGTGTCCAGTGAAGCAGACACGGACATTATTGGTGACGGGGAGGCCGCGCTCCATAGTCCACAATCAGCCCCTGTGCAGCGGCTGCTTGTCCTCCGTGTGGCCGCGGTAGAAGCATTCTGTGAACGCCAACCAGGGTCCGTGGTGGAGGGGACAGGGGCATCATAACACCGGGCATGTGGAAGAAAGTAGCAGGGGTAAACATCCACAGGGAACACGGGAGACGCGGGAGAAGTCGCGGGGGAGCCGCGAGAAAAAAACACATCGCTAATCGCGTTCACTGCCTTTACCAACAGCGATGATGAGGATGAAGGCAGTTCTTGAGAGAAAATAATCCACAAAAGTGGATCAGAAGTGTTGAAGAGCCCGTTGTTTCTTGTTGAGACGATCTGACATGTTCTGAGCCCATTCATTTCATCTCTCAGTTTCTAAACGATAAATCCTGGAGCCTCATTTCCACTGAGAAAAATAGTAAGCCCACTACTTCTTTGAAAGGGAAATATTGAAACCAATCTCCAGATTTCATGACTGTAAACTATAAAGAGTGCCGTCTTGATCACTGAAGGTCTTTGAAAATAATAAAATTCCATATGGCTGCGAACCAGTGCTAAAACATTATGTATAATCTGGATCAGGGAATTTATTTCGATCCCAAAATCATTTCATACTAAAGATATTTCACATTGTCTGTTTATAGTATTCCCTGATCTGAAATGACTCCCAAGCTACAGCTTTTTGAAATCTTTATACAATAATTAACATTTTCCAAAATGGCCGCCACCTTGATGACCACCTTGAATATATTTCTAATTTACAGTATGCCTTTATCTCAAACCATTTTAAAGTTATAGCTTTTTGAAATCTCAAAATTGTATATTTTCTTGAAAAAACTCTGGCGCCTAAAGGGTTAAACAAGGCCATGTAGAATAAGGACTTAGAAAATACCAAATAGATGATTAACCATAAATGATATACAAATTGGAACTTAATTAGCTGTTAATTAGTGAGGGATAATCTAATTGTTCAATTTCTCAGTGATTTAGATTTTCTGTTATTTCCTCATTATTTACGTATGTTTTGGTCGTTTCAAATTACACTGTTAAATACCTGCTTTCAGTTACATTGTGCCATGTTAGATTTAGATCTTAATGTTCCAAATGTAGTATTTTATTTCAACCAGACGATGAGTGTTTGCTCATTGGAGAGGGCGGTTCTTTCCTAAATTTGGGAAAATTACTGTATATACCTCCTATAGACCTTTTTAACATTAGGAGCCCCAGAGCAGTCATTCTGACGGATCTCATTTATAATGGAATTCTGAAAAAAGCAGTTTTAGTATTTCACTACTTTTATTGTAGTTCATACGGTTCTTTGGCGTCAGGACTCTGGCGGCAGGTATACGGCGAGCGGACAGGCACATGGAGGAGAGAGAAGGTGGAGGCCGCACACACGTGGGGTCGTGTTAGCAGACCTTAATCCATTTGTCACATTTATGATTTCAACTTTTTATTTAGAGAAAGCTGGATATACGTTCCGTCCCGACCCCTGTCCTGACCATTGACTGTAAATATTAACAGATGTAGTCTTTCATATCTCCGCCGTTTAAACTAATGTCCCACCACTTTTATGGAGCTTTTTCAAAATGGCCACGGGGCAAGAAAGTGTGAATAAACATATTTGCGCATGCAAAATGGCCGCGAGTGGTCCCGCCCACAAGAAAATTGTGAAAAAACGCATCTGCTCATGCGTCAGCCGGCGAGAGCTCCATTCATGTGAACGAGAGACTTCAAAAATTCACAATAAGTAAACTAGAGTGGTCCAAAAAAATTCACCCCCCTCAGCATTGACACACATGTGGAACGGAGCTTTGGGCCAAGAGCCGACTTTTGGACCATCCTGTAAAGGTGTTTTCGAGAGGTAAGAAGATGCTATATGTTAGCATTGGCTAATTCTTATTCTGGGTCCACCCCCATCGGCCCGGGGTGGTATTGCAGCATGTCAGCGCACGTCATTTTGGCCACTTTTGAGCCGGGACCCTCCCCCACTGCATGAGCCCCATTCATTTAACGAGTGTATTCTGAAGTCCACAGCGCTTAAACTAGACTGGTCCAACAAAATAAACTCCCCTCAGCATTGACAACATCTGAAACGTAGTGTTGAGCCAAGAGCGACTCTTAGACCATCCTTAACGTCGTTTTGAGAGGAAAGAAGACATTATACAAAAGCATTAGATAATTCTGTTTCCGGGTACACCCCCACCGACCCGGAATGAGGTTGCAGAATACTCATTGGAGCCGGGTCTTGACCCTTGTCCTGACCCCTGACCTCTGCTCTGCTGCCCCCTTCAGGCGGATGTGGACAAAGCGGTTTATGCCGCCCGTCAGGCCTTCAGACTGGGGTCGCCATGGAGACGCATGGACGCATCACAGAGAGGACTCCTGCTGAACAAACTCGCCGACGCCATCGAGAGAAACGCAGCCTACCTCGCTGTGAGTACACAACTATACATGTATATACAACTGCACTACACAAATACACTGCTACACACAACTGTACAACTGCACAAAAACTTCTCTACTACACACCTTCTTCACTAGCAGAATACTACTACACCAATACTACCACACAACTGCACCACAACACACCCTGACCACACAACTGCACCACAACACACCCTGACCACACAACTGCACCACAACACACCCTGACCACTACACAACTACAGACATCTGAACTTGAGGGGTCCCTATATTTAACGAAGATGCATCAAAATAACAAAGGTTTATAAATGATACAAAAGGAAACGGCATGAAGTGTGTTTGTAAAGTCAAAGGGCTCCAAAGCTTCATTGAACAAAAAATTAAGTTAGCAGTAGTGGTGGACGATATTCCCAACTCCCGATAATGATATTGTCACAAAATCAATAATTTTTACACTAAGGGATCTGCAATGTTTTTCTTGCCAGGGCATCTATGGATAGAGTAGATCAAAATAGCAGCTTTTTATTTGTAAAGTGCTTCAAAAATCTTTCAAAACATGCACAAACATACATTTACATTAAAAATCCAAGTCAAGCAGCATAGAAAGAAAACTGAAGAATGAAGAGGTTCTTTTATGGTTGGGGACACTATCCACTGACTCCGGTTAGAGAATCTATAATCCGCTTTATTGCAGGTTTGGCAGGAGATCAGTTTGTATGTTGTACGTTGTATTGATGAGTGTGTGTGTGGCTAAGGAAATAGACAAAGGAAAACGGTATTAATAATTATTCTATAGCAAATAACACATTAAACAATCAATATTTGTCTGGGCTAGTAGGAACTAAAATAAGATAAAATAAAATGAATAACATAAAAATCCAAGGTCTACATAAAGTTGACATAAAATACGTATTTAAGTGATGTAAACCACAAACGGAGGTAGCTCAAATGGAAACTTAAATTACGAAGGTGCAGGGGAGTAAATATGACAAATAATATCATAATTAGCTTAATGTAGCATAGTTAGCTTAATTATCTGCAGACAAACACAGATTGGGAAAACTCTTTTGCAAATAATGACAATCCACACAACATAAATCTTAACTACAGGAACTTACTTCTTGGGTCATAAAAACGCACAAACAATGTACAAAGTCTGTTCCTCCCTCTGCGTCAGTTGTGGACGCACTGTTCACGTGGTGAGGCGTTCAGGTGCAGACGTAAAGGAGAGTGTTTAGACAAACTCATCCAAAAAGGATCAATATTAACTGAAATGTATAAAAAAAAAGCAGTGATTGGCTTTTTAGGCACGCATTTGACGAATGGGAATCTTGCCTGCTCTAATTGTAATATTTAGTAATAACGATTTGACGATAATGCAAAAACTCATATTGTCAAAATCAGTTTCGCGATTATCGTCTACCATATACATCGCCCACCCCTAAAAGTTAGATGCGACCGTAATATGCGTTATTCATATTCTACTGCTCAGAGACTTTTCTTGGAGACAGAGTTGAGGACTGAAAGTGAAAACCCGTCCCCTTCATGGTGATGTGTGTCCTGCAGGAGCTGGAGACTCTGGACAATGGGAAGCCTTATGCTGTGGCTTATGCTGTGGACGTCCCCAACGTGGTCAAGTGCCTCAGGTCAGTGACAACCGCTGCCTCTCCCTGCTCCATGACCACCGACTGGGCTCTTACAGTCAGTGAGAGAGGACAGACGAGGTCTATATCTACAGTAGGTCCGGTCTATCTCTGGAAGATCCTCAGCTAAAGACCTGCCTTACTGCAAACTCCTCGGCCATTCATTCATTCATTTTTCTCCCTTTATCCATTTTTGGGTCGGGGGGGTTGGCAGTCTGCACCCAATTCACAGAGCACCAGCCCCTTTCTGGTGAGTCCACTGGAGGATGGCAGCTCTGTCACCGATAACACAGCCTTGGTTTTTCAGTGGGGGCTTCAGGCAAAGCGGGGTTAAGTGTCTTGCCCAACCCCCACTCTCCTCTTCCCTTTTTACATGCTTTACTTGAACTTGCCCTCATCAAGATGCATGGGAGACGAGACAAAGGGAGACGAGACAAAGGGAGACGAGACAAAGGGAGATGAGACAAAGGGAGATGAGACAAAGGGAGATGAGACAAAGGGAGATGAGACAAAGGGAGATGAGACAAAGGGAGATGAGACAAAGGGAGATGAGACAAAGGGAGATGAGACAAAGGGAGATGAGACAAAGGGAGATGAGACAAAGGGAGATGAGACAAAGGGAGATGAGACAAAGGGGAGACTCACACGAGACTCACACGGGGAGAGAGAGAGACTGGGAGAGAGAGACTGGGAGAGAGAGACTGGGAGAGAGCGACTGGGAGAGAGCGACTGGGAAAGATGAAGGCCAAGGTCTGTAACGATGTATATTTCTCAAACTGACACATTTGATATCCACACAATGTCTCACTTTTCTAAAAACTCAGAAAAGGAAACGTGCGAGAAAATGTCGATCTCATACAATGCTCACTGTTTGTTTATTTTGATACATTCATGAGAAAACGGAAAAACTCGCCTTGGTCTCGATCGGCGATGACATAAAGATCTATTTTCTTTGCTTTGCTGTAGATACTCACTCTCAGGGACTTGGTCTGATGCGAGGATAAACTAGATTAAAAGTGATCTTATACAAAAAGCTTATACGAACACTCACATTGTGCTTATATTAGCATGTAGCGTACGTCAGACTGGTGCTGGTCCTGACCCAGATCCTGAGGTGAGTTGCAGCACGAGTGAGACGGATTACTCTGAGCACGTGGCACATTCTGGTCTGTTTCACAAACACACCTCCTCTGGCCTTGGCTCACTGCTCTGTGGACATGGCTCCTGCTCATATCCGAGGCTCTATTTTAGTTACTTTAATATATTTTCTTGTTCTGATTTTTGTAATATAGTTTTCATACTGTGTGGGAAGAAGTCAAACTTACAAGAATCAAGAACCAAAAATCAAGATTCAAGAATGCATTTGCCATTCGCATTAAAACCACACTGGAAAAACTGTGCAAGACTACCCCAGTGTGCAACATAAGATAGATGGGTAGATACAGTGCCTTGCGAAAGTATTCGTCCCCCTTGAACCTTTCAACATTTCGCCACATTTCAGGCTTCAAACATAAAGATATAAAATTTTAAATTTTTGTCAAGAATCAACAAGTGGGACACAGTCGTGAAGTGAAACGAAATTTATTGGATAATTTAAACTTTTTTAACAATTAAAAACCTGAAAAGTGGGGCATGCAATATTATTCGGCCCCTTTACTTTCAGTGCAGCAAACTCACTCCAGAAGTTCAGTGAGGATCTTTGAATGATCCAATGTTGTCCTAAATGACTGATGATGATAAATAGAATGTACCTGTGTGTAATCAAGTCTCCGTATAAATGCACCTGCTCTTTGATAGTCTCAGGGTTCTGTTTAAAGCGCAGAGAGAACCATGAAGACAAAGGAACACACCAGGCAGGTCCGAGATACTGTTGTGGAGAAGTTTAAAGCCGGATTTGGATACAAAAAAATGTCCCAAGTTTTAAACATCTCAAGGAGCACTGTGCAAGCATCCATCCATCCATCCATTTTCTTCCCCTTAATCCATTTCTGGGTCGGGGGGGGTGGCAGTCAGAGCTGCACCCAGTCCACATAGCACCAGCCCCTCACTGATCCTCCTGCAGGTGGAGAGTCCACAGGAGCTGAGATCTTTCAGTTGGGGCTTTGGGCAAAGTAGGGTTAAGTGTCTTGCCCAAGGACACAACGACAGCAGTCATCAGTGGGAGTCGTGAAGTAGGTCTTACGGTGGGCTCGAACCCATAATAAGCAATTATATTGAAATGGAAGGAGTATCAGACCACTGCAAATCTACCAAGACCCGGCCGTCCCTCCAAACTTTCATCTCAAACAAGGAGAAGACTGATCAGAGATGCAGCCAAGAGGCCCATGATCGCTCTGGATGAACTGCAGATAACTACAGCTGAGGTGGGAGAGTCTGTCCATAGGACAACAATCAGTCGTGCACTGCACAAATCTGGCCTTTATGGAAGAGTGGCAAGAAGAAAGCCATTTCTCAAAGATATCCATAAAAAGTCTCATTTAAAGTTTGCCACAAGCCACCTGGGAGACACACCAAACATGTGGAAGAAGGTGCTCTGGTCAGATGAAACCAAAATCGAACTTTTTGGCCACAATGCAAAACGATATGTTTGGCGTAAAAGCAACACAGCTCATCACCCTGAACACACCATCCCCACTGTCAAACATGGTGGTGGCAGCATCATGCTTTGGGCCTGCTTTTCTTCAGCAGGGACAGGGAAGATGGCTAAAATTGATGGGAAGATGGATGGAGCCAAATACAGGACCATTCTGGAAGAAAACCTGTTGGAGTCTGCAAAAGACTTGAGACTGGGACGGAGATTTATCTTCCAACAGGACAATGATCCAAAACAAAGCCAAATCTACAATGGAATGGTTCACAAATAGACGTATCCAGGTGTTAGAATGGCCAAGTCAAAGTCCAGACCTGAATCCAATCGAGAATCTGTGGAAAGAGCTGAAGACTGCTGTTCACAAACGCTCTCCATCCAACCTCACTGAGCTCGAGCTGTTTTGCAAGGAAGAATGGGTAAGAATTCCAGTCTCTCGATGTGCAAAACTGATAGAGACATACCCCAAGCGACTTGCAGCTGTAATTGCAGCAAAAGGTGGCGCTACAAAGTATTAGCTCAAGGGGGCCGAATAATATTGCACGCCCCACTTTTCAGTTTTTTATTTGTTAAAAAAGTTTAAATTATCCAATAAATGTCGTTCCACTTCACGATTGTGTCCCACTTGTTGTTGATTCTTGACAAAAAAAAAAAAAATTATATCTTTGTTTGAAGCCTGAAATGTTGAAAGGTTCAAGGGGGCCGAATACTTTCGCAAGGCACTGTAGATACGTCATTGATCCCCGTTGGAGAAATTCATGTGTCCAGTAGCAGCAAAAACACATCCATCCAAGCAAACAAAACAAATAGCCATTTTTAGAATTATCTATATAACGATTGAAGATGACACACACCAGAGCTCTTTCCACGGTGCCATACACCATGCAACAAATACTTGGCAGCAGAGCGCAAAACATACATTTACAAACACTGACATTGTTTGGGAAGACTCATCACGCGCTGGATCTTTTTGATTGGATGAGCTGTCAGTTATATTAACCCACATTTCCCACGTACATCAATATTCAGGCTTTATACCATGCATATTTTAAAGAATCATACACAGATATTTAAAACGGGTGACTTAAGAAATGCCAAGAATGGTGTCGTTTACGTCAGTGTTCCCCAACCTTTTTGAGCCGTGGAACAACTTTTTCCTTTAAAACAATCATGCGGCACACCACCAGCTGAAACTGATGCAAACTGATGTTACTCCGCAGCCTTCATTAGCAAAAACAAAGTCTGTATCATCAAAGTGTATTATAGAGACAATCAGAGCAGTGCAAAGAAGTATTTATCATCTTTTTTTTTTAAACATTATTCTGAGTTTTTTAAGTGATATTAATTTCCAAAGGCACACCGAATAACATCTAAAGGCGCACTAACGGTCCACGGCACACTGGTTGAAAAACACTGGTTTATATCAAATACTGTTAGCAACATGAACACATAACTTACAACTCTACCTCATTCTGTCGTGATAAGACTTTGTTTATAGAAATTTGAAGCCGGAAATACTTTCGAGTTCCAGCCCCGGACTTTTCCTCTGTGCAGTTTGAGCCCCTCTTGAGAAAATTCCTATCAAATTTACAGCCAATAACTGAACATGCTGAAGACTGTAGAGAGAGGAATACAACTCTTTGACATTTTTTCATAACTGAGGTGTTTTTGCAAAAGTACTCTTCGTGCGTCAGATCTCTTGGTTCTGTCACAAACTCATGACCTGCACAAACAGTTATTAATGCATTTCCTCCTCTGGAATCTGTGTCATTTATAAGCGTCCGAAATGTGAAATTGACCTAAAAGATGGTTGTGACTTTGGTAAATCACGCCCTCTGCTCCAGACATAGATAAAGTCTGTAACTGAAGCAGCACTGTAACAGGTTAGACCTGAACAGACTGAAACAAACCGTTGATTAAACTCATTTTTCCATCTGTGATCAGACGGCAGGGAGTGAGTCCAGGAGGAGGAATGCACTGCAAAAACTGATATAATTTGTGGTAATAAATGCTTGAATCGAGTGGTTTTTCTTTTATTTTGAGTGCATTCTGAGTGTTGCTTTGTTTTCTCATTCCAAGGAAGATATTTCTTTGTCTTTTTAAACCAAGACAAATTTGCTTGTCCCCTAGGCAAATCTTGTTTTATGGCTCAGTCAGAATGAGCTCAAATTACCTGAATTAAAAACCTGAAAAATTGAGATAATTGATTCAGCTTGTGTATTAATTCATTCTGTAAAAACTGATGAGGTAACACTGTGTGACGCTAGTTCTTCTCCACTTGCACAACGAGGGGCGGTGCTGTTGCAAACAGGCCACGCCTCCTCAAGCGCCTGCCCAGCCCAGGTAAACAGAACAGCATGGCAGGAGGAGGATCAACACAGAAAGTGGCTGTACCTCCTCTGGCTGTAACTGTCTCCTCAGTCTCTCCTCTCTCTCTTCCCTCTCTCCCCCTTCTGTCTCTTCCTGCCTCTGTATCTGTCTCTGAGCCAATGGAACACCTCCAACTGAGATCATTACATGTCAAACATTTAAACTATTTGCACACATGCTGAAAACTCTTTTCTAAATCCTTTTAAATACAGTTGTGCCTCTAAAACACTTTAGCTATTGTCTGTGTTTCCCTCTGCAGGTATTATGCGGGCTGGGCCGACAAGTGGGAGGGGAAGACCATCCCCATCGACGGAGACTACTTCTGCTACACCCGCCATGAGCCTGTGGGCGTGTGCGGACAGATCATCCCGGTGAGAGCCCCCTCTGGCAGGACACTGGTACTGCAGGAGGAACCCATCATTAATGTACACTACAATATTTAGAGCAGGATTTTTCAACCAGTGGGCCTTGGAGCTTTGATGTTTCTTTTGGAATGGATAAAATATCACATAATCGGTCAAAACATTTTGAAAAGAAAATAGTGCGAGGAGATTAGAACGACACTCTTTGTGCTCGGTTTTCATTTGTAAAAAGCTGCTGAGTTTCATGTGTGTATTACACACTTCCCTGTGAGTGTTTAAAGTAATTAGAGGAAGTTGGGGGTAAGTTCAGAATGAGTCGAAAGTGTCCGACAGCTTCCACAGGTGACAGTTTCTGCCATGGCTTCAACATCCTAAAGCTGAGGCACCTAACTTTGACACCACTCTAAACAAAACTAGTTTTGCGCTCTCAAAACACTTTGTTTTAGTCCTCAAGCAGTTTTTGCAGTTGTTTTTAGCTCCGCCCACACTAATGTACCATGAACCTGTGGCACAAACACGTCCCCCCGACCCTTCCGTTAGAACGCTCCTCTCAAACTATGCCTCCACTTTAACCTCATTTGTTTTTTAAGGTTTGGCTTCAAATCATGATTGTTACTTGGGTTACTGCATGCAATGTTTGATGTTGACAAAAAACTGCAGAATATAATTTTCCAACATGCGCTGAAGAAGAGCAGTCAGGGCCGATACACAGAGCCTAGACCCGGTTCATTAAATTTGTATGAACTATCGAGAGAGCCTTGGATTTCCTGAGCCACGAAAGCGCTCGTCTCTCTTCCACCAGCAGAGGGCGGTGTTTTACTGAGATGTCGTGTGTTTCCTCCACAGTGGAACTTCCCGCTCCTGATGCAGGCCTGGAAGCTGGGCCCGGCTCTGGCCACGGGGAACACGGTGGTGATGAAGGTTGCCGAACAAACGCCACTGACCGCTCTGTTCGTGGCCAGTCTCATCAAAGAGGTCGGTCTCATCAGGGGGTCGGTCTCATCAGGGGGTCAGTCTCATCAGGGGGTCAGTCTCATCAGGGGGTCAGTCTCATCAGGGGGTCAGTCTCATCAGGGGGTCAGTCTCATCAGGGGGTCAGTCTCATCAGGAGGTCGGTGTGTGTGTGTCTGCTCAGGTGGGCTTTCCTGAAGGAGTGGTGAACATCCTGCCGGGAATGGGCCCCTCCGCCGGAGCCGCCATCGCCAGACACATGGACGTGGACAAGGTGGCCTTCACTGGATCCACAGAGGTACTGACCTCACATGAGACCAGGACCAAAGACCACAGGACCACAGACCGCGAGGACGACAATTCAATTTTGTACAGCCCTTAATCACAACAGTAGTTATCTTGAGATCAGAGAATCAAAAGGTTCAAACAACTTTAAAAACCTGTCGACCCAGGACTGAGGCTGCAGACCCGGGACTGAGGACTGAGGCTGCAGACCCGGGACTGAGGACTGAGGCTGCAGACCCGGGACTGAGGACTGAGGCTGCAGACCCGGGACTGAGGACTGAGGCTGCAGACCCGGGACTGAGGACTGAGGCTGCAGACCCGGGACTGAGGACTGAGGCTGCAGACCCGGGACTGAGGACTGAGGCCGCAGACCCGGGACTGAGGACTGAGGCCGCAGACCCGGGACTGAGGACTGAGGCCGCAGACCCGGGACTGAGGACTGAGGCCGCAGACCCGGGACTGAGGACTGAGGCCGCAGACCCGGGACTGAGGACTGAGGCCGCAGACCCGGGACTGAGGACTGAGGACTGAGGCCGCAGACCCGGGACTGAGGACTGAGGACTGAGGCCGCAGACCCGAGACTGAGGACTGAGGCCGCAGACCCGGGGCTGCAGTGTTTTAAAACGGGCGGCACAGTGGTTCAGTGGTTAGCGCTTGTCTTTTCACAGCGACAAGTCCCTAGGTTCAATTCCACCTCCAGATCTTTCAGTGCACGTTTGCATGTTCTCCCCGTGTTTCCTCCAGGTGCTCCGGTTTCCTCTACCACTAAAAACATGTACAACAGGTCTGGCATCTGCCTCCTGTACGGCAACCTGCTTCATCTCTGTGTGGACTGAGAGATAAATGTAAACGTGCTTTGTGACTCTGATCTGTGAATGGCGCCATATAAATAAATATTACTTACTGCTCACTGAAACCCTGTGTGCGTTTGCAGGTGGGTAAACTGATCCAGCAGGCGTCTGGCAGCAGTAACCTGAAGAAAGTGACTCTGGAGCTGGGAGGGAAGAGCCCCAACATCATCATGTCAGACGCCAACAGTACGAGCTCCAGCTTCTTCTTCTACTCCACTACTTTTGACTTGTTTTTTAAAAATTATAAGATATTTTAGCGTCAAGGTAGAGTTTATGGAGTATTATTTTGACTCCATCAAGCTTCAGTAGCTGTAGGACACTGGTTTATTGTCAGAATAGATGAAAGTGAATGAGTCGCGGAAGCTAACGGTGAATGAGTCGCGGAAGCGAAGTCTGTGTTTTGTTGTGTATGCAAACTCTTTCTGTGTGTATCTCAGTGGCAGTGTTTGATTGTGTATGCTAACTCGTGTGTGTGTGTCTCTCAGTGGTAGTGTTTGGTTGTGTATGCCAACTCTTGTGTTTGTGGCTGTGTATGCTAACTCTCCTGTGTGTGTGTGTGTGTCTCAGTGGCAGTGTTTGATTGTGTATGCTAACTCTCCTGTGTGTGTGTGTGTGTGTCTCAGTGGCGGAGGCCGTGGAGCAGGCCCACTTCGCCCTCTTCTTTAACCAGGGCCAGTGCTGCTGCGCCGGCTCCAGGACCTACGTCCAGAAAGACATTTACCAGGAGTTTGTGGAGCGCAGCGCAGAGAGAGCAAAGAGACGTGTGGTGGGGGACCCATTTGACATGCGCACCGAGCAGGGGCCCCAGGTCTGTGGCTTCTCTCAAGTCGACCCTCTCTTCCCTCTCCCCCCCCTTCTCCTCCATCCCCTACTCTGCCCTCTCTTCGTACTGTCGCTCCTCTTGCCCCTTTCTCCTTCCTCCCCTCTTCTACCCTCTCTTCCCTCTTCTACTCTCTCTCCTCTCTACCCTCTCTCTACCCTCTCTTCTACTCACTCGCTCCTCTCTCCTCCCTCCCCTCTTCTATCTTCTCCTCTCTCCCCTCCCCTCTCTTCTACTCTCTCCTCTCACTCCTCTTCTCCCCTCGCCCCTTTTCTACCCTCTCTCCTCTTTCTCCTCCCCCTCCCTCCCCCTCCCTAGACCAAACCTTGATGTCTCTGCAGTTCCATGACTGGAGGAAGAATAAAAAGTTGTGTGTTTGCAGGTGGACCAGGAGCAGTTCAATAAGATCCTGGGCTACATCAGCAGTGGGAAGAAGGAGGGGGCGCGGCTGCTCTGTGGGGGGGGCGTGGCAGCAGACCGGGGGTACTTCATCCAACCCACAGTGTTCGGAGACGTGCAGGACGGGATGACCATCGCCCGAGAGGAGGTAGGGCTCGCACTGGGCAGGGTCCGAGAGAGACTCCTGTCCTCTTCATCCATCGTCAGAGGCACAACAGAAGCTCTTTCCTCTGCAGACCTGAGCCGACGCCCCTGGAACTGCTCCAGTGGCTTTATTAGTTACTGCTTTTTTAGTTCTAAGGTTCTCTGTTTTAGGTTTCAGGCTGTAACCTTTCCTTATTTCTGATCAAACCAGTGCCTAAAAGGTTAATACAGACACTCGACAAACTACAGTTTTCATTCCACGTTGGAAATTAGTTTTGTTAAATAATTCTAAATGAAAGTTAATGTAATGAGTTGAATGTGTTTGTGTGTGTGTGCGTACATGTGACTGTGCGTACATATGACTGTGTGTGTGTGTGTGAGCAGATCTTCGGTCCCGTGATGCAGATCCTGAAGTTCGACACTCTGGAGGAGGTGATAGAGCGAGCGAACGACTCTCAGTACGGACTGGCAGCTGCTGTTTTCACCAAAGACCTGGATAAGGCCAACTACGTGTCCAGCGGGCTGCGGGCGGGGACCGTGTGGTGAGTGTGTGTGTGTGTGTCTCTGTGTGTGTTTACGTACAGAGTCCTGTCTCTGTGAGTGTGTATCCTGTGTCCTCAGGATAAATTGCTATGACGTGTTCGGGGCCCAGGCTCCGTTCGGAGGATACAAAGCGTCAGGAAACGGACGTGAGCTCGGAGAGTACGGTCTGGAGGGCTACACAGAGGTCAAGACGGTGAGAGTCACATCTGCTTTATCACACACACAAACACACACAGACACACACACGACAGGACAATTCTGTTTAAACTGATGGAACATGTGTGAATAAGTGGCAACAACACACAGTTTCTGTGATTGGTCAGACTTGTTCTACTGTGGTCTTTAGTTTCCTCTTGTTTTTCAGGTGACCATGAAAGTGCGGCAGAAGAACTCTTAACTGCAGATCTGCACCAGCCTCAGCACCTGTCAATCAATCACCTGTCAATCATGTATAAAAGAACACAATAAATCTATTTCACTAATGTTTGTTCACTTGTGTGAGTTTATTATTAGTTACAACACAACCCCAGCCGTTCCACAGCAGCTGAGACAGGAGAAGTTGGTTCTGTACTTTAACATTTGGTCTTTTCAAAATGGGAGTCATTTAATCTGCTCATTTAGAAATTAAAGACCATTAAGATAATGCACTTGGACCATGCTTTTCTGGACACTCTCCACATTATTCAAATACTATGGTGTGAACTACTGAAGCCACATCTGCCTCAGGACAGACTGACATCACAAAGCTGCTAATCTGTGTCGTTAGCCTCTGACTACATCCTCACTGACCCCAGGCCTGCAGAGCTAAAGCACTTGATAGTACTGCACTTTACTCATGTATCTTTACTGCTGCCTCAGAGAAAAGTGAACAGAGGGGACTCAGGTCTCCCATCACAGAACTAACCTGCTCTTTCTTACTGCTCTCATTTTTTTTAAAGTGTATTTCCAGTGTTGACCTGTAGGTGGAGACATTCTGATTGCACAGGAGTCTTGCACAAATTAAGTTTGTGCACAGAAGCTGAATGACTAAATACAAGTCTGATGATAGTTAAGAAAACTCATTTATTTACAGAGATCTATTATTTAACTTTGGCCAAACTTTACTCAACAGAAGACATTCTCTGGGAAGAATGTTTTAAAACGTTCAGATGGTGGCTAGATTAGTCCAGGGTCAGACCATAGATCCATGGGTCAGACTGAGACTGGTCCAGGGTTTGAGTCCATGAAACAGGGACAGCAGCAGCATCTGTGACAGGGTACGTGTGGGGCCTTGTGCTCTCCTCCGCCACAGATAAAAAATACCCTGAATAATTTATTTTCGAGCTGATCATCTAGACCCTAATTTAGGCTGTTTTCCACTTACTTGTAATGACCTGGGCAGCACAAGGGTCATCGGTTTTCTCTTCTTGGGGGAGCACTGTGTCTTGTTTGACATCAGGACTTATCATCCCCCTTATACCCACACATACCATGTGGGACCTCTGCTCTCTACCAGCACCGCATGTGAAGGCTCCTGTCAGACAAAAATCCATAGGTTCGAAGCTCTCTCTGTAGCTTGTAACTATGTTTAGTGTTATTAAATGTCCTTTTATATCTATTTGGTTTAATACAAAGTCACAACTAAATGAATCTCTAACATTGATGTGGATTAAAAGCATTGAAGAAAAATCTGTAACATGTGTCTTTATCTGTCCCAGAGCAAAGTCCAGCTCTCACCGATTAGTGTTTTTACAAAGAACAAGTGACAGTTCATCTTACAGTACTTCAGAAAGACAAGAGGCAGAACACAAAAAGTTTCTAAAACACAACTCTAACTTCACAAGATAGTTGTCGTTCTTTCACCATAAAAAACACTAACAATGATAAACCAGGACACACAACTTTGAGCTCCTTTATTTCTCATTTCTAACGTGAGTCTATGTAACTGTGTGTGTAAAACATAACTTTTTTGCCACCACATATTGTCACCGTCGTTCATAAAAAATCTTAAAATATTTCCCAAAAGTTCTAGTTTATATTTTTGCACATATATCTCCATGGGTAGATTGTTTACACCTGACCTCACATGTCGTGCATCTGTGCAATAATCTGAATGTGCAATACAGAACCACATGTGTCCGTCCCAGAGCCTCATGCTGCTGATCACCTGTGTCTGCACTAGAATATACAGGATCTTATTGTGCTGAAGTTTGAGATCTATTATTTTAGAATAGTTATAGTTCATTTCTCTTGTGCCGTGTGCTCCTCATTTCTTATTCTGTAACTGCTGATGCAACACTGACATTTCCCCACTGTGCGACCAATAAAGGGTCCCTTCATCCTAATCTTAAAACCCGCTAAATTACTAACATTTGATTTATCCTCTTGCAAGCTTCACTCAACATTAACCAGACTTTAAGTTAGTTTTATTTCTACAACAACAGAAGAGCAGCAGGAGAAAGTTCATGGCCCCATCTGTCAATCATCTTTCTCCACAGACAGCGATCCTTAAAGGCTTCGGAAACACTTTAGATTAGCCCTCCCCAATATACAGCTAATCAAGTGCTAATGACTGTACCCTAACCACATGGGAAAGTGTCCGTTATATGCAGAATAAGGCCGTGTGGAATAAGGACTAATAAATGCTTAATAAATACCAATTAAGAGCTTATTAACCATAGATTATTGACTGATTAACAGTGTGGACCCGTTGACCTGGAGAAGATTCAGGAAAAGCTTTGTAACGGATCATGTTCACAGAGTCAGCTGTTGGGGCCAGTGCTTGTCCTGTTCTCCAAGAGGTTCACAGGGGTTTGGTCCAGAGGTTGGCTCTCTGGCTCCTGCATGGGCCTCCTCTCTGGCTCCTGGCCCTGAATGTTCCTCTCTGGGTCCTGGTTTTGGTCCTGGATGCTCCTCTCTGGCTCCTGGTTTTGGCCCTGGATGTTCCTCTCTGGGTCCTGGCTTGGGTCCTGGCTTTGGTCCTGGCCTTGGCCCTGGATGTTCCTTTCTGAGTCGGTGCTTTGGACCTGGGCTCCTGTGCGTCTCACTGACACCTGCTGCTCCCCCGTCAGAGCGCCACCTACAGGTGTGGAACAAGGGAAACATCAGATGCTATGGGTTAAGGCACAGTAAGTGTATTCTTGGACGTGCTGCTATAATTTTAGGTCAAATAATAAGAATTAATAATTTGATCATTATGTCATAATCATTGAAATTGACAAAAGAAATGTCATGTGGATGAGGGCAACAGTTACTGCAGGAGAGTGATGTAAGGTCACTATGGCATCATATCAGTATCATAAAGACCTGCTCCTCTGCTCCTCATGGACACAGCCTCCTCCTGCTGCAGCTCCTCTGTTGGACTTTCTCCTCTGCTCCTCATGGACACAGCCTCCTCCTGCTGCAGCTCCACTGTTAGACTTTCTCCTCTGCTCCTCATGGACACAGCCTCCTCCTGCTGCAGCTCCTCTGTTGGACTTTCTCCTCTGCTCCTCATGGACACAGCCTCCTCCTGCTGCAGCTCCTCTGTTGGACTTTTTCCTCTGCTCTTCATGGAGACAGCCTCTTGCTGCTGAAGCTCCTCCTTCTCTGTTGGACCTGCTTTATGGATCTTCAGAGCCTCCTGCTGCTCCTCCTTCTCTGTTGGACCTGCTTTATGGATCCTCAGAGCCTCCTGCTGCTCCTCCTTCTCTGTTGGACCTGCTTTATGGATCTTCAGAGCCTCCTGCTGCTCCTCCTTCTCTGTTGGACCTGCTTTATGGATCCTCAGAGCCTCCTGCTGCTCCTCTGTAGAACCCGTTTTATGGATATTCATAAATGGCTGGACCTTGTGATGGTGAGTCAGATGGAAGGAAGGGCTGCTGACCCACGGCTTGACAGCTGCAGACAGAATAAAAACAAAGAAGAGCTCAAGGCGGCCGTAGAGCAACCAACACACACGAAAGAATCAAAAGAATCAGTGGCAGCAGACAGTACATGCATGTGTCCTGTAGGAGACAGTACTTACGGTCCTCAGGGGCCCCACACACAGAGTCACAGCAGGAACACACTGAGGAGAAGGAGGGCTCCAGCTCCTGCCACCTGCACAGGATACACACACACACAGACCATAATACTAAAGGTGATGTCACGTGCCAAGAGACAGGTACACTCATGATGACCTGGAGAGAGGATGGTCTCGTTCTGGTCCTTCCTCACACACTGAGCTGGTGGATTCAAACAACTCTGTATTCAACAAACCTCACGACACACACTGAACCCTCCGACCAAATATACACAACAAACTAATGCTTTCATGTGATTCAGGTGAAGACTGTTCTATAAGTTCACACAAGGTGCTTTTAACTCAACAAAACAAAATTAACCTTTTTGAATCAAGTCCCAAGGGACATAGCTTTGTATAATGATAGCGTAACAAGCTGTGGAGCTGTGTTTGGGGGAGTGAAGCTCTCACCATCTGTTGCACGTGCGGCTCTTTCCTTTATAAAGTTGTCCTTATTAAAGCATGTTGGAAAATATCCATTAAACCAACTCCCTCTGGTCTTGGTGCACTGAGCTCGTCTGAAAAGCACTGGTCCACACAGGTCTGTAGCGAGTAAGGGTTTGAAGTTACTTCTGCCCTCTAACTGTGGTCCCCATCTTTTTGGAGAGCCAAATGTCATGTATCTGTGCAATAATAATAATGTCAGAATGTGCAATACAAAACCACATGTGTCAATGTCTGTGTCCCAGAGCCTCATGCTGCTAATGTACAGATGTAAACATCCATCCATCCATTTTCTACCCCTTAATCCATTTCTGGGTCGGGGGGATGGCAGTCAGAGCTGTCACCCAAGTCTCATAGCACCTGCCCCTCACTGACCCTCTGCAGGTGGTGAGTCCACAGGAGGACGGCTGCTCTGTAAGTGTGAGCATAGCCTTGATCTTTGGGCAAAGTGGGGTTAAGTGTCTTGCCCAAGGAAACAACGACAGCAGACATCAGTGGGAGTTGTTGTCAGGGTGGGAATTGAACCCACAACCTTCAGGCCTAAAGGCCAACGCTCTACCAACTGAGCAGCTGTCGCCAAGATGTAAACATACTATATTTTTTCTGCACTACAATATACACGATTTAGATTAGCTTCTATATAATGAACACAGTCGCACTCATTCACACTGAACTACTGTACATGGCATGGAAAGAACAGGCCATGGAAGTGGAATCGAACCCAAGACCTTGCTGTGAAGCACAAGCGCTAACCACTGCACCGTGCCGCCCATTAACCGGCAACACTGACATTTTCCCTGTGGATGAAACTCTTCAGCTGAAGGTTCCTGGTTCACAACACTATCAGGAAAACCAGGGAAACATCTGGTCTGAGGTCGAGACATGTTTTTACAGAACATGACACATGCTGCTAATGAAGTGGATCCAGCACCAGTTTGGACAGACAGGGGTCACAGGAGCAGCGGCTCCAGTCCAGGCTCCACTGACCTGCCTGTGTCCCGGCTGCAGCTCTTGGAGCTGGGACTGGGCTTCAGAGCCAGCGACATGGAGCAGTGCAGGAACATCATCTGCAGAAGAACAAACACCAGTCTTTCCACAAACACAGCAGCAGTGAACAACACCTTTAACCGGTCAGTTTATTTTTACATGTCAGACTCTAACCTGTGGCTCTGAGCTGAAGAGGAGAGAGTCCACAGAGAAGCGCAGCTCCCCAGGGCCTCGCCACACGAACCGAGAGCCACTGTGGGCCTGAGCACTGTCCGTCATACAGCTACACACACACAGACTTTTAATTATTCACTTTAGTCTCCAGCACAAAGACTACTCTGCCTGGTATAGATGTGGGTACAGTGTATACAATACAGACACATGCAGACACAAACCCGTGGTTGGTGATGAGGTCCAGTCTGGGGGAGCTCTCTGGGTCCTCAGAGCTGGTCACACGACAAGTGTCCACGTACAGCGTCTCCCCAGGAAGAACCACTCTGACCCGGGCCACAAGGTACACAGGCTCCCCTAGAACCAGCTCCTGTCCAGGAGGCCATGCCTCCCAGTGGCCTGGGACAGAGAGAGACAGAGACAGACAGAGAGAGACAGAGAGAGACAAACATGTTACGGACCACAGTCTAAAGACCTGCATCAAAGTCTGAGTCAGTTTATCCCTGGCTATAGCTGCATCCTCTGACCTTCAAGATCAATATTCACCACTGTGTGTGTTCAAATATATATGTGTGTGTTCTCTCACTGTTGCAGACGCTCAGACTGAAGCTTGCTCTGCTCTGCATACTCTTCATGAAGGAGGAGGGCGGGGCCAGAGGCTGGTAGCCCACTCTGTACGAGTAATGGAACCTGACGACAACACAGAGGCAGCAACACATGAGAGTCACAGGTACACCGTCTGACTGTACGAGAGAGTGACAGAGACACTGCCTCTGCCTGTACCAGAGAGTCACGGTACACTGCCTCTGACTGTACCACAGAGTCACAGAGACACTGCCTCTGCCTGTACCAGAGAGTCACTGCCTCTGCCTGTACCAGAGAGTCACAGGTACACTGCCTCTGACTGTACCACAGAGTCACAGGTACACTGCCTCTGACTGTACCACAGAGTCACAGGTACACTGCCTCTGACTGTACCACAGAGTCACAGGTACACTGCCTCTGACTGTACCACAGAGTCACAGGTACACTGCCTCTGACTGTACCACAGAGTCACAGGTACACTGCCTCTGCCTGTACCACAGAGTCACTGCCTCTGCCTGTACCAGAGAGTCACAGGTACACTGCCTCTGACTGTACCACAGAGTCACAGGTACACTGCCTCTGACTGTACCACAGAGTCACAGGTACACTGCCTCTGACTGTACCACAGAGTCACAGGTACACTGCCTCTGACTGTACCACAGAGTCACAGGTACACTGCCTCTGACTGTACCAGAGTCACAGGTACACTGCCTCTGACTGTACCACAGAGTCACAGGTACACTGCCTCTGCCTGTACCACAGAGTCACTGCCTCTGCCTGTACCAGAGAGTCACTGCCTCTGCCTGTACCAGAGAGTCACAGGTACACTGCCTCTGCCTGTACCACAGAGTCACAGAGACTCTGTCTCTGCCTGTACCACAGAGTCACAGAGACACTGTCTCTGCCTGTACCACAGAGCAGAGGTGTGGACTCGAGTCATGTGACTTGGACTCGAGTCAGACTCGAGTCATGATTTTGATGACTTTAGACTCGACTTGACCAAATATAAAAAGACTTGCAACTCGACTTGGACTTTAACATCAATGACTCTGACTTTCACTTGGACTTGCGCCAATTGACTTGCAAAGACTTGCGTAACCCGGGCCATTTTTACCTTTCTCCGCATCTCTCTTTCTATCTATGCCGTCTCTGAAGAAACAAAGCCTCGCGGTAGTTGTAGCGCTCGCGCGAGAGTTCGAACGTGAGTTTCCCGCAGTTCGCGCAGCAACACTTCCCTAAACAAGCGGACTGCATTCACCGGTGGGTGTGTTGTCTAGGGGAGCTGGAAATGAGCGAGCTGCAGGTATTTATCGCGACCTAACGTCATATTTTGTTCTACAAACCGTAATTGATATGCTTTCACTACAGGCGCCTCATACAATTGAATTGACGCAGTTGTCACACTGTGTGCCGTGTTTTAAAGAGGAACTGGTGAGTCAAACTAGCGCTAGCCTGCGCTGCTCTGTTAGCTCTTTCTTATATTTTTCTGTGTGGGCGCCGAGGCCTATTATTATGAGTATGTTTTTGCTGTGCTCCTCCTGCTAAAGTTTGCATACATTAGATAGTTGTTTTGATTATGTGCACTAAGCTAGATTAATATTTGCACTATTGTTTATGGTGCATTGATATGAGAATCAGTGCTTTGACTGATTGAATTAATTTATATGAGACATTTTATTATATAATGATATATTGGTAATTATGAGATATTACTAATGCTGACGCAGTTGTCACACTGTGTGCCGTGTTTTAAAGAGGAACTGGTGAGTCAAACTAGCGCTAGCCTGCGCTGCTCTGTTGGCTCTTTCTTATATTTTTCTGTGTGGGCGCCGAGGCCTATTATTATGAGTATGTTTTTGCTGTGCTCCTCCTGCTAAAGTTTGCATACATTAGATAGTTGTTTTGATTATGTGCACTAAGCTAGATTAATATTTGCACTATTGTTTATGGTGCATTGATATGAGAATCAGTGCTTTGACTGATTGAATTAATTTATATGAGACATTTTATTATGTAATGATATATTGGTAATTATGAGATATTACTAATGCTGACCCAGTTCATACAGGCCAGGTTCCTTCCCCTCCATTGGTCCCTTCAGTCCTTTGGAACAATAACCACTATGGACATTAAACTGATATATAGATACAGGTCCTAGCCCAATACTCATATTCATATATGCTGCACTTGCTACTTCCATTAAAAACCCCAAAGATAAAAAGTATGTTGACACGGACTGCTCTGATTTTGTGTGGTCTGTGCATGTGTAACTGAGCCTGCATCTGGCACAACATAGTTTTGATTTACCAGCAGCCAACCACATGGAACAAACTGTTAGTCCATGGGTCAGAGACCAACGAGAATGCACCAGCAAAATGATTCCTAACATTATTTTGTTTGCCTACAAAAGTACGTGGAGACCAACAAGAAACAAATCGCGGTCAAAAAGACTCGAGAGGACTCGAAAGTCAAACCGTAGGACTTGGGACTGACTTGAGATTTGTTGGCCTTTGACTTGGACTCGACTCGGGACTTGCCTGTCTTGACTCGTGACTTAACTCGGGACTTGAGGGCAATGAATTGAGACTGACTTGTGACTTGCTAAACAATGACTTTGTCCCACCTCTGCCACAGAGTCACAGGTACCTGTGCCTCTGACTGTACCACAGAGTCACAGGTACACTGCCTCTGACTGTACCACAGAGTCACAGGTACACTGCCTCTGACTGTACCACAGAGTCACAGGTACACTGCCTCTGCCTGTACCACAGAGTCACTGCCTCTGCCTGTACCACAGAGTCACAGAGACACTGTCTCTGCCTGTACCAGAGTCATAGGTACACATTCTCACTATCATCATGGAACATGTACAATATCCAGCGGAGGATCAGGACTTGAATGTAACTGTTTTTGGACTGATGCACAAGTGTGTGTTGTGTCCAGATAGAACTGCTCTTTTACCACAATTCTTTCAGTCCATAGTCTCTCCGTGGGAATGTCAACGTCATTGTTGCACATTACATCAGAATAAAAGGAGAAAGTAGAGACTCAGATCATACACTCATCACACAGGATCTATTTAAGATAATACAATAATAGGATGGACATTTGGACACGTGATGATGGACAGTTCCATGTTGAGCTCCATGGTAAAGAGTGGGCTGAAGGATATCGTATCGATAGAGATAAAAACACTGTATTTATACAAATATTATCTAACACTAAGGAGCGGCTTGGGGTGCCCCAACGTAGCACCTTATCTTTATCAAAGAATTGTAGATTTCACTTTTACATGTTCAATTAAAACCATTTAATAACCCTCAGGCGTCACATGGTCACATGATCTCATGGCTCTCCTCTGTTTGCTCTGTGCGTCTGGAACCTTCACTCTGCAGCTGGTGTCTCAGATCTCGCTCCATGTGACGCATAGACACAGGTAGATGTCTGGCTTCAACACCGATGTATGAACATGGAGAGTGTGATACCTGTTGTAGAAACAGCTGAGGGGCAGGTCCAGAGGAGGCACTCTGAGCACTGAGCCCTGAGGAGCAGCGTACGACAGAGAGAAGTGATAAACCAGCTGACCACGCAGCACCTGCAACACACGCTCAGTCAGGCCCAGTCAGGCCCAGTCAGGCCCAGTCAGGCCTGCAGGAGGTTAATTTGTATTTATTTTACATTCTAAATAATGAAATACCAAAGTATATGTAAGTATTTACTGATATGTTTAGTGGTAAAACTGACAACATTAACACATGTATTGTTGAACACACAGACACACACCTTCACGTCGCAGCCACACTCGCCCAGGCCGCGGTGGAAGTACAGGTAGCGGGCGCTGGCTGCACTGACGGGACAGGAGCTGAGGCGGAACAGTCCCGGGACGCTCCAGTGCCTCAGTCTGAGGCGGTCCACACGCACCCCCACGCTGCGCAGGCCACACCACAGATCTACAGCCCCAGAGGGAGAGGGTCCGGGCGGGAGGTGGGCACGCTGCAGAAGGACAGAGAGACGGCTCCATTCATCCAATAGTTATGTACTTTAGTAACTATCATAATAAATCTTTTTTGGTCCCTCAAAGTCTCTTCACATGTCATTATTCTTTCACTCCAAACACAGTGGTGATAAACTACAACCCTAGCCACAGCTGCCCTGGGGCACACTGACAGAAGCGAAGCAACCAGTCTGTGCCATCGGCCACTGCCTGTACATTTTAATTCTCAATTATTAAATGTGATACTTCTGTGTGTAAGACTTGTGTATGAGTAACGGGACTTTTCCAGCAGATTCTCATAATACAACTCTAAATACACTCTTTGGGTGACACTAGTCTCTGACACGCACCTGTGCCTGCGCGGGCGGCAGCAGCAGCGCCTCCAGTCCGGGCGGCACAGCGCTTCTCTGGGGCACAGGTCTGAACAGTTCCCGGGAGACCAGCGGCTCCGGAGCGTGCTGGAACACAGGCAGAGGCCGCAGGGTCCGCACAGACCCCCCGGACTGTCCCCCCCAGGACAGAGACCCCGCAGACGCAGCGCAGACCGCACTCATGAGCAGCAGCAGCAGCACCATGTCGAGCCCTGAGCACGTGCTGCACAGGAGGGCGGGGCTGAGGTGTGCACGCGCAGGGGGGTGGGGCCGAATGTCACTCACCTGCAGGGTTGCCAGGTCCAAGAAAAATTTCCAGCCCAATGACCTCTCAAAACTCGACCAAAAAGTATGAAAACTAGCCCAATAATTAATTTCAGTTCAATTTAAATTTATTTATCAAATAAACATTCTGTTTGCGTATCCACTCTTTTATGCCCCTTTCTGACTCCCATTCCTTCCTATATCGTTTTTGGTACTTCCCCCATTTACCTGACATCGCACTGTTAGCTTCTTTTTTCCGCGTGCCTAAAATGACCAAAATGACGGTCTTGATAGCTGACTGACTGGCTTCTTTGCCGCTGCACGTGCGGCCTCTGTCTTGCGTAGGGGGGCGTGCCGCGGCACCACTCAAAGGCTTGCGTGTGAGTGAGAGAGAGAGCGAGAGAGAGCGAGAGAGACGGGGAGGGTGGGGGTGGGGAAGGGGGGTGAGGGACAGTGCTGAGCTTTGAATGTGACGAATCTGATTGGGAAAAATAGATAAAATGACAGATAAAGTCGCGGCCGCGGACAGTTTAAAATCAGCCCAAGAAAACCGCAACCCGCAGCACAAGATTTTTTTCCCGCAACGGCCAATTTAAAGTAGCCCAATTGTGCGGGAAAACCGCGGACCTGGCAACTCTGCTCACCTGTGGTCCTGGACACGCCCACACTGACCGTCAGAGTCACTCACTACAATGCGTCCTCGGTCACAGGTGGCAAAACTTTAGAAGTGCTCACTAGAAAATTGACCCATCTTTTAAAATTTGTTTCTGATAAGTATTTGTTATTTAAAGGGTTTACCGTACTTTCTAGGCTAAAAGAGCACCTGTATATAAGCCTAGGCACCGATATTTTAATAGAAAATCTTTGTTGTCCACGAAAAGACCACACCTGAATATAAGCCGCAGGGCCTTTATCCCCACCGCTGTCAGACTGTACAATCCTCTCTGACAATGTTTAAAACCAGGTTAAAAACAGTTCTGTTTAGCTGTGCCACAATTGAGGGATTTTATATTTTTATCTTTCTCTTTAATGTACTGTGATTATTTATGATTTTAATGCTATCTTGTTTTGCTCAGCACTTTGAATTGCCTTGTGTATGAATTGTGCTATACAAATAAACTTGCCTTGCCTAAGTCTCTTTAAGTCACTTGCATTAGGACTGAAAAACCTGCACTACTAATGACACTGTTTCTTGATTGCCACTTTTTATTGTACATAATATATCCTGCATTTAACATGTTTGTGCAAAAGAAAGATATGTGCAATCTTGAGTGTTTCTGTCCATGCTAAATGTCACACGTACATTCCTCCTGTGTTATATCAATAAAGTCCTAACTCTTATCTCAATGTCGCAGAGACGACTGTTATAACCCAGTGCTTTGGGCTTTGGACTGAGAGCTGATGTCAGATGGAGGTTATCCCAAAGAGCTGTTCCAAATCAGATAGTGACATCATTTGTTGAACTGTACAAGAGACGTGTCTGAGCTGAACATGTCACTATTGTTAATTAGTTACACTTTATTTATTTAGAATTATGTATTTATGTGTTTGTACGGATGGATTTTTTACAGTCTATCTATGGGATGGATGTGCTTCTGCTGCTGGACACCTGCATTTCTCAATAACGTTTCAAAGACTTTCCCCTTTTCACAGTTTGAACATTTTGAATATCCCAGATTTTCAATGCTTATTTTCAGGCGTTTTTTATGCCTGAGATGTTGCTGCAGTACAGTGTCCATGGTTTTACACGGGTCCAGACCAGAGCAGAGAGGATTCATGGTCCGAACCAAGTGGATCAGCCGAAAATCCACTGGAGGAATGCTGACTTTTTGAAAAATGCTAATGAAGCATTTAGCTTTTTACTTTGGACTAGAGCCGAGAAAATGGTCCAAACCAAGCGGCTACTCCACCTTGTGACCCGTCCTGCTCCACCCAGAGGCTACTCCACCTCTGCTGCTGTGACCCGTCCTACTCCACCTCTGCTGCTGTGACCCGTCCTGCTCCACCCAGAGACCACTCCATCTTTGCTGCTGTGACCTGAAAGCCTGTGGCTGATTAATACTATTATTAGCTTTTTAGAATTATCAATTTCATTTTTTCTGCTACTGGACACCTGAATTTCTCCTGCGGGGATCAATAAAGTATCTATATCCATTTATTAAGGTTTAACCGCTTGAAAGCAAACATTCTGAAATAACCACCGATGCGTTTTTGTGAATACACAGTTTATTGTAAAAGAGGTAGAGCGAATACAGCTGTGGACTGTACAGAGAGACACACACGCACACACACACACACACACGCACACATCTTTGGGTTTTTCTCTCCTCTTTCCGGAAGCCTTCTCTCTGACCGGGATGGTACCTCTGCTCAGTATTGTGTGGCTGCTTCCTTCTGCAAAAAACATCATGTGCACTGCCATCTCACAGCTGTGTTTGATAGAAAAGTTAAAGTTCTCCTGGCAACAGTGGACACTGGACAAACAGTGAAAACAGAAGAACATAGTTTCAGTAAAGAATTGGGCACCGGGCACTTCCTGGTTTCACTTGGTTATGTAGCTGCAGAAAACAATGTAACAAGAGCACGTCACCAAACAACTTAAAAACGTGTTCAAAGGCCCTGGATTCCGTCTTTACAAGCTTCAAAATCCTCCAGAACATGACTAGATATGAAACGCTGCTTTTACAACAAATCAATATTAGTGGTGGGAAAAAAAAACCTAAGATTCTGTTCAGTATCGTGATATTTTGGGAACGCAATTAAATCATTGCAGTTTAATTTAAATAATTATCTGTTTCAGGGACGACAGTGGCTCGGTTGGTAGAGCATTGGCCTTTGAGCCTGAGAGTCGTGGGTTTCATTGCACCACGAGACCTTCTCCACTGATGTCTGCTGCTGTTGTGTCCTTGGGCAACGTTTTTACACTACCCTCCTCAGTGTTTTCTTCAGTTCATGAACAGACTAGGGCTGCACGGTATTGGAAATTATAGCAATATTCCATATGGGTGTTTAGTATTTCGATAACGATATTATTACGATATTTTTGTCTCGCACCAATTACAATCTGCATTGAAACGCAAGAGACAAATAACAAAAAATAAGCACAACAATAATGATATTCAAATGCATATAGTTATATATGTTTGTTTGTTGTTCTTGTTGAATGTTGATGTGTCTGTTTTGATGTCTTTTTTCTTTAATCGCAATTTTTTTTTATATGGATATCACACGCTCCAATATTGCGATAACAATATTATATCGTGCAGCCCGAGTACAGACCATGATAAATGTCAGAGGAGTCTTATTTTCCTCCATGTTTGTAAAGTCTTTGAATAATATGAGGGACATGAATCGCAGTATATCGCACAATCAAATCACAATACCGTCTCGCGATATGTTTAGAATCACAAGAATATTGAATTGTCGCCCAAATATAGCAATACTATTGAATTGTGACATTTTTACCAATTCCCACCACTAATCTGAAGCATAGACTGTATCGTAAAGGAGTGGGACAGTGCGACACCATATCTTTAGGCCTTTACTAAAATAAACCAGTTTGAGCTGCGGTGTCCCACTGTCCTTCCTTGTTCTACAGTCTATAATCTGAACTAGCTCAACGTCAAATGAACCAGTCCACAACATGAAAAATATTAGGGTTTTTAAACACATACAAAATATACTTTGTGTACGAGACATAACAGAACGTGATTAAAAGCTCTCAGTCTTTTCAGTACAATACGTCTCCTTTAAAAAGAACCCAGACCCAGAGCGCGACATGCTAACCACACGCTAACATTCATGCACTCAGAAAACAACAGCACTTAATGCCGAGTGGTTGAAACAATCGATAAAAAAAAAGAGAAGCCCAGTGGTTTCGTCATCCCTGCTCAGTCCGACTGCTCCGACAGGTCGCTGTGCGGAGGGCTCCCTGAGGGGGGAGTGGTCCTGCCCGGCCAGCCCCCGTTAGCCTGCAACACACACACACACGCACACACAGGGTCACACACAAGGTCACACACAGCACTGTTCTGCACTCTGGTTTTGGTTTGGTGTAAGCTCCGGTTTACTTTTAGTCAACTCTAAGTTTACAGAAAAACCCGATCCAGTGCAGTGTCTTCATATTTTGCCAAATATTTTTCTTCTTTCAACTGCCTCAGACCAAAGGTTAGAGCACGGCTTCTAAATGTGAGTACTATATTTAGAAAGTTAGTTAAGTTATAGTGTGTGGGTAGCGTTCCTGTTCCTGGATCACTGTGTCCACATGAGAGGGTAAGTAAGTAATTTTTATTTATAGAGCGCAGTTTTACAGACCAAGGCCACCATCCATTCACTCACTCATTACATTCAGACTTATTGTGCATGTTTTTAGTTGTAGGGGAAACCGGGGCACCCAGAGGAAATCTACGCAGACACGTGGAGAACATGCAGAAAAGCCCTGTTCCAACCAGGATTTGAACCCAGGACCTTCTTGCTGAGAAGGGTGCCATACATCCCCCACTGGCATAATCGTGCTAATGTGAATCTACATGCTGTTCAGACAGCGGCAATGAATGTGCTCTGCCTGGGACTGCCCTGGGACTGCCCTGGGACTACCCTGGGACTGCCCTGGGACTGCCCTGGGACTGCCCTGGGACTGCCCTGGGACTGCCCTGGGACTGCCCTGGGACTGCCCTGGGACTGCCCTGGGACTGCCCTGGGACTACCCTGGGACTGCCCTGGGACTGCCCTGGGACTGCCCTGGGATTGCCCTGGGACTGCCCTGGGACTGCCCTGGGACTGCCCTGGGACTGCCCTGGGACTGCCCTGGGACTGAGATGATGATGAGTGTGTTACCTGCGCTCCCATTGGGTAAGCAGCCTGATCCCCGTTGACTGGAGGAACCCCCAGGAACATGTCCTGTGCGGAGCCAGACAGAGAGAAGGAGCCGGAGCCTGTGACAATACCAGCGGTCAGACACGGATCTGGACCCTGAGGGACCCCTGAGGGACCAGGGGACAGTGATGGGGGCGTACCAGTGGAGTTGGGTGTGTGTGGCGAGTCCTCCCCTGGTCCTGCTCCCAGTGCGGTCTTCATGGCGTACAGGTTGGCCTCCTCTTGGAACTTGCCAATATTTTTCTTGTAGCGAATTCTCTTGTTTCCAAACCAGTTTGACACCTGTGCAACAAGAGAAAGCAGATTTTGTGCATTACTGCCTCTTTAACCAAGAGGAAACCAAGGCAGTCGCCTCAGCCACCATGGGGCAGACTAAAGGAAGCCAGGCTGCCAATCTGTGCCCATGGGCCTCACATGGATGAACAGAAGCACCATCGAGAGAGGTTCTACTTGAGGATTTTGGAGCTTTTCCTGCAGAAGGACGTGAACCAGATTCTGGACATTTATCCATTAGCTTAATACCTGTGTACTTGGTTAATCTGTTGGTCATGAGCTAATGAATTTTCATTTTTTGATTTTTGAATCTTCCTTTAGCAAATCCACTTTCCTGTGAATATCTTTGGAGGCGACGATAACATATTTGTTTTGAGCGGCTGACGAGCCTCATGCGGGTCTTTACCTGAGACATAGTGATGCCACAGTTCTTGGCCAGCTCCTCTTTGGCTTCTTCGCTGGGGTAGGGGTTGGACAGGTGGGAGTAGAAATACTCGTTCAGGACCTCTGTGGCCTGTTTACTAAAGTTACGCCTCTTGCGCCTGATAAAAGAAATAAAATCAAAATAAAGGTTTTGCTCGGTTAGTGAAATAACGGCAGGATGAATGTCCTCAAGCTTGGACCAGATGTTAGTGTCACTGATGTCACATGATGGTCACATGGTGGTCACACGGTGGTCACATGGTGGTCACGTGGTGGTAACAGGGTGGTCACGTGGTGGTCACATGGTGGTCACACGGTGGTCACATGGTGGTCACGTGGTGGTAACAGGGTGGTCACGTGGTGGTCACATGGTGGTCACATGGTGGTCATGTGGTGGTCACATGGTGGTCACATGGTGGTCACATGGTGGTCATGTGGTGGTCACATGGTGGTCACATGGTGGTCACATGACGGTCACATGACGGTCACATGATGGTCACGTGGTGGTCACATGACGGTCACATGGTGGTCACGTGGTGGTCACATGACGGTAGTCACACGGTGGTCACACGATGGTCACATGGTGGTCACATGGTGGTCACATGGTGGTCACACGGTGGTCACATGATGGTCACATGGTGGTCACATGGTGGTCACATGGTGGTCACATGGTGGTCACATGGTGGTCACATGGTGGTCACATGGTGGTAACACGGTGCACACAGACCTGGCGTCCAGGAAGCGGGAGCGCAGGATCATCACGGCCTCACACGTGCTCTGCTTCAGCTGAGTCTGGATGGAGCTGAACTTGCGGTGGATGATGTTGACCATGCGCTCGATCTCTCGCGGCGTGACGGGACGAGTGCGAGACTGCTCCCTCAGGAGGTTCATCACGTGGGTGGTGAACTCTGTGCACGCCTGCGGGACGCCAACAACTTCATTAGAGACTTAGACGTGTGAGAATATCTACTTTGGCTCAAGGTGTTGGAAGGGGAACTCATTTCAAGCTAAAATCTGAAACAGTCTTCCTGTGAGGCGGGCTGCTTCTCTGACAATGTTCAAATCCAGAAAAAAAATGTCATAACAAAAAACAATTGGATAAAATACAAAATTTATATTAAAAGGGTATTGTTCAGAAAGATAATACTATCCAAAGTGTAACATAGTTAATGCAGTTAAATCCAGATAAATTAAGAAATAGTGCCCTCCTCTGGTGGTCACGGCAGCTGTTCCTTTAATTCACTGGAGAACACATGTATTGTAGATTATAACTGGACTGGGTCACAGTTCCTGGTCTGTGACTGGAGGATTGTCCCACCTGCTCGTACTTCTCCAGCTCAGTGTGGTAGATGTTGCGGATCTGGCTCAGCTTGCTCTTGTAGTCGGAGTGTTCCAGGGAGCTGTCTGGGGACATGCCTCCAGCGCTGGTGGCAGCAGACACAGCAGCAGCAGCTCCTCCGCCCTTCTCTGGTCCAGACACACCTTCTGCAAGCAGCATGTTGTCCAGACGCACCAGCTGGGGGTCCTGAGGCTCCTCCTCTGCTGCGTTTCTCATGGACAGACCTTTGGGAAAACAACCGCCTCAAAATGTTACAAATGTAGAATAGGGAAACTCTTTCCAAAACATTTCCAACAACAACCCCTATTTTCAAATAAAGTTCATTACAATGTTAGTTTCACCACGGTGTTGTTGCCCTTCATCTCATGTCTCTCAAACTGTCCTTGTGCCCTTTGACAACACACCTCTTCTATATCTTAGTATGGTCTGAATGTTGGTGAGGCTTGAGGCCAATGGTGCAGCCTCAAATCAGGGTCCAACATTAACACTATATAATAATCCTAATACTTTTACAGAGATACACAGTGTATATGATAATAATACTAATAATGTGTTGTTGATAGAACATACCTGTCTTTTCTTTGATCTCACACAGCACACTAAACAACGCAGGCTTCATTCGGTGACAGTTCAGAGCATGTTTCCTGAAACACAAACATCATCAATGTAACTGCACACTGAGGTACAGGTTGTTTAGAAAGTGGGAGTGAGCAACTCCTTTGGACAGTTTAAAGTCAACATGTGTGCTACAAAATAATCCAGCAAGGAACAGTAATTAAATTAATTGTTCCATTGGCAAATCTCTTTTCAAGACTGCAAAAATTGTCTTTAATTAATTTAGCCAAATTTTGACTATTATAAATGTTATTATAAATAATGATATACTTATATAAAAATTTTTTTTTATAATACAGTTATACTCATAAAATAATATATCATAGTGTAGCTGAGCTAAAGTATGCAGCAATTTTAAGAATCTGACATTATCCTGTGGGGAGCTACTATGAAGAGAGGGGTGAGCTACTGGTAGCTTCCCTGCTCTCAGACATACTTAGTAGTACTTAGTACTTAAAAAAAGACAGAACCATTATCTCATCATGTAAGTATGTAGGAGTTAAATTGTAATCATTATTAGGCTCAATTGGCCATAATTCAACAGCACTTTAAGTATAAAATAAAATGTGTTTGTAATCCTCATGCTTTTGACAGTGACAGCTCCAGTGAATCATAAACAAAGAGCGCACGCGGACACAAACAACAACAAACTCGGATTAGCATTAGCATTGCTAGCATTTCCTCAAGTTACACTTAAACGAGGTGCACGCAAGCTTAATTTTCACAATTTGCCATTATTACACATCGAATTCAGGCGGCTGATTTTATAATGACAAACACGTCTGCACGTTAACTCGTTTTGTTTAATTCGGCTTAAGCCTTAAAAAACGCCTAGCCTCTGTTAGCCTCGGAAGCTAACAGCCAAGACGTGAGCTAAACAACAGGCGTACATGGATCCTTTTGATGTGACAATAATACATTTTAAACAATTACATTAGATTTATCGGACTGAGAATATGCTAAATATGTGAATGAAATAGAACTGTGTGAGAGTATAAAGCAAACAAAAGATAGAACGAAGAAAGACCGGTGTAACGAGTAATTCTGCACCCCCAACTTTCTTACTCGCCACTTAATTTTGCACACACTAAACGATCATGCTTTTCTGCCATTAATATAGCTATAAAATATACAAACCACTGCGATGGCTGTACACACTGCTTTATCAAATGACAAATACATAATCAAACTGTCTACCTACGACAGATTTGATCGATCTACAAAACAAAACAGACTTGTCAACACAAACGCGGAATTAAAATACGTGACCTATAAAGTTCTGTTGTGGAGTAAATTACAGTCGTTTATAAGAAGATATGTAATTTGGAAACTATATAAAAGGCTTATAAAAAAGTCTCTCAGTCAAGCCGTTTGAAGCCAGATTTATTTAGCACAAGTTTCACCACTTTCTGAACAAAAGCGTCCGAACGTACTTCCAATAACAATGTGCTGTTATTGTATTGTCACAGTAGAGACAGACAACTTTTAGAATCATTCAGCGCGTGACGGATGTAGGCACGTGTGTTTACAGGCATGCGGATCTCCTCACTACCCCTAACCCCAAACCTGCACAAAAGGACGAAGTGGGCACTAACTTCGCCTGCGCCTCGTCCAGACTCTGGTCAGTGATGGTCATGATCTGCTGCAGGATGTCCCCGATGTCTCTGCGGCTCTCGTGTCCGTTCTCTGCGCCATGGTCCAGGCCCGGGTCGTGATCCGCGGGGTGCTGTGGAGCGTGCATGGCCGCGGTGAGTGCGTGCATGCCCGGGTGGCCGCTGACGGAGAGGGCCCTGCCGCTGGAGGCCCCCGACAGAGGCTGCTGCTGCAACATGCTCCGTGAGGCTGCCTCCTGGGCTGCCTCTTCCTCCGCACTGGCAACACACACTACACAGCCCGTGGCCGAGCAGGGCAGGGTGCCAGCTATGTTGAGAGCAATCAGCGACCGAGCCAAGCGAATACGTACATCAATATTCATCTACTTGGATCACACACCTTTACAGTGTCACAAATACAGTGTTTGCACCAACACAAAGAGCCTTGATTCTTTGTAGCACTTTGAGGTTTAATGGAAATGTAAGGTGCAACATATATTACATAATATGTAATATATCATTATATTATAGGTATATAGGAGGATTTTCAAAATTTTAGGAAAGAACCGCCCTCCACTTTTTGAACAAAACTCTCTGGTCTTATTTAACGAGCACGTGTCACCAGAATGATTGTCAATTGGGAGGACCAATAGTCTTGATGATCCACCCGGAAGTAGAAAATCCTCCTGTGAAGACATTCAACCACAGCATGCTTTACATACACACTGGGCTGGTATTTGTGGTCATTTCAGAAAGTCCTCTGAATGTCACTTTATCTACTTATTATTACTATTACTTATTATTATCATTACTTATTATTGTTATTACTTATTATTACTATTACTTGCTGCTCTAATTAAGCGTTGCAGCTACTACTTTTATTGTAAATGTTGCGTGTTCCTTGTGTCTCTTACACTGTTCTGTCTGTGCGTTGCAATGCTCGACATTTCCCCACTGTGGGGTGAATAAAGTTTCTCTTTCTTTTGTATATATATTTAAAATATTTATATAATTGTTTAGCTTCCACAAGTGGTCGCTAGTCTTCCTGGGGTCCACTATTCACATAAATATTTTGAGCTTGTCTCCTGCCTTTAGAATAAGCTCAAAAGAAAAGGATGAATACGTTTAGAAAAAACATCTGAAACTTGTTCTGTATTATGTATGTATAAATATATAGATTATTTATATCATGTATGTAAAGGCTGACAGCTGATTGGCTGCTGCCGGGTCACTTCTGCCTAAACGGCTGCTTTATTTTTGTGCTGGAGCCAAACAGTAAAAACAGACGAGAGTGACGGCGACTTCCTCTTTTCACTTCCACAAGTTAAACATCTTTTCTTCAGTCCTCTCTGAGCTCAGGATCAAACCTGTGTCTGACAATAACGTCTGAAGTGGCCTCTCACAAACATACTCACACGCTCTCAACATTAAATCAGTGTGTGATTCTCAGAACAAAAACTTACAATTATAAACAAGCACAGGGGAAAGGTCAGTGTTGCAATACACTGTTCAGGAACGGAGAAAGGCGATGTAATTACACTACAAACAATGATGAAACATTAGGTAATGATTGCTTTAATCAAGTGTTTTTTTATATCAATCTGACACATTCTGACTGTGTTTAAGTCTTCAGCTCTTTCCACAGATTCCCAATTGGACTCAGGTCTGGACTTTGACTCGCTTTGCATTGTGGCCAAAAAGTTCAATTTTGGTTTCATCTGACCAGAGCACTTTTTTCCACATGTTTGGTGTGTCTCCCAGGTGGCTTGTGGCAAACTTTAAGAGACTTTTTATGGATATCTTTGAGAAATGGCTTTCTTCTTGCCACTCTTCCATAAAGGCCAGATTTGTGCAGTGCACGACTGATTGTTGTCCTATGGACAGACTCTCCCACCTCAGCTGTAGTTATCTGCAGTTCATCCAGAGTGATCATGGGCCTCTTGTCTGCATCTCTGATCAGTCTTCTCCTTGTTTGAGATGAAAGTTTGGAGGGACGGCCGGGTCTTGGTAGATTTGCAGTGGTCTGTTACTCCTTCCATTTCAATATAATTGCTTGCACAGTGCTCCTTGAGATGTTTAAAGCTTGGGAAATCTTTTTGTATCCAAATCCGGCTTTAAACTTCTCCACAACAGTATCTCGGACCTGCCTGGTGTGTTCCTTTGTCTTCATGGTTCTCTCTGCGCTTTAAACAGAACCCTGAGACTATCAAAGAGCATGCGCATTTATACAGAGACTTGATTACACACAGGTGCATTCTATTTATCATCATCAGTCATTTAGGACAACATTGGATCATTCAAAGATCCTCACTGAACTTCTGGACTGAGTTTGCTGCACTGAAAGTAAAGGGGCCGAATAATATTGCACGCCCCACTTTTCAGTTTTTATTTGTTAAAAAAGTTTAAATTATCCAATAAATTTCGTTCCACTTCACGATTGTGTCCCACTTATTGTTGATTCATGGCAAAAAATTAAAATTGTATATCTTTATGTTTGAAGCCTGAAATGTGGCAAAATGTTGAAAGGTTCAAGGGGGCCGAATACTTTCGCAAGGCACTGTATGTAGGCACTGTATAAGCTAAGTTGTGCTTCTTAGTCCCTTCACAAACCTACATATCTAAGCGTAAACAATATGGATCCAACTAATGTTTGTGAAAGAATAAATAATACTGTTATGGTTAAAGTTGAGCCCTCGTACATCTGTCACAGAGAGATGTTGGTTCTTACGGTTTGTGTTTAAATACATTTTTGCATCCTCTGCTCCTTCAACATGGAACGTGTTACAAAAAAACCTGGAAATGAAGTGAACTTATTCTATTGAATGCTTGATTGAGAGACTGAGACGTCCTCATTGTATGTATCTGTTTTTATATACTGTAATTGTATGTAACTGGCTTATTGATAAAGAGGTTCTTAATCTCATTGGGACTTTCCTGGTTAAATAAAGGTAAAATAAAATAAATAAGGCCTGGACGACATTTTGCAGTCTGTATGAGTAAAAACATCGAGAGTTTGAAGGGAGATTGGAGGCGGACTACAGTCAAACCACAGCAGGTTGTTTTCATTCCAAAAATCTAATCATTGGAATTTTAAATGTAAATTTCAATGATGTTATTTTTACAGAACCAGCTTTCCAACTTTGGTCAGTGGCTTTTCTCAGCTACATTGCAATGACTACTACTTTCAAAAATGTGCTTGGAAAAAAGTATAGTATATTACATAGATACAGTACTTTATTGATCCCCGTTGGAGAAATTCAGGTGTCCAGCAGCAGCAAAAAGAAAAAAGAAAATTGATGATTCTAAAAAGCTAACAATAGTAATAATCAGCAACAGTCCTTCAGGTCACAGCAGCAGAGGTGGAGTAGCCTCTGGGTGGAGCAGGACGGGTCACAGCAGCAGAGGTGGAGTAGCCTCTGGGTGGAGCAGGACGGGTCACAAGGTGGAGTAGCCTCTTGGTTCGAACCATTTTCTCTGCTCTAGTCCAAAGTAAAAAGCTAAATGCTTCATTAGCATGTTTCAAAAAGTTAGCATTCCCTCAGTGGATTTTAACCTGATCCACTTGGTTCGGACCATGACTCCTCTCTGCTCTGGTCTGGACCAGTGTAAAACCATGGACACTGTACTGCAGCAACATCTCAGGTAGAAAAAAAGTAAGAAAAATAATAATTGTAAAGCACAAAACAACAACTGTTTCAGAGACACTTAGGACCTGCAGACGTTTTCCAGCACATTCAAAACAAGTATAGTATGCAAAGGTCATATTCTCTGGTCAGAGCCAGGCGAGACTCCTGGGATTTGATCTTTAATTGTGTCCCAAATATTGACTCAAAAACAAGTATAAGTTGGGCTTCATAAACGATGAGACTTGATTCTCTTTCTGCAAAGTCAATACATTTAAAAACGACTTCCCTTTTTTCTCACCCACAACAGCTGCAGATCACATGTTGTCCAGAGTAGTGCTCTTGACCTTTTCACTGTGGTGCAACTTGGTTCCCATCGAAAACAGACCTGGAGTTGTTTTTAGTTTCATCCACACTGATATCAAGGACACGTCCCCCCACCCCTTCTGTCTCAATGCTGTTTTCAAACTTTATGACAAATTCACAGAGATGTTTTAGACTAGGAACTGAGGGGTAGGTGCTTTTCTAAGTTCCACACACACACACACACACACACACACACACACACACACACACACACACACACACACACACACACACACACACACACACACACACACACACATCCTGTTCACACCAGGTTTGTTTGCCTCTAAACTTATCATCAAATGTCAGAGTGTGTCTTCACGTCTGCCTCCGCTTCTGCTTTCGACAGGAAGTGCCAAACCACACACCGCACACCCTGCTCTGGGCTCTGTGTCCACACGCCACGCTGAGACGCTGCAGCTGGAGCTCCCTCATCCTCCTGTAGCTCCCTCATCTGCAGCTGTAGCTCCCTCATCCTCCTGTAGCTCCCTCATCTGCAGCTGTAGCTCCCTCATCCTCCTGTAGCTCCCTCCTCCTGTAGCTCCCTCATCTGCAGCTGTAGCTACCTCATCCTCCTGTAGCTCCCTCATCTGTCTGTTGTTCCCTCATCTGTCTGTAACTCCCTCATCTGCAGCTGTAGCTCCCTCATCCTCCTGTAGCTCCCTCATCTGCAGCTGTAGTCCCCTCATCTGTCTGTTGTTCCCTCATCGGCAGCAGGAGCACCCTTATCCTCCTGTAGCTCCCTCATCTGCAGCTGCAGCTCCCTTATCCTCCCGTAGCTCCCACATCTGCAGCTATAGCTCCCTCATCCTCTTGTAGCTCCCTCATTCTCCTGTAGCTCCCTCATCTGCAGCTGTAGCCCCCTCAATCGTCTGTAGCTCCCTCATCTGCAGCTCCCTCATCCTCCTGTAGCTCCCTCATCTGCAGCTGTAGCCGCCTCAATCGTCTGTAGCTCCCTCATCTGTCTATAGCTCCCTCGTCTGTCTGTAGCTCCCTCGTCTCTCCGTAGCTCCCTCATGTGTCTGTAGCTCCCTCATCCTCCTGTAGCTCCCTCATCTGCACTGCAAAAGGTGCCAAAAAAACAACCAAACATGTTTATTTTTGTCTGTAACTCCCTCATTCTTCTGTGGCTCCCTCATCTCTGTGTAGCTCCCTCATGTGTCTGTAGCTCCCTCATCTGTCTGTAGCTCCCTGTCCAACATTAGCTCACATATATCTTTCTCTGTGCTGTAAATATGATCCCACACGATTACATTACTGCACCATGACGTCTATGGTGTAAACTGTGCAGGAGAGAAGAGAAAGCCCACTGTGGTGGTTGTGATGAGGAGGAGGGTTGCCGCATGAGCTGAACACTGATTGCAGAGCTGTGAGGCACTGTTTAACAGCAGCAGATCCTGATGAGCACAGGTACAGGTGAGTCGATGTGGGAGCTCCTTTTATGTCACAGTTTAAACATTCATTAAAGATTAAACTCTGCCGGTGTCCGACCAGGAAGTCTGATTTACTTCACTTCACAAAGATGAAGATTGTAAGTTAGATAAAATATTTATTTATAAAGTCATTCATTTTACTAAGTTTGACTGAAATGAGTCGTGAAGAAGTAAAGTAGGAAACAGAAAGCTGCTGTTGAGAATGACATCACTGGAACATACTGTACAGTGCCATAAGAACTGACTCTGAGGAGCACAGGGACTGGACTCCTGCTGGGACTCTGAGGAGCACAGGGACTGGACTCCTGCTAGGACTCTGAGGAGCACAGGAACTGGACTATAGCCGGGACACTGAGGAGCACAGGGACTGGACTCCTCCCGGGACTCTGAGGAGCACAGGGACTGGACTCCTGCTGGGACTCTGAGGAGCACAGGGACTGGACTCCTGCTGGGACTCTGAGGAGCACAGGGACTGGACTCCTGCTGATCCCAGAGTCAGAACTAAACATGCAAGGCAGCGTTTCAGAAATATGCATCTAAAATCTGGAACAGTCTTCCTGAAAATGTGAGACAGGTTCCTTCCCTGACTATGTTCAAATCCAGGTTAAAAACAGGTCTATTTAGCGACAACAACAACAACAACAACAATATCTTTACTCTTTATAATGTACTGAGATTATTTATGATGTTAAAGTCTGATTGTTTCTATCTTGTTTTCGACAAGTTTCGACAAGTTTCGACAAGTTTCGACAAGTTCAGAGGGAGGCGAGTTTATTTGTATAACACAGTTCATACACACGGCAACTCAAGCACTTTGAGTTGCCGTGTGTATGAACTGTGTTATACAAAATAAACTCGCCTCCCTCTGAACTTGTCGAGACAAAGTTAGAAGTGTTGTTTTTTTGCAGTGCAGGCTGTGGGCTGAGAGGAGCAGGAAGGAGTGTCAACGACAGAGCATACTTTCAGAGCTGAGACTGAACCCGACTGACTATACTTCAGAGCAGACTGAGACTGATCTGGACTGGTCCTGGGACTTTACACGGATTTGGACTGATCTGGACCGGTCTCTGGGACTGGCTGTGAAGGTGTGTTGTCTTCTTCTTCTCTCGCTCTGGGGTCTGTGCTGGTTGTAAATACAGTTGTTGTTGAGGTGGGTTTCTGCACGAGTTACTTATCTGTGCAATAATGTGGTTCAATAATGTGCAATATAGAACAACATGTGCCTCTGTCTCTGTGTCCCAAGTACTTTATATTTGCCTCTTTATTATGCTAAAGCTAGAGATTTTATACTTTTTAATTATGCTAAAGTTAGAGATTTTATACTTTTAAATTATGCTAAAGTTAGAGATTTTAAACTTGCTTCTTTATGATGCTAAAGTTAGAGATTTTATGCTTCTTTATAATGCTAAAGTTAGATATTTTAGACTTGATTCTTTATTATGCTAAAGTTAGAGATTTTATACTTGCTTCTTTATTATGCTAAAGTTAGATTTTATGCTTCTTTATTTTGCTAAAGTTAGATTTTATCCTTCTTTATTATGCTAAAGCTAGTTTTTATACTTGCATCTTTATTATGCTAAAGTTAGAGATTTTATACTTGCTTCTTTATTAGGCTAAAGTAACTGCTGATTGCAACACTGGCATTTCCCCACAGTGAGAATAAAGGATCTCTTCATTTCAATGCTAGGGTCATGTGTTACTGGGGAAACAGTTGCATTCACATTATAAGATCTTAACAGATGCTAACATAAAATTAACCTGAAGATGCTAACATATAATGAAGCTAAAGATGCTAACATATAATAAAGCTAAAGATGCTAACATATAATAAAGCTAAAGATGCTAACATATAATGAAGCTAAAGATGCTAACATATAATGAAGCTGAAGACGCTAAAGAAACACATACAGTAACTACACATTGCTTGCTCATGAACAGTACTAAAACTTCTATACTGCCTTTTTATTATTACTATTTTCAAGATAGAGATTTTACACTTGTTATTGATGCTAGAGTTAAAGTAGTATAGCTATTGTTCACTTATCTTATGCCGTGTGCGCCTCTTTCCTACTGTTCTATAACTTGTGATGCAACACTGACATTTCCCCGCTGTGGGACGAATTAAGGATCTCTTCATCTAATCTTAATCTAACAGGAGACATTAGACTTTAACCGCACTAAGGAGAAGTTTATGATTAAACAATAGTATTTTCAGTCAAACCTCAAGACACTTAAACCCACATGTTCAGGTTATTGAAGAAGTAAATAGATCTAA